TATTTTTATAGAATATGAAGTTTTATAATTTTCAGGGATGCCCTAAAAAGATGAATATTGAATAGCGTTAATTCAACGGTCGTCCTGAGGGTACTAGAGCGTGTCTCTAGGTGCAGCTTCAGACTTCTAAGAACAGCGCGGTCATCTACAAGTCCATCATGATCACTAGAAGACCTGCAATCTAGTCTTTCTCCTTTCATTATCATTAAATGCTAGTCGTGTCCCGTGTGTTCAGCGGTCCGAGACAGGAAAAAGGTGAAAGAGGGAGAGGGAGCTGCTAGGAGCGGCAGAGGCCCGAACCGGACCGGACCGGACCGGACCGGGCCAGACGTCCAGCCCGGACCGGACCAGACTGGGAGGCGCCGAACTCTAAGGGGGGGCAACTACGCCCACCACAAACCGACTCACACCCCCGTCGGCCCCTGCAGCGCGCGCGCGCCTGTGACAAGAGAGCCCGACCCCGTTGCCAGCGATTTGCGTCGGGCCCTTTGTGGTCCTGACGTTAGGCGGCCAAAACGCGACCGGCGGCCGCATTAGAACCCGCTAACGGCTGCGCGGCGACGGCTCCACTGTTATGCACTGGCCCCCCACCCGTCGAAACCTCGGCGCCCACGCCGCAAAGGCGCCAGTGCGATGTGAGCCTCGCGTGCCTTTTCGTCACTGCCCGCGCTCGCGGCGTTCTACACCTGGAGCAGCAGGCCGGCGCGTGTTTCGGCAATAGATGCCAAAACACTGCCCCTGACATTCCACCCACTGACCCGCGGAACTCTGAGGTGCCAACCGCGTGAAAACCCCGACAAGCCAAACACTGACCCGCGAACTTCTGGGGCTGTAAACCCTGACAGCGCCCAACCCTGAGGCGGAAAGCCCTGACATTTGAAAACGCTGACCCGCGGACCTCTGAGGTGCCAAACCTTGACATCGGCCAACTCCGAGGCGCGCAGCCCTGACATTGGAAAGCCTTGAGCTGCCAAACACTGGGTACACAAACCCTGGCATGGCCCAACCCTGAGACGGAAAACCTTGACTGGCGAAACTCGGGGGGGGCAAGCTCTGACTACGCGCAAGCCTGAAGCGCAGAGTGCGGACGCTTCAAACCCTTGACCCGCGCAACTCTGGCGCGTGAAGTCCTGACATCGGCCAACTCTGAGGGGGGAAAACCGCCACTCCAAACCGCTGACCTGCGACACGTTCAGGCGCCCGCGGAGCTCTGAGGCGCCAAACCTTGACAGGGGCGAACCCAGAGGCGTGAAGCCCTGACACTCCCAAACCCTGACCCGTGACCCTCCAGGGCTGTTTGTAAACCTTGACAGCGCGCAACTCTGAGGCGAAAAACCCTGACCACCGAAAACACTGACCCGCGGAACTCTGAGGCGCCAAACCTTGACATCGGCCAACTCTGAAGCGAGAAGCCCTGACAGCCCACCCACTAACCCGCGGAACTCTGAGGTGCCAGGCCCTGACATCGGCCAACCCTGAGGCGTGCAGCCCTGACATTTCCAAACTCTGACCCGCGGGCCGCTGGGGTTGTAGACCTTGACACCGCCCAACCTTGAGGCGCGAACCCCTGACAGTCGAAAAACTGACCCCCGGAGCTCTGAGGTGCCAAGCCCTGACATCGCCCAACTCTGAGGCCCGAAGCCCTGCCATTCGAAAACCCTGAGTGACCTGCCAAGCTCTGGGGTTCCAAACCTTGGCATCGCCCAACCCTGAGACGGAAAACCCTGACTGGCGGAGCGCTGGGGGGGCAAACCTTGACAGCGGCCCACCCGGAGGCGTGAAGCTCTGACATTCCCGAACTCTGACCCGCGAAGTTCTGGGGCTGTAAGCCCTGACACTGCCCAACCCTGAGGCGGAAAGCCCTGACATTCGAAAATACTGACCCGCGGAACTCTGAGGTGCCAAGCCCGGACATCGCCCAACTCTGAGGGCTGAAGCCCTACCATTCGAAAACCCTGATGGGTTCCAAACCCTGCCATCGCCCAACCCTGAGGCGGAAAACCCTGACTGGCGGAACTCTGGGGAGGCAAGCCCTGACATCGGCCAACACTGAGGCGCGAAGCCCTGACATTCTTCCCAAACTCTGACCCGCGAAAGAACTCCGGGGCTGTAAACTAACACTGACACCCCAACCCTGAGGCGGAAAGCCCTGACATTCTAAAACACTGACCCGCGGAACTCCGAGGTGCCAAGCCCTGACATCGCTCAACTCTGAGGCCCGCAACCCTGCGACTCGAAAACTCTGCCCTGCCAAACTTTGGGGTTCCAAACCTTGCCATCGCCCAACCCTGACTGGCGGAACTCTGGGGCGGCAAGCCCTGACGTCGGCCACTTCTGAGGCGCGAAACCCTGACACCCCGACACTCTGACCCGCAAAGCTCTGGGGCTGTAAACCTTGACACCGCCCAACCCTGAGGCGGAAACTCCTGACACTCGAAAACACTGACCCACGGGCCTCTGAGGTGCTAAGCCCTGACACCGGCCACCTCTGAGGCCCGAAACCTTGCCACTCAAAAACTCTGACCTGCCAAACTTTGGGGTTCCAAACCTTGCCATCGCCCAACCCTGAGACGGAACGCCCTGACTGGCGGAACTCGGGGGAGGCAAGCCCTAACATCGGCCAACCCTGAGGCGTGAAGCCCTGGCAGACATTCTGAAACTCTGACTTGCGGATCTCTGGGGTTGTAAAAAGGAAGCCTTGACACGGCCCAACTCTGAGGCGGGAAACCCTGACACCCCCAAGCCTTGACCTGCGAAACTCTGAGGCGCTACACGCTGGCAGTGGCGAACGCTGGGGCCGTGAGCTCTGGCATTCCGAACCCTGAGACGCAAAACCTTGACCGCCGTTTTTACCTGCAAAACCCTGAGAGCTAGGTCCTGACATTTGTGCCCATTTTTGCAGGCCTTGAGATGCCAAGCCTTGACATGGCCGCTCTCACTGGCAACCTTAAGACTCCTTGGCTTTGCCTTTAAAGCCTTGAGAGTCCTGGCCCAGGTTTTTGTGCCCCTTGTGATTCTCCTTGCTCGCCCTTAAAGCCCTGACGTCAGACCTCGACTTTTGTCGATCATTAATAAGGAGGGAATAACGAAAGGAAAAGGAATAGATTGTAGGCCTTCTACATAATTCATTACTGAAGCTCAATATCACTAATTCCCCCCAGCGTCGAGCGTTCTGCTAGCGGCGTCGTCGAAAAAAGTTGAGAAAAAAAAGAACACAGTAAGAAAAATTCCAAAAGTGCGACCTTTGGACATAGGGCCAAAAAATAGGTTTTGGAACGCTCCAGAGCGAGGGCGGAAGGAATGAAGACTGGGGCGCACTTGATAGACAGCGACGGCGTGCGTTCGCTTGTGTCTTGCGGTCTCTCTTATAGTGAAAGCCGCGGATCTCTGGATAAACGAGATCTGCATAGTGGCAGCGCCTTGGCTTTGATCGGTCTCATAGTGTTCAGGATCTCGATCAGCTTGTTGCAATGGGAACCGAAGTGGCCGCAAACGCAAAGGCACTGGGAAGCTACTCGTGATTGCCAATTCGGTCTGACTACTGGCTGCCACTTAGTTCCGACTACTGGCCTACCGCACTAGAAGCGTACTGAGCCCCGACTACTGACTACTGCACGGGCAACAAACGTAGACCCGCCTACTGAATACTACACGAGGCACGTACTTAGCTGCGGCCGTCCGTTGCTGGCTAGCTACTACACTAGACGCATACTATTGATTATTTGTGACGGCACTAGCAGCGTGCATGCCACTGATTATTAGCTACTGCATGGGAAACAAACGTACGCAATTACGACTGATTATTCATTTGGACATGGCGGGGCAGTTCTTCTGGCTAGAATCTGGCTAAAAAGTTTTTAATTTTCGGGGTGTCTGCTCGTTCGGCTTGTGTGGTCGTTGTGTTTGGGGTCACTCCTTCTTTTGTGTTGTTGTGCGGATCGGGGTGCCGTGGTGTGGAGGGTGGTGGGGGTCTTAGGTGAGACAGGTCGCGGCGGCCTCGGTTTCTGCTTGTTCTTTTGCAGGGGGCTGCGTTGTTTCTGTTGATATGGTGGAAGGGGGGCCAGGTTCCTTGGGGAGTGGGGAGTCCTGTCGGTGCCCCCTATGTCCTCGCGCTCGGCGTGATCGGTGGCGCGTCGCTCGTTTCGAGGTTCTGCCCACGTTTCGCAGTCGTCGCTGTTGGCGCCTCGTGGTCGTTGTTTTTTCGAGGTTGGGGAAGGTCAGGTGGGTGGCCAAGGGGGGGCAGGCGTTTATATGTCGTGGGGCATTGCTGGCGAGGATGGTTGGGCGCGTCGGTCTTCGGGTTGTGGCAGCCTGTGCTCTTTCTGTTGAGTGCGTCATCGCTAGTCTGGGGCTGCGTGTTGGGTGGGTCTCTTGTTGTGTTTTCGTGTCTTCGCAGGGGGATGGGGGGATGTCGTTTGGCGGGGCGTTCGGTCGTTTGCTCTTCCTCGTCAAGCGCGTGCTCGGGTCTCGGTTCAAAAATTCTAACTTTTTTCTAATTTTTTTTCTAATATTTAGGGCTAGAGTGTAGTTCTAATTTTAGGGGTCTAGTATGGGGCTTTAATTTCGGGGTTAGGGAGGGGGGGAGAGGGCTTAAAAATCTTGCTAGTGTTGGGCCCTAATTTATTTTGCGGGGATTTTTGAGGGGTGTTTCTGGGTGTCTAAAATTGTTCTAATCGATATTCTAACTTGATTGCTAATTCTTCGGGGGTGCAAAAAAAGAAACAACTTGGCACCCCCCTGGTGCGGGGGGGTCAAGTTGTTTCTTTTTTTGCGCCCCGAAAATTAGGAGTTTAAATATTAGCACAATTTTTAGAAGGCTTGGGAAAATATTAGAACCCGGGCTAGCCTATGAAATTAGAGCAATTTTGTAAGCGATTTGGAGTGTGCGCAGGTCCCTTCCCATCCGGGCTTGGTGTAGTTGCCGGACTCGGTGAGTGGCTCGTGGGGTTGGGGTTTGGGGTCGGCTCGCGGAACAGGGTCACTCCAGTGTCGTTGGGTTACCGCGATGGGCCTCCCCGGAGAGCGTGGCGCTGGCAGTGGTGTGCGTCTTTCGGGCAACCGCCTTGGGCTGGGGGTAGGTTATTCCCAGCCCCCTCTGGGGGTCTTGGCGGGGTTTGCGTCGGAGGTCTTGCTGCGGTTGGTGTGGTCGCGGCGGTTGGTCCCACCGCGGCCCCCGCGCCTGGTTTTCGTGGTGGGTGTTAGAATTTGCGGAAATTCTCGGCCGTCGGGTGAGGTCTCCTGTTCTGGTGGTGCTTTCAGGGTGGTCTGGTGTTGCCCGTGGGGTGTCGGCTCTCTGGATCATTGTAAGAAGGTACGTGGAAGCTGGTGGGCCTTGTGGTGGATGTGGTGCGCGAGTCTCCACGAATTTCCAGCCGCCTGGCCTCGGGTTGTCTTTCTGTTGGTGTCGTGTGCGCGTGTGTGTCGTCGGTCTTCAGCTTGTGCCGCGCAATCGGGGGCGGCCGTCGTTCGTTCGTGTGGTCGGTGTCTGGTGTGGTGGCTGCCTGCGGGGTTTCTGCCGCATTGGTCTCGCCGTCGTGTCGCTTGTCTTGTTTTATATAAGAAGAAGCCTGGGCCTTTTCGCTTCGGTGGCCTTGAAAATATATTGGAAAAATCTTAGCAGGCTCCTAGCGACTTAGGTTGGCCGGTGTGGTCTGGCTGAGATTATGCGGCTGATTACTAACTACTGCACTGCGCTAGCTGAGTTCTGTTCTCTTCGCGAGGACTTGAGAAGCAGGGGCGTGGTGACCCCGATCATGACCAGCATCGCATGGCCCTGCAGAGCTTGAAGTCGCCCCAGTGAAGGTCGAGGCGTGCCCCCTTACCGGCTAGTTTCCGCGAGAGGGGCAGAAGACTGCCTCCGGGCAGACCACGAGAGCGCTGGCGGAGCGGAAGCACGTTGGTTTGCGCGCAGTTGGTGGTCTTCAAGAAAAAGAAACATCAGGAATAGACAAGAAGTATTTTTTCATCTCTTTTTCTGTGCAGACAATCGTAATGGCTTTGTTGACTAATGAATATCTCAAGTAGTTAGCAAGGATACTGTTGCAACGGCTGCGAGGACGGCAAATCTTCTTCGGACAAGGGACGAATAAGAGTAGGAGTACTACTCATTGGGTGGAATCGTATGATGCTCCTAATGAGGGACTATGAGATTTGAGGCCTTTCTACTTTTCCTCATATTTCATGTCTCACCTGCACAGGCACACGCTCGCAGAATATGTTACTCTTCAGACCGTCATGGTCATCGTCATCAGTCAGATCTCCTGAAGCATCTTCTTATTCTTACGACCAGGGGAGTTGGAAGATCACTTCTTCAGGATATTTCATTTCCTTTTCTTGTTGTTAATTGTTCTTGTTGTTATCTATAACCGGTTGGGCTTAGGCTAGCTGGGTGGCCCCGATCCGCACATGCCCATCTGTGCTACTATTGGTGGGTAGTTCTAGCCTAACAAACCTAGCTGGTGGTGGTGTAGCAGGGGCTAGCCCCTTAACGCATCTGGTGGCGCCGGTGTAGTAGTAGTTCATGATGCGACGTGACTAAATAGCTTCTGAAGAGGACGCGATGCTTCCGACGAGGAAGACGCGATGCTTCAGACCATAGGAAGAAAATTAATATTAGAGGTGAAGACCACTTTAGTCATTATACACGGCATCATTAACTCCATTACATTTGAATAACATTAACTCGGCATGGATGTTGGATTCATCTGAAAATGAAAAATCCCAAAAAACATAAGACGTAGGTCTACGAAGGTACCTGTTGTACGGGTACGCGTACGCGCGCCAAGAAGGAAGTATCAAGAAGTTGTGTTCGTGTGTTCTTCTTCGCATCGGGGGAACTGGACTTGGTGAATCAGCGACCGTTTATGCGCTAGTGGAGGAATAGGTACTAAAAAGAACTGAAGAACACGACGCATCCATTCTTTTCAGTTTCATCTGGCATTTTGGTTAGAAGCTTTCATCTCTGTGGCAATTCCGAAAAAGTCGAAGTCGTGGAAGGTAAGTTTCAGGAGTGCATGTAAATGCTCCACATAACTTTAGCCAAGCAAGAAGAAGATCAGGAGCCATCTACCACTCCAGGCCCAGTTCCACACATCCACTGATCATCCACCGAATGGCTCCTGTGAAGAGGAGTTGTGCTTACAGTCTTTGAAAAGTTGGCAGGAAGAGTACTACAGGAAGAGACTTAGTGATCCTTTATCCTACGCATGCTTCGTCGCATGTGCCGATCCGGTGCTCCATGCGCAGGGCTGAGGCGGGAGCTGCCTTCTACTAAGGCTACTAAAAATCTAATCTTCTTCGGGCAAAGGATCGTGGTACTCAAAGAGGGTCGGGCTCTGTCTCAAAGGAGACGGTGGTGGGGATCGTTCTCAACGCCCTCGTCCCTCGTCACACTCAAACATGGAGTTTCCTCCGCAATTCCCTCGACAACAGCTACCGGCATTTGAGCTTTATGGCAGTCTGGTGCACAGTTCCTTGCGCCTGGCATGAGTCGAAGGGGGTTGGAACTAGAAGTTTGCTTTCATTCTATCAAAGAGGGTAAAAAGGGGTCCCTGAGGGTCGTGCTGCTTATGATGGACGATAGGACTTCGCTTGATTCGAACTGCGGATCAAGTAGATTAAGGGTAGTTTATCACTATCTCTATCCCATGTGAACTATGCTGAGTGGAGTCCCCTCCTTTGATTTCTTGAAGGGGAAAGAAACTAAGGGCCAAAGAGCGCAACCCACTCGACTCGGGATAGTGAAAAACTACCTTTAAAATATCTTACTTTCAATTCTTGCTGTAGTCAGCCTTGAGTCTCGTCTCAGTCTAGTTCCTACGGCTACCTTCAGGAAAGATGGCATCAAAAGGGGCGCATCCGTGCAGCCTTTCAGCTCTTCCAATCTATTTTTAGTTTGCGAATTCTAGAGAGCAATGTTGAGAAATATATTGTGAGGTCAAGGCGAATGCGAATCGTCTACTTAATCGTCATCGTCATCGTCTTAGATGACGAGCACATCACGACTCAGTAGACGAGATGAACGAGAGATACATCTTACTTGCTTTATATTGTGTCACGAATGCCGTTGCCGAGATTCAGATTGTTTTTGTTGAGAGACTAATGTTAATAATTGTGTTCAAGAGCAGGTCAAGACGACGAGTAGACGAGATGAGTGAAGAGATGAGTTTCTCAATTGTTCTACTGTGTCTCCACTTTTGACCTTGAGGGCAAGACGATGAGAAAGTACAAACTTCAAGTCGCGACTAATAGATATGTTTTCTGTCCATTTTCTGTCTAAGAATGTTTCTCTGTCTTTCTTCGGTAGGAGGTTGTTGTCGAGTTGCTTGCCCATTGAGTTTCTGACGATGAGGTGAGTGATGAAGAGGTTACTGGATTACTAAGAGACAAGATCATCACGATGAATTAGAGTTTTATCAACATCATAGAGCTTGTATAAGTCTTCTACTACTCTCCAACTTCACACTAGAGCGGACCCCGTGACTTCCTCGCTTTGATCCCACATCTTTCGACTTGTTTGAAAAAACATTTTCGATGCTAATTGCGTAACGGCACTAGCGGCTTAACACTTCAGTAACTATTTCAAATTATTTGAATTTTTCATTCCATCCAAATCTTACAGCGAAAGAGATATAGACGACGTCGAGAGCGAAGCCCACACTTTTCTCCCGAGTCCTCTTTTGATTATCTTTTTCATCATTGTCTCCATTTTCATTGACTTGCTTCTACCAAACAGAAAGAGCTAGCTTCACTTCCTTATCCTTTCGTTGGAATGTAATGCTCAGTTCGTATTCGTCGCGCAGAAGACACCTAAAAGAAGCACAGTGTCCCATAGCTTAAGCTTAACGAGTACTCAGCATCGATTAGTTAACGGATTTTGAACTAGACGGGAAACGAAAACGGATTTTGAATAAAACTCACGGCTTTTGAATGTTGTTGAAGTGTCTTATAGTTGTGTCCCAGTCTACAAGTCCTGCGTAAGCAGCGTCCAACACAATCACAAGCGCGCGCTGCGGCTGTCGTTGGTAAAGCTATCGGAACGTGATCGCGCGGAAGTGTCGCAGGGCTATCCCTCAGGCAATCCTTCCTTGGCAACTGCAAACTTTTTCAGGTAAAGTTTACTCATTTTGGGTTAGCTATGCATATTTCTGAGGCTAGTAGTCAGTGGTGGGGCAAAAATGAATCTGGGTCCACATTCCTGGCTTGCCCTTGCTGCAAGTCAACAAGAGGACACAGAGGCAACGGTTGACAGGAATCAAGCGAAGTCGCAGTAAAGTCGGTTAGTTCGTTGCTTGGCACCTACGCCCGGTCGCTGTGTTCGTCATCTCGCACCAAGATGAAAGCCGGTGCTCCGACTGGACAGACTCTCGCCTTTCCTCCCCATTTGTGACTCAACTTGGCCGCGGGCGATTTGTTTCTGATGCCACAAATTGCGTCCGTGCCATTCACTCACTGGAGGACGCGACAGCGCAGGGCCTGCGGGTAGCCCGGGGCTTTGGCGTGGTCTTGGCCAAGAAGGATGCCTGTTTCACGTAACTAAGCGGAGGCGGGCTGGACAGATCCACGCAAGGGTAGGGCCCTGCCCCTCGTCTTCCTCACTTAGATGTGGCCTGCTGCTCGGGCGTTTGGCTTTCCCTCTATCTGCGGCCTCGCGATCAGGCCCGCGCACTTCTTTGTTGCCGATCGTGAAGGCTTGGCGCCTTGGCTGGGGTTGCGGGGAGTAGGGTTCGGACTTTCAAGCCGAAAGGCGAAGTCCGATGGGGGGCTCGCGTGAGGCTGCTCGCTCTTAGGGTGTGGCCCGGCGTCTGTCTGCTGTGGTCGATTCATTTTCAAACGAGTTAGAATCGGCGGTCTGGGTTTGTTTGCCTTTTGATGTCTAGGGCCGGGGAGGGCGTGTTCCGCTGCTAGTTTTCTACTTATGTTTGTCCAATCGACGTGAAGCTTGCGCGCCCTGAGCTGCCAGGGATCGGGGGTGAGCATTCGCATTAGTTTTAGGCCCGTTGCAATTGCCAGTGCGCCCAAGAGCCGGGGGGGTGCTTTTGCTGGCGTCTTCATTTGTGCGCCCGCTCCTTCGCTTCTCTGGTGGCGATGAATGAAGGAGCGGCGCCGCGCCAGCGTCTATCTTTTGGGGCCCTCGGTGTCTCTTTTGGCGACAGCATGCGTAAGCAGAAGTGCCAAGACTAGCAGCGTGGCACGCCCCTGCGGCGGACGTGACTGCGCGTCCCTTTTATGTAAGTGCGTACTGTAGCTGTACAGAGCAGAGCAGGGAGGCCTGCGTCAGTTGGTCTGCTTTACTCTGTGGTCTCACCGTGCGTGGCTTGCCTTCGAGGTCGTCTCGGTGTCTTCGTTCTCGTTGTGGGGTCGCAAGTCTTTGGCATTAGCGCAGGCTGGTGTGCTTCTTTCTTGGCTGGTGTTTGTCCCCGCGGGTGTCTCACTCTTTCTTGGGTGGTACCTATGGGCTTGGCCCGTATAGATTTTTTTTACGGGGTCTCGGGGTCTTTGCTTTTTCCCACTTTTCGAGTTTTTGTCCTTTCGCCGGTGTGCTTTGTTTGGCAATTGCCAAGGCCTTGGCTGGTTTGCTGTGGGAATTAGTTACGAAGGCCCGTGCCCGTTTGCCCTGGCAATTGCCAAGGCCTTCGCCTGTACGCCTTGGCAATTGCCAGCCAGGGCCTTGGCTTGTTTGCCTTGGCAACCAATTGCCAAGGCCTTCGGTCATTGCCAAGGCCTTCGCCCGTCATTGCCAAGGCCTTCGCCTGTTTGCCCTGGCAATGAATTGCCAAGGCCTTCGCCCGTTTGCTTTGGCCATTGCCAAGGCCTTCGCCTGTGTGCCTTGGCAATTGCCAAGGCCTTGGCTTGTTTGCTTTGGCAATTGGTTGCCTTGAAGGCCTTCGCTTGTTTGCCTTGGCAATGAATTGCCAAGGCTTTCGCTTGTTTGCCTTGATGGCCATTGCCAAGGCCTTCGCCCGTTTGCTTTGGCAATTGCCAAGGCCTTCGCCTGTGTGCCTTGGCAATTGCCAAGGCCTCGGCTTGTTTGCTTTGGCAATTGGTTGCCAAGGCCTTCGCCCGTTTGTTTTGGCAATTGCCAAGGCCTTCGCCCGTACGCCTTGGCAATTGCCAAGGCCTTGGCTTGTTTGCTTTGGCAATTGCCAAGGCCTTCTTGCGCCGTGGTTTGCCTTGGCAATTGTCAAGGCCTTCGCCCGTACGCCATCCATGGCAAGTGTCAAGGCAAGCGCCCGCCTGTTTGCCTTGGCAATTGCCAAGGCCTTCGCCCGTTTGCCTTGGCAATTGTCAAGGCCTTCGCCCGTTTCTTTGCCTTGGCAATTGTCAGCTTTTTGGCGAGCTTGCTTTGGCAGTTGATTATCTGATCAAGGCCTTGGCTGGTTTACTTTCTTGGCAGCAGTCAAGGCTTTCGCTCGCTTGTTTGGGTGTCTGTGGGTGTCGGCTTCTGTCTCTTTTGGGTGCCTCTGTTGCCCCTCGGGTGTTGTGAAGCGATCGAGCGTGCCCCACTTGGTTTGCGATCCATCATGCCATCCCCCTGGGGCTCCATGCCATTCCCTGCGTCGTTGTGTGGGGGCGGGTGCGCGTGCGCCTGCGATTGTTGGCTTCTCTTTCTTCCACCTCCTCTGTTTCGGAGTCGTCCAGCGGAGCGACAACGGGAGTGAATCCCAAGGAAATTCTCGCGGAGGGTTCGGCGGCTGCCTCGGCTCAGTGTACTGCTGTCACCTTCGGGGGGTTCTCTGGGTGTGTGGAGTGGCCTTGGGTGTTGTCAGGCTTTCGCTGGTGTTGTGTTGTTTGTGCCGTGCTCGCTGTGCGTGTTCGTTTCTGTGTTTGGGTGCGTGTGTTCTCGCCAGTCTTTCTCTTTGTGTGTCGTTTGTCAGGTGGTCGCCGCTTGCGTTTCTCTGTCTCGGCTTGGATGGCTTCCGCATTGGTGGGGCATACCGCTTTCGCCCCAGGGGGCGAACGCATTTGACAGCAGGCAACCTTGTGGGAAAGATCGGGGAAAAAGTTAGGACCAGAAGAATAGCCAAAAAAAAGAGGGCGCTCGACGAGGCTGAAAGTGAAAGCTGACTAGGCTAGTGCCATTCTCTAAAATTTAGGAGCTTATTTCTAGCTCCTTGAGCTTTCTGCCTTGCAGATAAAACTTACTTCCGCGGGCATGTTACTTTTGGCGAAGGCATGGGCGTCGAAGTCTGGAAAGATGAAACCCGTCAAGACTTGTAGCAGCTGTCCCCGCCGTTCTTGTTTCTTTTGTTTCTGGTGTCTGAGTGTCGTTCGGTTTTTTCGGGGCTTGTTAGTTGTTGTCTGTGTGTTTGTTCTCTCTTTCGTTCGTTTTTCTGTCTGGCGTCTTCTTCTTAGTGTGGTGTGTGGTTGCCGTCTCCCGCCGCAGTCGGGTCGCCGGCGTGTCTCTCCTTTGTGCGTGGTTGGGTGTTGTCTCTGCGTTGGTCTCGTTTTTGCTTTCGAGCTTCTGAAATTTCTGCGAAGAAAGTTGGTTTCTGAGCTTTGTTTGGGTTGTTGTCGAGAAAATTGGGCTCCAACTTGTTCCAGGGAAACGGCACGGCGCGCGTGGGTGTGGCGGACTTTGGTTTCTCTTGGTGGACTTTAGGGGGCGAAGGGATTTGGCTTTTTTGGATGGTATTTGCAATTTCAAACCTCGTGCGGCAGCCCGGCCTCGTTGGTAGCTCTTGGTGGATTGGTGTCTGTCTCTTCTCTGATCGTTGGTGCGGGTGTCCTCCTCAACTTTGGCGGGGCCGCTCGATGTGTGTTTCTGCGGACCTTTAGCGGCGGTGGGGCGGGCTTTCTGTTTGGGCGATGGTGTTCCCTCAGTTTCACAACGCGCGACGCCTTGCAGAGAGGCGTGCTAATTTTTCTCAAAAAATTTTATTGTTTTTGCTTTTTTCAGTGTGAGTCTTGAACATTGTTGCCTCCCCGCCGGGGTTGGTTCGTGGCGGGGCTTCTTTCTCAGGCTGCTGAAGCTTGTGCGCGGGTGTGCTTCGGGTGTGGGTGTCTGGGTAGAGTCGGCCAGCCGGCAGCGCCGCGGGGCGCCGGGTAATTCGCAGCGGACGCGGCGTCGCCGCGTTGATTTCGCATGTCTGTGGATGAGGGAGGGTTGCAGCCTTCTGGCATCGATGACGGCCCCGCGCTGCGGTCCTACGGAGTCGCCTGGCGGGGCTATCAATCCGTCGGGGGCGGGGGCTCTTACCTGGGGGGGGTAGGCGTGGTTTCTTTTATTTTGGAGAAAATTCTGCGAAGGACTGCAAAATTCCGGACGGAGTTCAAGCTTGCTGGGCATGATAAGAAGAAGCGCACTGCGCTCCCTTCGGGATAACCTTCTCCCAATTGCGAGCCAAGAGCCTCGGGCCCCCTCCAAATCCCCGCGCCCCTCGCTCCAGAATCCCCCAGCACACATTTGCAGGCTGGTGCGTTGGGCTCTGGAGGGGCGCGGGGAATCACATGAAACGAACCCAAAAGACAGGAAAACCAAGTAAGAGGAAGCAAGTTGCAAAAGTTGCAAAAGCCGCTAAGCGGAGCACTTCTAGGACGAGGGGGCGACTATCGTGGCCGTTTTTGTGCAGTTCTTATCTGACTTAGCGCCTTTAGAGTGTAAAACTTGCGTTCGCAAGTGTCTCCCCATTCGAGTCGGCTGCGGGGGATTGGGGGCGCGGTTGGGGCGGGCAGATGGCTTGCGAATCCAGAAGCCTCTAGGAGGTTTTGCTCGGTGGCTGACTCTTCGGCCAGTCGTGTCGCCCGTCGGGATTCCGCTGCAGCAGATGCGCCCGTCGGCTCTTTGGGGGGATGTCGGCATCTCAAAGGACTGCAATTCGCAAAACTGGAAGAAATGAAAAAAACTAAAAAAATGTCAGCGGTGGACCCCCCTGCAAGGGTGTGCGCGGGGTGATTAGTTATTTGGCTGCCACGCTCAAAGGTGAAGGTGGTTCGACCTGTAGCCAGTGGTCTGTCGGCGTGCCCGTGTGTCGCTCAGCGGGTTGCGTGTGGGTCTCTGTGTGTTCGTCTGTGTTTGTTTGTTTGTTTGGAATCGAGGGAGATGGTGGAGTATGTGGTGGGCCTTGCTTCTCGCCTTTTTCGTTTGTCAGCAGATCGCATGGCTGGCGGGGCGTCGTTTGCGAATGGCATGCGATTTTTCGCTTTGTTGTGGTAGATATGCAGGAGCGGCGCTTCTGTTGGTTCGCGCCGGGGGGTGTCGTGTCGTCAGTGCATTAGGAGGCTCGGCTGTTCTGTGATTGCTTGCCCCTGGTTCTTTCGGTGGCGTGCGCCATCAGGTCGCGGCCGGCCTCTGTAGCGGCGTACGGGAAAACCCGGGGGGGGGGCGTGTTCTGCCTTTGTCAGTTTCCCTGGCCCTCCCGCCCCTGCCTCCTTGGCCTCTTGTGGCTTCTCCACGGGTGTCGCAGCCGCTCGCCCCCAGGTTGCCTCTGCTGGGAGACCAGTAGGGACCCAACAGGAGGCAGGAGCGGGATGGCCGGGGAGGCTGACTGGGGTGGAAAACGACCCCCCAAGGGGTTTCTTGTAGGCCGCTACAGAGGGTGACCTCGGCCCTACGGCGTGCGCCGGTCTGGCGCGTAGGTGATGCTTGCGCAGGTGTCTAGCTTGGGCTGGCTCAGGCTCAAGGATGGGCGGCCGCTCTCTTCCTTGCATTGAACGTTTCCTAAGTCAGTGCGTGCCGGCTTTTCTGCGAAGGTGCCAGCTGGGTGGCCGCGAGGTAGTTCTTGGTTGTTCTTTTTTGGCGGAAATGGACCGCCTCCTTCGAAAGAAAAGAGACGGGCCAGGCACGGCGGCTCCGTCCATGCAACAAGTCAAAGCTGATAAAAATGCATCCTCTGCTCCCACAGGCTTCGCGCCACATTGGCGCTGCGCGTGTGTGTTTGGATAAATTAGAGTGGAGGCAATTGGCTGGGCTGACTGTGCGAGACGCGATTCGTTGGCGACCTTGTGCATTTGGCTGCCCACCCCGACTCATCACCCAGCTTGGGCAAGTCTTTCTTGTCGTGGAGCTGGTCTGCGCCTTGCTCGTGGTGTGGTATTGGTTTTAGTATATCGCGGCACGGAATCAATTAGGCAGGGACCCTGTGGCGCCTTGGCTTCGGGAGCGTTCGTTGGTCTTAGTTGTAGCCTTGGCTACCTCCAGTGGGTGCGTGGCTGGTCTTATTTGCTCCGGCTGTGCTGCGTCGTTCGATCGTCGGTTTGCTTGCTTCGAGTCGCTCTCCAGTGTGCCAGAATGGTTCGCTGTGTCTCGCCGGCGGGGGTTCGTTGGCGTTTGGGCCTGCAGCCGCTGTCTGCTAACTATGAAGATCTCGGGAAGGGCCGCCGCGGAATCTTGGAGACTGTTCTCGCGGATCTCGGGAAGGGACACCGCTGGAGACTGTTCTCGCCGCCTGCCCCCGCTCTCTTGGTGTTGCTCTCGTGGTGGATGTTGCGTGAAACGCGCGCGGAGGCGGAGCGGGCTGAGACAAATTCGGAAAGGGTGACGCACTTTCTGCGCGGCTCCCTTGGCCATAGCGGGGGGGATCGTGATGTCTATGGTTTCAGCCGTGCTAACGAGACGGCTGCTTCCCTTACTTTTTTGGAGGAGACATTGAGCACTGCGGCCGAAGGTACATCTGGCCTGGATGACGGCTGCGGCGGTCGCGTGAGCAATTTGGTGGAACTTGTGACACCCGATGCTGGTTCCGAGGGTGAAGCGCTAGGCAGATTATGTGAAAATGCGAACGGGAAGAAATGCATCGAAAAAGCAAAAGCGCTAAGCTTCGCTCAGTCAAGCACCGGGGGGTCCAGTGTCTTTCTCTATGTCAGCGCTGTGCCGCCGCGGAAGGGTATGACCAAACTACCCCCTGCGTATGGTGAGTGCTCGAAGAAGGAACACAGTGGCAAGCTTTGGAAGTGCCTCAGCGACAAGTTCGAGGAAGGGAGGGACCAGGCGGGCGAGCATCCTTTCCTTCGTGAATGGGGTGCCGACGTGTCACTGCCAGTTCCGCTCCCGTTGGAGCTTCACTCGCAGGGCCTGCGCAGTGATGAGGGCTCCGGGCTGGCGGATAACCTCCAGCGCGTACCGCACATTTTTGAGAGGATCACAAAGGAGGAGGACGCGCTGAAATACCTATGCGGCTTTGGCGTGGGATCCTTTTCTCTCCTGAGAAATTCTGCGCTGGGCCGTTTTTTTAACGCACGCTCTCCCAAGAAGTGCGTCGAGCAGGCAAGGACGCTGAAGTTTGTTCTGGCCGCGAATGGAGATGAGACGCGCGTTTCGGCCTTTTTTGCCCAGATCCAGATGAAAGGCGAAGGCGCAAGCGCTGATGGCACGCCAGCCAGCGGCCTCGCCGAATATCATCTGTGGCCACTCGACGCGGCACTCGGCGATAATTCTGAGGTGCCGTGCTTCCAGTTCCAAACGGAGACAGGGGCTGGCCCTTCCACGGACCTCGGAGCAGAGGGTCCGTGGAGCTGCCTCAAGAATGCGCACGAGAAAAGGCGGGACTTGGGGGTCAAGCCTCCCGTCCCCCTTCCGTTTTTCCTCCATAGGCGAGGGATTAAAAAGGTGCACACAGTCACGCTGGGTTCTCTATACAAGCAGAAGATGACGAGCCGCTCGTTTACAACGTTGCTCAGACGCATGAGTACGCTTATGAAACGAAGAACGACGGATCGCAAGCTTAGAAGACCCTTTTTGCAGTCAGTGCCTCGACTTTTTTCGCGATCGTCGACGACGACGCCGGCGCCGGTGCAGCAAACTCTAGAAGAGATTAAGAAGAAGCTGCTTGACGGGGTGGATGGTGATGGGCTCATGGCTACAAGCTTTGGGGTTTCATGCGCTGAGATTACTGCCAGCGGGAAGGCGGCCCAGCCTGTGCCGCAGGTGGAGCAGGCACAACCACAAGACGGGGAAGAGGTGTCCACAGAGGTGCCAAAGGTGGCGCAGGTGTTAAGTGAGTCTTGTGACCAGGGAGAAGCTTCAAAAAACACCTGGAGGCTCCAGGCTCGTAAGGTAGGTGCCGGCCAAAGCGGGGGCCAGCAGATGAGCAAGTGGGAGGTCTTTGCCGGGGCTGAATGGAATGCGCAGCCGGAGGGCGCTCCGCTGGCGCTCTGCATCGCCGCGAGGGCTTTTGCTACTCAAGGTCAAGTTAACACCGGCCGCGCCGCCTCGTCTCTCCTAGAAGTGGACAGAGGGGTATTCAGGTACCTTCAGAGCAGAATAACTGGGATGGGCGATCCAACTGGGGACGAAATGGGATTTCTGGGCGGCATGCTTCTTGGTAGCCTCTTCATAGTGCTCCTGGGTGCTCTCACATTCTTTACTTTTGGAACCGTGTGGGTGATTCTTGGTGCAATTGCGGCGGTGTGGTTTGTTTATGACATTTTATCGGCAATTTATTTCATAGGGAAACGTCTTGCAGCTCCTCCAGAGGCTACTGCAGCTGCTGGCGGACAGTGAGCGCTCTCTTGGGGGACGTTGTGAAGGATAGAAAAGCAAGGCACGCCATTGCGATTGGGTTTCTTCGTCTTTTTCGTTGCTCAGTCTCAGTCAGAGGAAGTGCAGACGCATGCTGTGGGGCAGTGCTCAGACGGGTGCTCCCCATTGAATTCAGAGGAGTGGGGCCCAAGTAGGTGCTTGGTCTATCTAGGTGCGTCACCATCGTCGCCAATTCCATCGGTGAAGTTAACGGCGCTGGGCGCTTTCATTGCCGTCAAGGCAGTGCTCTGGCTTGGTGGCCTAAGTCTAAGTCTGTAAAGATGGGGCGCGCGTGCCTAAGTTTGAAGCTGACAAACGGTGAATGGCGTAAGATTTTCAGGGGAGCTTTTGGTCTCGAATGTCCGTCAGCAGGATGCCCGTAGGCGTCTGCACTGTTTGGCGACTTCTTTCCGGATAGCTGATGGCACTCCCCCACCGGTGTCCAGCCGCTGGTCCGTGGATCCTGTATGGAGTCCGCCGGCCGGTGCTTCTAGAAATTCTTACACCTTTTTTGACCGAGTAGTTAACTTAGACCGCATAGGCGCAACGGGGTGGCGCCTGTGGGCTAGGCATGGCCATGAAGTTTGGCGGGAAGTCTCTTTGTCAATAATTTACTGTTGATACTGTCATCGTTGAGTTAAGGTTTGGTCACTGCATGATGGCGCAAAAAAAGAACGCGGCGGAGAAGATGGGTCCATCATGAGTATCATTGCTAGCTGTAACAGCAAATCTTGATGATTTTGCTTGCCTAGGTGGTGGGTCGGTCGCTTTTTTCGGATCTGTTGGATCAGGATCAGGCTTTTTTGCTGGGAGAATTTCTCTTCAATGAGGCTCACCTATGGAAAATCTATGCCGCTCATTTGTGTGCGTGCATAATTGATTGATCTTCTACTTGGACGGCTGTCCTAGGAGCTATTACTAGGCCGAGCAAAAAGATTTTGTGGACATCAGTTGCAAATAATTTAGGGGGCAGGAGAAGTCGAGTGTATGATTCTGGGGGTTAGGGAACGAGCTAGCGATAGCTTCCAGCCTGCTACGCTGCACATTGTAGGCGGGCTGGGGGGTGGGAGTCCATTTCCATTTGCATTCCGTTGTGCGATGAGGGTCCTGCCTTGGGTAATTCTGTGTGGTAAAAATTGTCACTCAATTTTCTGGGCCTTCTATGCTGAGGTGGATATCGCTCAGCTAATGTTGGCGTATTATTTTGCATTCCGTTGTGCGATGGGGGCCCTGCCTTGGGTCATTCTGTGTGGTGAAAATCATTGATCAGTTCATCGCACTCTTGATGCTGGTAGATGCAGCTGTGTCTTTTTTTTTGAGCACATGCAGGTCTCGGGCGGATCGGCCAGAGCGGAGTAGTCATCTAGTGTGGCGGCAACGCCGATGCGCCTTCTCCTGTCTTGTTTATGCTTTTTCTCGTTTTTTGATTTTTTTTTTGTTGATATGTTAGTAATGAGTATGAGAAGTCGGGCGCGCATATGATGTGTTTTTGGCCTGACGGATGGGAACTCCTGAGGTAGATACGCTGGAAAGCCTTCACCCGTAGGTGATAAAGGGGTCCCTCTCCTGACATATCGAGGCTCTCGTACTGTTCAACGGAATTGAGAGAAGTCAAGGTAGACTCAATAAGTCTCCCAAGCTTGTTGGTCGTCCTTCTGGCAGTCAAATCACGCAAGTGCCCCCTTGGGTTTCTCTTTTGAAGGAATACGGAAAGGATCAGGCGTGCCTCGTGAGCAATCAATTTTCTGTAGAAGCAAGTAAGAGCAGGGACGCTTGTTAAGTAATTTGTTTTCTATATGAGAAGAGGTTGCGCATGTATGTATCATTTGTTTCTAGAAATTCTAAGGGTCAGCATTCTGCACGGTCTGAAGGGTCGCGGGTCACCGACTCTGGAGGGGGGAGCGCATTTCCTCTGTATCAAATTCTCTACAAGATTTTTTAGAGCATTTTTTCAAGCTTTTTACTACTGCAGTTCCTCGATCGTCCTGTAGTAAGGAGGCACTAAAATAAAACTTTTTTAGGAATAAGATCTTTGAGTATTCTATCGCTTCATCCCTATCTCCAATAATTCTATCGCCCTTCGAGCAGATGACGGCTGACGCAAGCAGTCGGATTCTGTAAGGAGAATCGAGAAGAATAGGGCGAACGGATTTGTGATATTATTGCTCATCATCTGAGTCTGCAATACGAGCTAAAACATTTGCGAATGCCGCATTATGCGGCGTGCAACGCGCGTGGCTGAGGTAGGTAATTGTTCCTCTCGAAGTCTAAGTCTAACTCAGTCTAACTGATCCAATTCTTAGTAGGGACTTACACGGGATTTAACATTTTTTCAAATGAATAGAAATACTTATCTTCATCATGAAGATCAAGATCATCTGCTAGCCTGAATGATCGACGGGAGAAGAAAAAAGAAGCAGCAAATCTCTCATTCTGCTCATTTGTCACTCTCACTTGCAGTCTGATTGTAGCTTTTTCGTTATGTGAAAAATGTGCGTCAGGCTGATGCGAAGAGAAAAAAGGAGGAGGGGCTTAGGCTAGTTCGAAAGCCCAAGTAGCAAAAGTGTGCAGTTGTAACGATAATTTTTTTGAAAGGATGACTAAGTAGACAGATTTTTTTTTTGTGGCAGTTTTTTTGCACGCTGGCTTACGGCCTTTGAGTGAGTATCAAAGCTGTGCTTAGTGGTATAAGTGAGTAGTGGGGAGGAAGCGTCTAGTCGTACCTAAAAAAAGATCAGGGAAGCCGGGGGGTGAAACGGGGGGGTCCAACCTTGGATGACCTTGAATCACGGAAGTGCCCCCTTATGCCACGTAAGTAAGTGCTGGGAACTACACACATCAATCAGTATCAGTCACGAACCCAAGGCGAAGGGTCAGGCACAAGCCGCACTGTGTGCCTAAGGCCTAGGGTACTAGAGTATTCAAGGCGAAGGGTCAGGCACAAGCCGCACTGCGTGCTTAAGGCCTAGGGTACTAGAGTAAACCTTGCTATTTTTATTTGATAAAGCAGAAGCAGGGGAATTAGTCTTCTGCACCTTCCTCCATTCATCATCAAAGTAAGAGTCTTCAAATGTTTGGTAGCGCTTCAACTTTTAGATCAACACTGTTCATGTATTTTCTCTTACTTCCCCGCGCGTCAAGGAGCAGCTTGCTAGTGAGGGCGAGTGCCATGTTGTCTGTGCTGTACTTTATGAAGACGCCTGCTCTAAGTCAAGTACATTAGAAGAGCAGGTAAGAGCAAGAAGACGAAAGTATGTCGTGATGATGTTGAGGGAGATCAGATATCGTCTACTCACTGCGCAACCGATTCACAGTTATCATATCGTCCACCGTGCAGCTGCTTGCTCTAGGATTCGAAATCTTAATGGATAAGCAAGGGCTTTTCTAGTCGGGGCTCCGCTGGAAGTAAGCAAGTAAATTCAAGGGTCATAGAGCTAAATTATTTTTGCTCTTGTAGAAGATCACTTTTATTTACACGGCTTACTGCAGTTTTTCGAACATCATTTCATTGCCAGAGCAGCAGCTGGTAAGAAGCAATGTGATATATGTGTTGGCATGAAAGTCTTTGATTTAAATTATCCTAGGACGAACTAGGGAAATCCTCTTAGGAGCTAATTTCTCGAGATGCCATGACAAGAGAGCAGGACGACTGGGCCCAGCGCAACACTGTATCCGCTGCACTGTACTATGAACACTGGATGTAAACTATGCGCGGCGCTCGCTTCCTCCCAGGAGTTGAGCCGACTCCTCTCCTAGTATCCTACAGTTTATAAGCGACGCTCGTCTCCTCGCAGGAGGTGAGGGTGAGCCCACTTCTATCCTATGCTACAGTGTATGAACACTGTGCTGATGAATTACGCTGACACTTTTGGTGCTTATACTGTGAATGAGTGACTGATGAGCAGAGGGCATTTCTTGCTTCGAAAAAAAAACATAGCTACCTTCTTCTGAGGAGATGAAGACAGTAGCTCAACCACAGAACATCAAAGGTGGCTCGCGATGGTGTTCTCGGAGGAGTGTGAGAGCACTTCTACAGAGTCAACAAGAAAAATAACGAAGAGCACTGAAAACCTTTCAACAGGAAGCGCGTCCTTCCTCCCCGTTGCAACTTCGGACTGTACCTCCTGAAAGGATTGGCAACTACAACTGCTACTCGGGTAGTACTAGGGCATAATCTTCCACCGATTGTGCGCTAGTATCCCTTTTTTCAGGTATCTTTCTTTCGTAGTTAGAAGAGCTCTACGACGGCTAATTAGGGTAATAAATACTAGCGTGGAGGGGAATGATCATAGTTTTCGTTGGGTCTTATCTTTTCGCGCGGGAGAGGAGATTACTCGATCACAAGTGACTATATTTATTGGTAGCCCATCCATCATCACAAGTAGTAAGCACTAAGTAAGAGCGTTCTTTCAAATTCACAGAGTGGCGATCCTCAGAGCGATCACAAGTGAGTACTAGGAACAGCCTTTCAACATTCACAGAGTGGCACTCGTAAGAGTTGTTCGAGGGCGCCTTCAATCTGTCCCATGGCTCGGTACCCCAGAGTCTGGCTTGAGTGCTGTTGTGAGCTCGTTCTGAGAGGTGAAAGCTTCTTGAAAATCATTCTAGGGTGAGGACTTCGCGAAAAATCTCTAGAGAATCGTTCTGAACGACGTTGCTCGAGGGTGGAGAGTTTTTTTTTGGGCACAACTTCAACGGTCGTCCTGAGGGTACTAGAGCGTGTCTCTAGGTGCAGCTTCAGACTTCTAAGAACAACGCGGTCATTTACAAGTCCATCATGATCACTAGAAGACCTACAATCTAGTCTTTCTCCTTTCATTATCATTAAATATAATGAAAGGAAAAGGAATAGACTGTAGGTCTTCAACATAATTCATTACTGAAGTTCAATATCACTAATTCCCCCCAGCGTCGAGCGTTCTTCTAGCGGCGTTGTCGAAAAAAAGTTTAGAAAAAAAAGAACACAGTAAGAAAATTTCCAAAAGTACGACTTTTGGACATATGACCAAAAAAGAGACTCTGGAACGCTCCAGAGGGCGGAAGAAATGAAGACTGAGGCGTACTTGATAGACAGCGATGGCGTGCGTTCGCCTGTGTTCTGCATAGTGGCAGCGCCTTGGCTTTGATCGGTCTCATAGTGCTCAGGATCTCGATCAGCTTGTTGCAATGGGAACCGAAGTGGCTGCAAAGGTACTTGCCTGCATTTGCTGGGAAGCTACTGATTGCCAATTCGATCCGACTACTGGCTGCCACTTAGTTGTGACTACTGACCTACCGCACTAGAAGCGTACGGAGCCCCGCCTACTGATTACTGCACGAGCAACAAACGTAGACCCGCCTACTGAAAACTACACGAGGAACGTACTTAGTTGCGGCCGTCCGTTGCTGACTAGCTACTACACTAGACGCATACTGTTGATTATTTACAACGGCGCTAGCAGCATGCATGCCACTGATTGCTAACTACTGCATGGGAAACGTACGCAGTTACGACTGATTACGCGGCTAATTGCTAACTACTGCACTGTGCTAGCTGCGTGCTGTTCTCTTCGCGAGGACTTGAGAGGCAGGGGCGTGCTGACCCCGATCATGACCAGCATGGCCCTGCAGAGCTTGAAGTCGCCTCAGTGAAGGCCGAGGCGTGCCTCCGTACCGGCTATGTTCCGCGAGAGGGGCAGAAGACTGCCATCGGGGAGACCACGAGAGCGCTGGCGGAGCGGAAGTACGTTTGCGCGCAGTGCCCTACTTGGATGGGGAAGGCGGCCCTGGCTCTAGCCGTCTGCAAGCTGATGAAACTGAAGACACCAAAGAAACGGGACGCCGAGGGGCCACAGCGTGTCGCCGCCGCGAGCAAGGCCACCGCCGAAAGCGAAGAAGTGTCGCCGTGCGCGATCGTTACCAGGACACGCGACTAGGGGCCGGGCGTGCTGACCTCTTGCGCAGTCTGTCGGGCCCTCGGGTACTTAGTACACTAACCCAGGGAGAGGGCTTGCGGCAGTCTGGGGCATGGGTCACTCCGGGCCCCGCGCCACCCTCTAGCGCATAGAGCTTCGGAACATCATGGAAGGGGCGCGGGGATACGGCGGCAGCCGGGGCGCCTGCGTGGGTTCGCACAGACAAGCAGGAAGGAGCTGCGCCAGGTGGATAGTTTACAGGAGTCGCTGGATCTTAACGAGGGCAGTAGGGTCTCGCGTGGGGCTGGTGCTTGCCTTTGTTTACTACAATAAATCGAAGCGCACAGAGCCAAAACTGGCAGGCTTGGACAAGTAGCCCCCTGAAGGTGATGGACATCGAGGACCGCAGGCGGAGAGGCTTGGGGCAAGTTCTTTTCCCTCACTATGGACAGGAGTCCGCGCCTGCAGATATCTACGCGCCCGCCTATCCCTACTGGCTGGGGCCCGGGTTTGCCCACGCCTGGGCGAAGTTGCGGCGGGCGGTCAGCCTGGTACTCTCACTTGTTTCAGTCCCATCCTTGTGGTTATTGCGTCGGCGATCCCTGTTATTTCTCGTTTCTTTTTCTCATGTAATATTCGTCAACTTTTATCACGTCACTGAGTGCTACTTCTACTAACTAATATCATAGCTTGTGTACGTTTCGCTCGATTCCTTTGTTTTCCCATGTAGTCACAACGCTCAGGCTTTGTAGCTCTATCACAATTTACGGCCATGATCTGTCGTGTAATCGGTTTCGAGGGAGGAGGACATCGTTTCAAGTGTCTTGAGAGTTTCGGTGGTCCTTTTCCCTTGTAAGTGTATGCTTCGGAGATAGTTGCTAGGAGAAGATAGTTGCTGGGAGAAGATGGCTCTTGAACGATTGTCGGCTGAAGACGATGGGTGAAAGCCAGGTCGGCCTCGCCGGTCCTGCTGTTCATTGCCGCTAACAATTACTCGAGCAAACAATCAAAAATTTTTTATTTAAATCAATATGGGGGGTGCTCTTTCGGTCGTGTTGAATTGGGGGTAAACGTAAATAATTCTGAAGATTTTAAGAAGAACGAAAATCGCATTCGAAGGACTCTCCTGTCGTCAGCAATGAATGTCGCGCCTTTCGATTTGAGTGTCGTTGTCGTAGTAATTGCAACCGTTGTCGAAATGGTGAGCAGGGCAACACGAGTAGCGCGACTCTCTCCCGCCACCCAAGTGCAACAAGACATGATAGTGCCCCCCAAATGGCCTAACTACTGGCACTAGCTACGAATGTCTCTCCGTCTACTTCGGTGTAGCTGAGCGAGGAGGAACTCACCCTCGGAGCACGCAAATTGACATTGGTGGTATATCTACAGTACTAGTATACTCTTTACCGTTAAATATATCAGTATTTCCTTATTCTGACTGAAATTTAGTAACTGCTGTGGTTTCTTTACCGTTACATATTTAACAATACTACTTTTTTCTCATCTATCACGACTACCCTGCTCAGCCATTAATATACTTTTCCTTCGACAGCTCTATTTCCTAGGTACAACAGGTAGCCGCGTTTCCTTGGTTAGTAGTTCACGAGCCAGGAGCCTACTTTCTAATAGTCTTAGTCCTCCTCTCATGTAGGAGGACATGTAGAGAAAACTTTCTCTACTAGGCTTCTCATGGTGTACTAGGCTTCTCTGTTCGCTTCTCTTCTCCTTTTTTATCTCACTGTTCTCGCTGGCACTTATCTCACGCTTAACACGATATTCTCCTTTTTAGAGGTTGGCGGCTGAGTACTACAAAATGGACATATAAGTTGAAGAGGAATGATGATTCTATAGAATATCGAAGAAGCTGCGTAGCTTGAATGACAGGAGATGCAGTAGTGCTAGTTGTAGTAGTAGATTTCTGATTCTTGTGTACTACTACTACACAATAGGCATTGAAGCATTTATTTCAGTAGACTCCTGTGAAACGTAAGTAGAAGGAGCGTCATCATGTCCTCAACATCTGCTCCTCACTTGCCGGCGCTCGCTGCTGCAGGACAGCGCCCTCGGGAGCGCGATTTCGGCGCCGCGCGAGCTCCTCCGGTTCTTGACAAGATTCCTGCTTCACTCGCTCGCGACGCTAGTAGGCAGAGTATAGCAACCAATGTCGTGGATCATGAGCAGGACGGCGCTGAGGACCAGCAGAAAAGCGCGCCAGTAGTTGGACGAGGGCCTTCGAGTGACCCAAGAAAACAGGTGGCCGGTATCGATTCTTAAGACAAAGTTTGTCTTTCTTTCGACATAAACAGTCACAGTGATTCGTAAGCAGCTCCAGATACAGTTCTTGCACCGCAGCTACACTCACAGTTGTAGTCTTTTTTGATGTGACATAAACTGACAGTGACTCTTAATAAACAGTTACTGTTTCTCTTTCTTTCGACACATGTAGTTGAAGAGAGCTACAGGTTCTAGTACTACGAATGCTTCTAGGACGAGCAGCAACAATAAATACCAGGGACATACTTAAATTTTTTTTGTTTTTATCTAAGATGAGCTGCAACACAGAGCCAGTAGAACAGAACTGGCGAATTTCGATTTACGTGTAGTGGAACGAAATACGGAGCTCGTGAAACGACGTCATTAGGGCTACAGCCGCAGTCTCAGAGAACGCATCGATCTTTCCTCCCTTGTGCAAGTGCTCCCTTTTCAAACTTGTTGTAGGAGTCCTTGTTCTCCCCTTTACTTTTCACGTACTAAGAGAAGCAAAGTCAAGGGGCTACGGCCAGTTAGTGTTTATTTTAGTCGTAGTAGTATTCCTTCTAGTACGGTTAGTTTGTTACTGCTTTTAGCAGTATTACTTCTACGCCTAGTTACTAGTGCTGGTAGTGTTTTTAGGAGTATTCGACATGAGTACTTACTTGTTCTTGTTGATGTTTTCACCTTTCGTAGTTCGGACCACTGGAAGTAGGAGTACAAGCAAGTACTAAAGGATGTAGTAGCAGGATCCGACTAGGTGAGATGTTCAAGCGGTAGCTCTAAAGAGAGGATGAATTGGAAAGCGCTTGCTTGGCCCAAATCAAAGAAGCTGAACGCAACGCCGCAGAAAGAGCTGCGCACTTGAATTATGTTGAGCTTAGATATGTGTATTAGATTAATAGTGTTAAGTTATAGTTAAGGACCTAATAAAGATTAACTAATCCACTATCATCTAGAACAACTGCACTATGTTGAGCTTCACTGACATCAACCTCATCAACTAAAACTCGATGTCTAGGTAGTATCTTCCTTCTTGCATGATACTTGTACTTAGATATAGTTCCATTTTGATCATGATGATCCTGGGTGTTTCATGGTCCTTCAGCATCGTTCTTCTCTTTTGTTTAAAAACAGTGTAAAGTAAAGGGTCTGGTCTTCTTGTTCGGTTTCCATTAATATTGTTCCATGCATTGTTCATCCGCGCCTCCTGCTAGGCAAATTTATTCACTCACTCACCCACTCACTCACTCACTCACTCACTCACGCAAGACCCTACCTGTAAGAAGGCCGCTGATTCAATAAGCGCCTCACTTCTAAGAACTACGCCAACTGGACACGTTAGATGCCTTCCTGAAAGACGAAATCCAATCGAAGTTACGAAATCTGGCTGACGAATCCGCGAGAAGCAAACGCTTTGTGACGCGCGAAGTGGAGTCCTTGACTGAGGAATTGCTGGCTTTAAAGCAGGGCTTGCTCACTGCGGATCCGTGGAATAACAGAGCAAGGTTCTACTAAGGAAGGTCGTCTTTTGTTCTTAGAATAGCCGAGCAAGGTCAGGTTCTATTAAGGAAGGTCATCTTTTGTTCTATTACTGTATGGTTCTGGTATTTGGTAACCTGAATTTGATCCTAAGGGCTCTCTTCTTGTTTTCCCTTAGGATCAAACTCAGGCTACCAAATACCAGAGCCATTCAATTACGGCAAGGCTCTTTTAAGGAAGGTCATCGTCTCCTGTTGTTGTAGAGAAATAAAATTCGTTTTTGTCTGTCTTTTCTAGGGATTGGCTGAGGTCCAGCGACGCTAAAAGCACAAAAGTAAAGCAGCCGGCTAGTTTTCCCTCTATTCTTAGGCTTATCCTTTCTGGCAAAGCGTTTGTGTCTAAGGTCTACCTGACTATTGAGGAAGGGCGTGCTATTTTTCGGACGTCTGTGCATAGGATCAATGACATCAAATACGAAGCCGCAGATGTTGAGAAAACCTCAAATAAGAACTCAACCACTCACTCGCTATCAAAACAATTCGCAGCACCTCATACTGAGCACATTCATTCATCATTCAACATTCACTCACTACGAGAGGACAAAAGTCACGAATCATTGAGAGCTCTAATCCCATCAACTAGAGGAACGTGTAAAATCGCTATTGGCAGGTCGCGGAGCAATCGATCCAATTGAGGGGTCAGGAGCTGCGGAAGGTACTCAAGTGCTCATCATGGATCTACTAGGTGGCGCAAGACGAGGCGTAGCGAGTCTCCTTCCATGTGAAATTAGTCTCCTTCACTACGAGAAATAATTTTCTTGTTCTCGTCTCATAAGTAGAAAAATCCATGATCGACGAACTACTTCTACTCATTCCTTCAGCACCACCTACAACTACTACCACGACAACAGTTGTAGATATTCATTCCTTCTACTACAAAAATCCACGATCGACCTACTAGTCATTCCTTCATCTCTATTTCAGTTTTATCATCTCCCTCCGGTCGGCGCAGCACAAGACCTGGTAGTGCGAATAAAGCGTCCAGTGTCGATATTGTGAATAGTAACATTGTATGATGCCACTCATTGACCGCGAAGATATGGGAACGTCGTTCCTAAGTAGGAAGGCAAGCGAGGAACGGCATTCCCTCATCGGCGTTCTCAATGAGTGGAAGCATTCAGGCATGGGCATCCTGGTGAGTCCGCGGCAGCGGAAAGCAGAGAGTCAAATTAAGGAGTCAAAGTAGAAGAAGGGTCGTGATGAAAATACGTAAGTTTTTAACTTGATGGACGTCCACCTCCTCTAAATAGTGGTTTCTTCTCCTCTAAATAGTGGATCCAGGACTTGATCGAGGATGCTGTCAACCGTGTCGATGAATCCGCGGAAAGACGTGTACAGGGGATTGAAACAGAAGCCAGACGTCGAGAACTGGAAATGATGTTAAGGCCAAGGCTGCCGCTGATGAAGGGGACAACTCTCTCAGGTGTGTAAAAAACATGACAATGACAATAACATTAGTACTTGCAGAAATCATGATTGATATGAAGTTGATAGTTGTAATTCGTTAATGTCGTTATTTAGAAATTACCAAGCTAAAATTTTCTTATCTTTTTAAGTCGTGGTAGGTTACTTAAGACTTTGAAGCGTCCTCGGTACGTTTCGTTAATTTGTTGTCGGCATCCTTCGTGAATTTCTTGTCGTCCTTGTATTAAGCGTGACAACAACGAACATCAACGGGATGCGACGCGGACGAGGTAACTCTAATGCTAGCGAAATATCAGGAACTGCTAGACAGATTCACAGCTGCGAAGCTGGAACCTACTACGAGTACAGCAAATCGTAGATTACGGCTAGTAATATGTCACTATCGTAATTGTGGGCCGATTATACTGAGTAAAATCCCCCCTGATCTGAAGGGGAAAAAATTCAAAGGGGAAACTAAGCGGCAAATAACTCACTCGACCAGGGATCATAGTGACAAACTACCTCTAAGTAGAACAGCAACCGAAGTCCTCAACGAGGCAGCGGCAGAGCGAGCAGCGGGTACAGGAGAGCAACTCATAGCGCAGCACGACGTCAACAGGCGAACTTTTTTGCAGATGCAAGAAGAGCTAGTAGCCCTTCGCGCATTCGTGTTGACGAGCAAACAGGAGGAACATTATGGGCAGGCTTTTGGTGTAGGCTTTTAAATTTGTGTTTCCATCACTTCGTTCCATGACCGTTAGTTTATTTGCCTCTCTTTTTATAAGAGTGAAAGGAATCATTAGGATAACTTCTGACGCGGTAACTTTCTAGATGTACTAAATCAATGAAGAGATGAGAAGAAGTGAACGTAGAACAAGCCCCGTGCTGGGTATATCATCATGAACTGAATATAGGTTAAGCAGTAGAAGCAGGAATAAGTCCTATTAGATCCTCTAAGAACAAGCAGGGATGTACCAAATGAAGCAAGCAATAGAAGAGGAGATCCAAGCCAGGGAAAAAGATAAGAAGAAGGAACTGGCCGACCTGTGGCGGGAAAAAAACGCTCTTACCGTGGAAGTCCAAAAAATGGCAGAAAAAATGCAGGAAAGCCTCTTGTTTTTATGAAGAAAAAAATATACGGTAGCAGCAACAAGAACATAAATCTTCTAGGTATGCGCTTAGTGGTTGGGGAAAGGGCCCGCCAAGGCACGTTGTATACGTATATGTTATAGCATCTTCATGTTGACGTATGAGTATGGAGGAAGAAGTAACTAACTATGCGTGCTATGAACGAACACTGGTTACTCCACTTCTGGTACGTAGGCGTAGGCTCATTACTAAGTAGGATCTTCATGGTATATGTATATCATGCTGATACTTTCACTTCAAGTGGAACTAAAAGTCTTGCGCTCAACGAGTCCCCTCGGCTGGAGGTCTTTACTTACTCTACTACTTCCTTCTTTTTGCTAGAAGGTCTCTTATTTTCTAGGCGAACGACCAGACCGCTTCAGGGACTGTTTCATCTCACTAATGACTGAGTCACTAATGACTGAGGATAGTCATTTGAGATGCACATATGACAAAAGATCTTCAATCTCGTCCCTACTTCTAATCCCCCTAGCCTCGGCTGCGAAGCAGAAGGAGGAGGGCGTGAAAAATCAGGTCCTAGACCAGTGCTATTCTATGCAGACTATGCACCAAAATGAATTCCGCGTTGTTATGCGGAAAATGGAAGATCTCCGCAAGGAAGAAACCACAGATAAGCACTCTCTGTTGGCCGAGATTGAACGTGCTCTGTCTTTAAGGCTACCGCTGAAGCATCTGGTGCTTATAAATAACACCCACCATGAAAGAATGATGATCCTTGGATCTTCTTTTTTCTATTTGCAGCAGAAATATAAATGATAAAACTACTCTTACACTATATATCAATCTGTACTCTGGAGAACAACTTGTAATTACTAGGAACCTGTGCCTCTCTCTAGGAAGATGTGCCTTTCTCTAGGAAGATTCGAGCGCGACCGCGGTAGCTCTAATGTCTATGGTCAATAGTCTTTCGACCTATGCAGCAGATGTGAATAATCGGCTGCAGCAAGCTCGCGGAGACCTTGCGAAGCGAGTATTATGGCCCAAAACAAGCAATTAGGTCTCCCCCTTTCCAGTTCAACCTGCTTCCCATCTTGTAGAAAAACTACTCATTTTAACATAAGAAGATGACGAGTATCTAAGATTCTAAGACACCTACAAGACATCCAATCAAGGACTACTTTGGGGCCACTTCTTCATTGATCACTCAAGGGTCTATACACCGGTACTCAGAGGCGTCCTGACATGAAATCAGGGGTCATTTTTCTTTGTGTCGTCCTTCTTCACCTTCTTTGGATTCCATTTCTTTCCAGGATCATTCTCTTTCTTTTTGTTTCTAAGTATTCGTATTCGAATGAGGTGATGTGTAGTTGAGTTAAAGGATAAAAGAGATGAAATTCCACTAGGCTGAACAGACTACTGTCATAAAAAAGGTGACAGACTACTTTGTTCATCGATTCAAGAAGACAGGTATAAGGGGCCTTCTTCTAGCACAAATGAAACGGGATGTTTTCAGCTCGTCTTCTAAGAGTAGAGCAAACAGAGGAAAAATTGCTGACCAGGAACCGAGAGCACGAACAAATGATAAAGTCCTGGGTTGGCGAGAAAGTGACGGACGTGGATACTCGTTTGTCAGAATTGTTATGGGTCGTGTGACTGATTTTATCTCTTGAAGACGTACTTATAATGTGCTAGTACTTATAATGTTGTCGCCCGCTGCCCCCCACTGGAAACACCACCGACGCGCCCTTCTCTCGGTCGTAGGCTGCTGCGCCTCTCTGTCTTGCTACCGTTCAGGCCACTTCGGTGGCCAGACGGTTGCGCCAACCTCGATTCGCTTGACACGGTGCCGGCAGCAGCGTACTGTTACTCACTGGCCTCGCGCATGCTGCTGGGTTTTGCATCTCGCTTTTGATTGTCTCGTGCGGTACGCACACCGAGCGCCGGTTTGAGAGGAGGCACAAAGGAGGGGCCGGCAGGGCCCTGAAAATTTTTTATACACTTGCGAAATATATAGCTGTGGGCGTCATAATAATGTGCTAGTACTTCTAATTCAAATAATGTTGTCTGACTGTTATACTCTTAGCGGAGAGATGCAACTAAGAAGTGCTACTTCGATTTCCTCGCCACCCTGTTCCGAATTGGGTGTAGGAAGTAAAAGTGCGTCAGCATCGCCTTATATATTTAAGTAGATAGAGTCACCTGGTGGTAGAGTCTCTACTCATCACCGCAGAGCCTCCTTGCTCGTCTGCCGTCGAGAAGAAAAGAAGATCTGAAAGTAGAAGACATGCAAATGTGATGAATGCGTCTTCTTGTTCTCTTCATCTTTGCAGTCTCATTATATTTCTTGATATTCTAAGGTCTACATGTCTATGCATTCCTCTAAAATCACTGCAACGTGCGGAATTAGCGACCAGTGTGGTGTCCAAGCTGGAGACGAGTGTGGAGAAAGGCAATCTGTCTTGGGTTGAGCGTTTTCGAGCATTAGATTAAGGCTGTCGAATTCCTTGATAAAAAATTTTTCATTAGAACGAAGATAAGTATACCTTTTTGTAGATTACATAGCTTGCTTTATTATTGAATTATATATCCGAGTGCGCGCTCCCCGGAGGGCAACGCCGGGTAAAAAAGGTTCCACCTGCTTAGTGCGTTTAGCCGAGCGCCTGCCAGCGATGGCGAGGCACTTCGGGAAGCAGAAAGCTTCCCCGCCCCCCAACACGACCCAGGCGTTTTTAGCATCCCTCGCGCTCGACCCGCGTCGACACGCCCCGTCCACAGGCGTGAGCCACTGGAGGCTCGCGGTGATGGCGAAGTCTTGTCCGCGTGTTTGCGCGCGAATGTACGGCAACCTCCCAGCCTGTGTCTGGGTTGAGTGTCGTGGAGGCGTGCGGGGTCCTTCGACATGTCCCTACCTGAGTCTTGCTTGCCCGCCGCCGCAGGCACCTCGCCTCGCTGCCTCGTAGCGCGCTTAGGATTTAAATAGCTTGTCCATCCCCCTGCGTCTGTGACCAGTCCTCGTTCTGAGCGCGCTAATTCGAGCACACCACGGAAAGCAAGTGCAACGGATTGGAAAGGCACACGGACAAGAAGATGCAAATCTTGGAGTTCGAGGTTCGCTCAGCTACTAACACCGCGATTTAAGGCTTCCCCGAATCATGGTCCGTCTGCAGAGAGGGCACCCTGCCTGGTAGAGAGATTTTCAGAGGGGCAAAGGAAGTAGAGGCCTTTGTTGACTGTGGTCACGCTTTCAAGTAGGGTGTAAAGGTCTCAGGATGGTCCTGAGGATGGATCATTAGATTGAGCTCTAAGCAAAGTTAGATTTGGAGGAGAAGGTAAACAAGAACCTGACAGTTCAGGAGAAAAACAACCGGTCTTTTCGCAAGCTCGTCACGCAAGAGCTGATCGACAAGACGCGGTCGCTGTTCACACGTGGCATTATGGCTACCGCGCCGTTGCATCCTGAAGAAAAGTAGGTATGTAGTTGCGTCCATCCTTGTTTGGACGTTCACCGTTTCTCTAGGATTATACATGCCAGGGACGATAGGGAAGCATCCACGACTTTCCAAAAAGGGTGCTCTAGGTGTCAATTCTGCCATGTCAATTCTAATGGCATCACTGAGACCGAGAACAAGTTGATGCTGAAATTGGAGGAAAACCGAGGTCGGATTGAGCAAGTGAATCTGGATTTAACGGATTTACTACGACAAAGAATGCTGGATCTGCAGGAACGTATCCACCGACAAGGCGATGAGCAGAGCCAGGCGTTGGCGCGTGTGTCTGTCAGTCTGTCGGATAAGATAGAACTTACGGCGACGGCGCTCTTCAGGTGTTACTCAATAATTGTGGTAGCACTAGTAAGAATTAATACAGAAAAATAGTTTATGTGTAAGTGTATAACAGAAAAATAGTCCACAATATAAATATATAAAATGTTCTTTCAAAAAAGAAAAAGTACTTCTATCGTCCGCTATCGTCTAACAAACGCATCCTTACGATGTGAATGTTTAGAAGTGTTGTAGTTGGGACTGTGATGTTTAATATCTGAACGCTCTTGCAGTCTCAATTTTGTGGTAGCACCCGCCACTAGTGAAAATGATTATTTTTTGATCAAAATGTACACACGTGAACAAGAAGCGCCTAGCTCCTGTTCTAAGATATGCACAGAAAACGACCTGTGGAATAAATGTGACGCTTTGAGCAATATTACCGCTGACCTCCGAGCTCTGATCGAGGATACTGAGCGCAAAGTTCTGGACGAAAGCAAGACTTTCACCTTAGACGTGAAAGACGAGCTCGAAAATCGGATCAGTCTGGAGAAACAAGCAGTATTGCAGGAAATAGACCGGCTGTTAAGAGCGAGGGACTCAAATGAATATGGGCTATATTAATTTAAGGTTAGATGAGGGCTTTTTCTGAAAAAATCATGAATGTTGTTGACCGAAGAACCTCCGAACCTATAAGAAATTATGTTGAATAAGTTAGTAGGAATATTTATGTTTGTTAATGTTCGTTAAAGTAAGGGAATAAGCTCAGCAACTACATCTTCCTCTAATGTTGCTGGGGGAGGAGCGTAGGGACAGGCTAAAAGCAGATGCAGAGAGGCTGTTTGGGTTGCAGAAACGCTTAACGGCCTTCGAAGGGCATGTGGAGCAAACGCTGGAGAAGACTTTGGCGGACGTGGATGAGAGAGGAGGGAAACTGCAAGAGCTAGTGCAAAAAATTGACACAAAGCATGAAGTTAAGGACTGCTTCTGGAGTAGTAGATCCGCACTATGTAGTAATACTTGCTGGGTACTACACGACAGCTACTACCTCCTAGACTGGGCACACTACTACTGCTGCTGCTCTGCTCGTCAAATGATAAAAATGATTATCCGACTTTGACAACTACAACATCTTCAATCACAAAAATGATCAGAAGGATGTCTGTATCTTTCTTGTTGATGATGTATTTTTTTAGCTTGTGGATGCATTCATAGAAAGTAAGATGAGCATGTAGAGGCAGCTAGCTGCGCTTTGTTTACCAGTAGGACGACGAAAAAGAGCAACATGCAAATTCATGGTGTAAACAAAAAATCAATCTGCTCCTTCCTTGTCGCTCTTCTTCCAATGATCCTTGTTTTGATAACTTTGTTCGACAAGAAGATGATTCTCATCCTCGTGACCCTCATCTTCATGATCATCCTCGTAGTTTAACGCTCCTCTAACGATAATTTCCAGAAACAGAATGAGGACAAAGAGTACCAATTAGGGGAAGGGATAATGGAATTGCTGAAGATTCGCGAGCTGGACCAAGAAGATCTCCGGAAGAGGTTTGATTATGGCATGCTTGTATTTTTTCTGACGCCTACCCAGGCCCCTTCTACCAAACTCCCACTCCCTGTGTATTGGTATTCATCTTTACGATTATATAAATATTCATCTTCCTAGTGCAGGGTTCTTAGCTCTTTTTAGTCTCATGATTAATCGCCATCTAGTCCACTCACATTTTTCTCGAGCGCATAGGTTGTTCCATCACGTACAGACGGCCTACTACAAACCCATACTTTTCTCGATCGCATAAGAATGGTCACTATACCAAGCTACCTGTCGTAGTCGTGTTGTCTCTTCATCTACTTCTTCTGACGAGTCAACTTAGCAAGAGAGGATTGCTAACTTCACTTCTATGTCACTTGACTTCTGACGAGTATTCAGTGCATGGCCTGCTCTTTGTCTAAACAACATTGCTAACTTCTACAACATAATTTTATTTCATTGCTTCCCTTATTTATAATATCATCTCCTGTGATTGTGATATTGCCTCGGCTCTTATCTCAAGCTTACAACCAGTTATTTGATTACTTCTTGAAATGAATGAATGAATGATCGTTCTGATTCTGAACAACAAGGGTTCGGGAGTATTTAGTACAACATTTTTGCTAACTTTTCTTTTCTTTTTTTTTGTTGTATGAATGTTCGTTCTTAATCTTAGTTTCCTTCGGATACTACTGCAACTTTGTAGTTCCTCGTGTACAAGTAAGAGACTCTAACCTTGTCTAGTGATGGAACACGTTCGGAAACGGTGCGACGAGTTGGGCTTGCGCTTATTCGAGGGGGATGAAAAACTGAATGAAACTTTTACTACAAGAGCTGACAAGACAGATCAAACTTAAGACTTCTACCCTTAATTCATCATTACTTCTTGGTCCGTTAATTTAGTCAGTGCGAAGACCACTCCTGGTGCCAGCCATTAATTCATCTCTCTGTGTGGGAAAGGGAGTGACACCTGTTCCCTGTTCTGTATATAACTTAGTTATGAAGAGTACATCATGTTGTTGTACTAGACGTACTTCTAGACTACATTAACTAGTAGGTACAAGAAGGAACAATAGGAGACTTAGTTAAGCTTGCTATAATATCCGCCTTCTTATGTATCAGCACTTCTACAAGGGATATCCGTGTCTACTCCACAACTGCGGAATCCCCACAGGGATGCGGGATTTTTTTGTGGTGATAAATATATTTCTTTCTTGACGAGGGATCCCCTACTTCCCCAGAGATTGGATAAACTACGAACGGGTACAACTACTGTAGTAGAAGCGCTAAGAAACCGTAGAAGTCAGAAAAGTCGAGACTGCCGCAGAGTTGGGCTCGACTAGGCAAGAACTGCTAGAAAGAATCGAATCGTCACAATCTACGTTGGCAGAAAGTGTCCAGGTGCTAAAGGATGAGCTAGAATTATGGCTAAGTTGATCCTTGGAGGATCTCCTATCCTATCTCCTATCCTACCCTTCTCGCTTTCTATGTAGTTGAAAAAGACGCCTTCTCCAAGAAAGACCATACTATTGGTATTGGTACTCTCAAAGTACCTCTACTCAATCTCAAAGGAATGCCTCACAGAGGAGGTATTCATGATTCAAAGAGGTATTCATGACTCTACTAAGCCCCATCCAGGAAAGGGTATCATGACTCTACTCATCAAGGTCAAGGAAGATTATGCCAATGCGGTCAACACTCATGATCTAATAGAAGCGGAAAGAGTGGCAAAGCAGGCACTAGAAAAGAAAGTAACGGCGCTGGAGGCACGTCTAGTGGAAGATGCAGATACCAAAAACAAAGAGCTCGAAGACAAAGTGGGAAAAGTTGAAGCGAAAGCCGACGAACGAATAGCCGCAGTGGAGGCAAAAGCAGATGAGCGGATTGCGGAGGTGAATTAAGGCGGGCAACATGTTGATTTCAAAAAGTGAGACGTCTTGCTCTTTCCTTTTTGGATATTTGTTTTCTGTGATTGTGAGTGAGTGAAGCAGTGAAGATCAATTACTTATGAAGTTCGAAATTTCATCTAAGTTGAAGCGCAGAGCGCAGAAGCGACAGAAGCCGCACAACGGGAAGCGAAAGAAGCTCTAGAAGCACTCCGTGTGGAAATGCGAGAGCAGGTAGAGTTAAGGCCTAAGAGAGAAACTCATATGACCCGAGGCCTGTTGTAAACGATGACCTAAATTATTCTTTTTCTTTGAGACTCACTCATCCTCGGAGTCCCGGGCCCTTCCCTCACGCTTACCAATTATTCTCATTGTGAGGGCCTATGCCTAAGTAAAAGATTACTGTAGCTTATTTCTGCTTAGCTACTTCGGGCTCTGTCTACTGGGTATTACTGTGCACGCTAATAGAAGCAGTAAGCAAGGGCTTAGAGGCTGAGAATGCGGCTCGCACCGAACAAATGCAGAAGTTTGCCGCTGCAGCCACAGCCATGGCCCTTGACTCGTCGCCGCAGCAGACAACTGAAGCAGAGGCCAGCAAGGAGGCCGCGAGCCTTCCTGTTGCTCCTTAAGGCGATTCCATTTTTGAAATCAATAAAAACTAAGAAAAGAAGCGCAAAGAAATAGTATTATGCGCTTGCGCTTTATATTCATGAGCAGAGTAGAGAAAGCAGCGCGCCCTTCGGCTGTTGTTCGTGTCGGTTGGGTTTCTTCCCTCTCGTTGAGAGTGCGGGGGGTCGCGCGTCTTCTCGGCCCGCCATGGCTCCTCTCTGGTCGGTCGTCGCCCCATCCTTGTTCGCAGGGGCCTTGGGTGTTGGACCGTTAGCCCTTCTGGGTTTCTGTTCGCTTCGAAGTTCGCTTCTCGACTAGTCACCGCGAGGGACTGCGCGACGCTCCTTCGACGCGGCTGCTCGGCTTTCGGTCTTGCTGTTGCTCTGTCGGTGCAAGGCCCGCTCGCGCGCCACTGTGATGAGGAGTCCATCTGTCTCTTGTCCTTGTGCCCCGTTTTCTGTCTTGCTTTCGCGACTGATTCTGGTGCGACTCTCATGGGTATACATCGGCATCGGCTACTACTTTTTTTAATTAACATCAAGCTGTAAATAAAACTAACACAAATGCTATTGCAAAAGCGAGTGTGATGTTAGAGCTTTCTGCTTTTCCAAGGTTGGAATTTCATAGAAGCATATAAGTAAGTAATGTAGTATTAACATCAGAGAGTATCATGTCCCTAAGATTCTAAGTTATCAAATCACATTGATGACATATTTGGAAGATTCATGAGTCATGCACGACTCGAACAGACTCTTTTTACTCCAAGGCAACTGGAGCTACAGTGTATCTACATGACCTTCACCATTAGGTTGAGTCACCGCATTTGATTCGTCAATAGACCGTGATCAAACAAAGTCGCGTAACAAAAAGGTGAATAGTGTGATTGGAAAGAGAGAAAAAGTTTCTCTTCTTTTGTAATCAATGCTTGAGTGGGTAAATTTTTTAACTGAAATAGTGTTTTCGAAATACTGTGCCCGGGGAGGGGGGTTCTATGTGAAGCAGGATCCCTAAATTAAACTCCTAAGTAAAAGTACGCTCTTGCCCTGGCTCTGCTTCTAACACATGAACAATAACGATGAGAACGGTGGCGCAGCGGAGGAAGAGGCGGAGGCTGCAGAGCAAGGGGACGTGAATATTGTAGCTGGAGAGGGTGCAGAGCCGGTTGAAGGCGAGGGGGGGGTGGATTATAGTGAGGAAGCAGCAGAAGGTGGAGAATAAAGATAACAATTTAAATGGAAGGTATTAACACTCTACACGACGCCATGGTGCAAGGAAGGCTTGCTCGTCCTGGTATAGTGCGATGCTTTTATGTTGCAATGAACCAAGGAGATGAACAGTCGACGTGCAAACGTAGACTTCTCTTTCTAGACAAGAAAATATATGCAATGCTACTAGCTGTAAAAAATATAGCGAATTAAATTTATTATAGGTTGTTTCGTCTCATGTGGAACTTTTTTGACTATCTAAGGTTTACCCGCTTATTATAGATGAAGCGCGACATGTTGCCTTGTTGGATTCTGAACTTTTTTTCGACTTCCTATGAATGTTAACCACGAGATTAGTTCTGTTGAAAAAAAAATCCATTAAATTGACGAAGTGAAATTGAAGCTCGTCATCCCTTATCCAAATCCATTATCCAAATGCATTATGCAAATCCATTTCCATGATTATCCAAATCCATCATCCTCTTCCGTTTTTCTGTTGTTGGTGTTGCTTCTCTAACTTCTTCCTTTTTTCTGTTGTTGTTGACTCGAATATGTACTGCTAGCACTCGGGCAGGAGCGGCAGCTAACCTAGATTCAAAGCCGCAGTCTGCACTGAACTTTGTGCGAGTTTTGTTGTATTGCATTCTATGGAAATAGAGCAATTGATAGAGGAAGAAGACATCAACAAGAAGATCATCACCGAGAACTAGACTACGAGTAGCGCTAGCCATTCTGCTAGGTAGTAGCGTCAACGCCGTTGGGAAAACCGGAGGGACCCTGAGCTGCATCTTCTCTGGAGGTAAAGATTCTGGGGAAAGTGAGATGATCTCTATTCAGCGGGAATTTTGGTGCGCTGCAACGTGCTACATATAATACAACTCCTGTCAGTCTCGTATGGGAGTGACGAGTAGAGACTTGTTTTCATTTCGTTCTCATCTGTTATCATCAAAATGTCAAATGATCCGTGTGCGGTTTCGTATCCTGCTCCTGCCAATCGGTTCTTGAAGCATGTAATGCGTATCTGAACAAAAGAATCGGCTTTAGATAGTAAAGACGCACCTCCTGGAGGCTCACCATCAGACGGAGCATCATCTTCAATTAAGGCTCAGCTTTCATTGGTCACCATTTAGATTGGGGTCACAAAAGAATCGGCTTTAGCACGTAATGCGCGTCTTCTTTCCCCCGGTCGTAAGTGATCCTCCATAATAAAAGACCTTGTGCTCTCGCTAGCCCAGTTTGACTAAGAAGGAAAAGAAGATCATTTATTATATCCACTAATCGTCTAGAAACTCCAACATTTCTGAGTTAATGCTTCAGCTGGTGTAGGTCCTACAACTGCTGACGTCGTGGTGTTTCTTTGCGTATATTCTTTAGAAGCAGCTTCCTTCATGTACTAATTTGTTGCTTTTTTACTTTTCACCCTGGTTCTGGGGTCGCAAGGCTTGTTTGTTTGTTTGTTTGTTTGTTTGTTTGTATTGATGCGCCCCGAGCAACGCGGACGACCTCGCCGGACTTCTTTGCGCTTCGTGTGTTTTGTGCTACGGGTTGCGTCTTCGTCGCCGCCAGTTAGGGCGTTTCAGGCTGTGCGGGTGGTAGCGGCTGACGCGGGTAGCGGTGTAGCGCTGTCGGGCTGCCTGGTGGCTGTTGCTTTCTCGGTCGCTTTCTCTCGGCTCGGGGCTTTCGGAGTGGTTTTGCTTGTCGTTCGTACTTGCGTCCTTCGTTCTTCGTTCTTCGTGCTTTCGTCTTGTCTTCGTTCTCTTTCTCGTCGCGTGTCAGTTCACTGGCTTCCCCCTTGTCCTGTCTTCGCCTCCACCTGGCTCGGCCCTGCCCCATCGTAGCAGGCAGCGATAGTTGGTTTCCCCACAGCGGCCGCCACTCCTCTCTCCCTGTTTGTTTCATCTCCCCTGGAGTTTATCAGCATGCGCAGCCGGCTTTCTTTTTTGTTCTTTTTCAAAAATTTAGAAAAATCTCATCTAGTTTTTGGAGTCTTGTTTTGGATTCGGAACAAAAGCTCGCAACTTTTAAGGCAAAGGCCGTTCGTAGCTGCAATCTTTCTACTTAGAAGAATATGGAGAATGACGAGCGCAGCACGTACTTCTGCCTCTACTTTTTGCCATATTATAGAGGACTAGAAGCAAGTGGCCTTCTACGTGCCATTCATATTAAAAATCCAGATGGTCCTTTGTGCAGGTCCTATCGCGGCCGCGTTATGCTTTTTGAGTTCATCTTCTAGTTGCTGCGGAAGAAGCGGAGGAGGCTTAGTTGTGCTTGCGGTACAAGTCGTTTGTATCTGTCGTCTTCATCAGATAAAGAGTGTGCCTCTACTGTTTTCTTGGACGCTTAGGAAGATCGAACCCCTATGAAGTGACCAAGGGGCTTGCCACTCGGTTGCCCCTTAAAAGGAAAGCTAAGGAAGCTGTGCCGGATCTTGTGACGAGTCTCAGAATTCTTGTGACGAGTCTCCCACTTACTTTGACTGTTCCAGACTTACGGCTTTGGGCTGTGAGGGTTGTGTCTTATGTTATGGAAGAAGTGGTGACCTGGCTTGTGGAGTTTCTGTTCTAAGCTGTCGAAGTCGTGGGAGATCGTTGTGACGTAACTCGGAGCCAATGCAAGTAACTGCAGTAGTACAACTAAAACACGAGAATCGAAGTATATCACGCGCTAGCCTTAGCTACTGCGTACAGCGCTCTAGGGTCTTCCCTGACTGCTGTTTTCATTCATCGTTGAATCATAAATACGAGAGATGAGCGAAAACATACTCATAGGAGTAGCGAGCGAGTTGAGAAAAAGTGGAAGGTTATGGTCGCTCGAGTAAGGTAATAATTCATTTGCCAGGTGGCGGGGAAAGGGGGCAAATGGAATTGAAAGCCTGACTCATAAAAGCCTCCAGAATACTCAAGTAGTATTCTAATTTTGCATGTAGAGCAACTTCGGAGCGTGATTTTGAAACTAGCAGAGGTAAAACAAGTTAAATACGAAGGAGAAAGCCTACATTTGCTAGGGATGAAGCGGGTTGCTGCAAATGTCAGGAAGGTAAAGATAAATTCACAAATACCTCCGTGTCGCCCCTAAAGCATTCTAGAAATGCCTCACAAATGCCTCCGGATCATCTAGCAGGCTTTTTCTCGGATGTACCTGGTCTTTTTATAGATATTGACACGCAGTTGTAAGCTACAAAAAACCCTCTGAGAAAAGGAGACAAAAGCACAAAAAGACAGAAGAGAACGAGTAATGGACCCCACTTCACACAGAGGCACGATGATGGGTCGACAATATGTCGCCTCGTTAGGCTTCTTTGGAGTTACTAGCGAGGTGGCGTCGGTGTCCAGAACTCAGAAACTAAGAAGAAGTGCTGTCTCGGTGGCTGCTGTACATGATACAGGGGCCCCCCTCGGAGTAGGGTACAATGAGAATAATATAAGCTGCTAGAAGTAATAAGGTGATAGGCGCGTGTGTTTGGTGACGGCCTACGGCGATCATGTGGATGCCCGCTGAAGCATGATTTTTGTAAGTTATTACTCGCGCTCGTGACTGCCTTCGGGAATGAACAAGAATCATTCCTGATTGTGCGCGAAGAGCGGTTCCTCGTCGGCTTGGTCCTGAACTTGCTTAGTAACGCCGCGGCAGCGGGCATGATCCGTGGCTGCTTTTTGGTGATACTTGATAGTATATCGCTCGGTTTGCTTGCTCTTCTTAGAAGGTACAGGCAGACTGAAATAACCTCTCTTTCAATAAGTTACTTTGAAACACGAGGTACCATGACATGACAACTTGTGGCGAGTTGTGCGCAGGCGGAAGTCGTGCGAAAATGTCACACGCTTTGCTTTGGCTGTTCGGATTTGAACCCCATGAGGCTCTAAAGAATCGCGTGAGTCTTATGGCGTTCAAATTCGAGCAGCCCTATAGTGGAGTCAGGGGCGTTCGTATGCCTTTCGTCTTCTACGCGCAGCGGGCTCGCTGTCTCTACCTCCACAACGCGCCACGACTTAGGCCACAACGTCCACAATTTATGTAGGACACAACTCCCACAGCCCAGGGCACAACTTCCACAAGTTGGGGCACAGCTTCCACAACTTATGACACAACTGGCACGGCTTCGAAGTAATAAATTGGGGACTTTATTCATAGGGGCTTGGTCTTTCTAAGACGCTTTCGCCTCATCTTAGTTCTTTGATTGTATCCCTCGTCGCCGTCTCCCGGAGTCTTCTTTTACCGACAGGCAAAGGCCTTCAGACCTCCCTATGGTAATGGTCATTCGTTTATTTTTTTTTCCATGCCTAGTAACTAGCTGCAGCCTGCAGAGAAATATATCTGGTATGATTTTCTAAGGCATCAGAGGAGAGACTATATCTATCTGTCCATCTATCTATCTTATATATTTTTTTCTATATCATCGTAAGCATGGTCTAGTAAAGAGAGAATTGTCGTAATGGCGCCTTGCTTGCTTTCCTGCGACGTTAAAATATATAGTTTTTTTAAAAGGGTTGACGATAGATAATGGGGCTGGTGCGATCTTCGGGAAGGCTAGTGGTAGTGAACCGGTACCCATGGTTACCACTAGTAAGGCGGCTTCCCGTAGATGCGAGCACCCTTCCCCTCATGCTCCCCGCCAGGAGCAGGGGTTGGGACGCCATGGGCAGAAGCGCCTTGAAGTAAATAAATAAATTAAAACTAAATTAGAGTCTCTTGCTTTGCGTTTTAAACGCCCGCTTCCTTTCGATGACAAGCACGAGTGTGAGGGAAATGTTTTCTCGTTTCGGTAAAGAGAGACGTAAGCACGTGTCTCTTAAACCACTGGGTGAAGGGGTCTACTACTTGTTATCATGCATATATCATCCTAATATCTAGTGGCCCACTACAACTCCTTCATCTACTAAAAATGTGGCGCTCGTGTTTCTTCTTAGTTATAAATATTGGCGCGTCATGCAACCGCGCACCACCACGCAGCCGCGCACCGTGCAAGAACCGCGCACCACGCAACCGCGCACCACGCAACCGCGCACCATGCAACCGCGCACCACGCAACCGCGCACCACGCAACCGCGCACCACGCAACCGCGCACCGCACAACCGCGCACCACGCAACCGCGCACGACGCAACCGCGCACCACGCAACCACGCACCACGCAACCGCGCACCACGCAACCGCGCACCACGCAACCGCGCACCACGCAACCGCGCACCACGCAACCGCGCACCACACAACCGCGCACCATACAACCGCGCCACGGCTTCCAGCTGAGCAGGTGTATGCACTTATACACGCTGGCACTGGGCATCCATCAACATCAGAGGACCCTCTGGGGTTGGGAATTGAAAACGCAGGAAGGTGAAGCGGTTAGCTGGGCGGAAGGGCTCGTTGTTTTCTTACGCTAATTGATGAATGAAGTTATACGAAGGAATATAACTACTTCAACTACACCGGCGTGCCGCATGTACATCGAAGCTAGTTGCATGGTTCACAACGGGCTGAACAATAATAAGCAGGAGTCAAGTTCAACAAGCCCTCGCCACTCATCTGTCCGAAGTGCGTCATCCCTCACAAATACGTCATCCGTCGCAAATATCTGCCAAGTATGCCATCCGTCACAAATGCGTCATCTGTCAAACAGGTGTCAGCATCATCGGTGGAACGAACGTCATAACTCTTCTGTCAAACTGAGGCGTTATAGAAGAATGATGTTGGCTTCAATCGAACCTGTTGAGGAGAAGTATCGAAATCTTTCGACCCCGCGTGAAAATCATCCCCTTCCCCTCTACCTCTTGCTGAACTTACTCCCCAAATGGGTAAAGCACTACTACTACTTGAACCACTACTACTACCTTTACAAGAAAGCAGCAGCATTGTCCAGTGTCCTCTACCATCCAACTAGCATCGTCAATCTTCTTCTACAAGAATGGCCCATATTACTTACTAGGATGTCTTGCTATTCTAAGGTCTACATGCTTACTAGGATCATGATCCAGTTGTACTTCTACAAGAAAAGCAATTGTTGATTCTTCTACGAGTAGAAAAGAAAAGAAATCAGACCCTAGTACTAAATCAAGTAAAAATAATAATGGACAAAGGGAAGATATCTTCAATCGATAACTAGTACTAGATGAACTACTTCTACTGACAAATATAGGGTTCTTGCAGTATCTTCTCATCTCGACAATAATAGAAGGCTACAATTTTACAAAAGGATCGATCAACAAGACCCTATAATTCTACAAAAGGATTGCCTCTCATCTCAAGAACAATAGGAGAAGGCTCGAATGATCTTCGCGCCACCTCTATCTCATCCCCAAGAATTTCATCAACTCTCATCATCAACATGCAGCATCTTCACTGTTTTTGTTGTTCTAGGGAAGTACTTACCTCTTTTTTCGTCTAACGAAGAAAAGAAGGAAGACAGCTTGCGAACTAACTTCTTCGATTGGGGACACTACTACTACTACCACAGGTCTGCCTGATCGTTACTCATCAACATCACGAACATCATTTTTACATCAAGAAGATGGTTCTTTGTGCACCACTGGCTGCTTGCTTTTTAGCAAGTTCCAGCGCGGATTCTTCCTGCTGTGATGAAGGAGCACTTGAGGGAGCACCATTCGTGAAAGTATCCTTCAACCCGAGCTTTGATAATTACGGCAGCGGTGGTCAATTATTATATTCAGTTTATTCCAAATACAGTCGTGCAGCAGTGTGCACGTTGTGTGCTATTATCTCGTATGGTGCAGTCGCTGCGTAGCTTCGTTCGTATGTACTGTTACCGAAACCTAACCTGTGCACTTTGTTCTTAATTATTACTAAGTGATCCTCTGGCTTTATTTTTTAGTTCAGGAGCAAAGTGCTCCCTAGGAACTATCCATCCTTCACGTTCACCTTCACATTGAATAAATGATCCGATCTTGGTAGGTACTGCTCTTTTTTACCCAAGAATATAGATCTTGGCACTCGTTTCCGGTACTAGAGGAGAACAAGGAGTACTCCCATACTACTAGAAGAAAATAACAAGGTATGGGCGTCTGCTTTTTTGGTACTTTTTTCATCGCAGAAAAATATTAGAATGCTACTTACTACACGGGATGAAAAAGTAGCAGAGGCTAATAGTATACGTACTAGAAGATCTTGGTACTCTCTTCATCGCATACCGTACCTAGAACTTGGTGCTGACTACTCTTAAATTCTATTCATCCCATGACCGCTCCGCATGCCATAGAATTAGAATATACATAGAATTAGAAGATGAAGAGGCTTGATCACCCACAAATAATCATCATAGCCTCTTCATCCATACATAGAATTCAAAAAAAATCTACCAATTAGAACAACTACCCGCCCTTGCCAGGCACATCAATCCATGAGTCAAGCAATGCCTGACTAGACTACTTGACGTTACAACTACTTCTTCCAACAACGACCTCATGCCAGGCACATCAATCAATCAATCAATCAATCACAGGGGATGCTGAAAAGTTTAAGCTGCTCTAGACTCTAATATAAGGTGATCTCACCAGGGAGCTGGGACCTGCAGTATGGAACCATTAAGGCTGATGTATGTAGTTTCGTCTTCAATCGTAAATCCTTCTGAAACTAACAGAGCGCAGACACTTGCATACTCCTCTCCCAAATTCTTTCTTCCTCTCCCAAATTCTTGTTCCTCTAGAAGAAGCTAGAGCTTTTTATAAGAAGCTAGAGTTAATACTTTCTAGAAACTCACCTGAAGTAGGATCCCACTAGTTCTTGACTTCCTTGAAGTAGGATACTCCTAGTTCTTGACTTCCTTGAAGTAGGATCCTAGCGCTAGTTCTTGACTTCCTTGAAGTAGGATCATACTAGCACTTGAAGTAGGATCCGATTACTTGTTTTACTAGAAGTCTTCTAGAATCTACTAACAGAATTTTCCTCAACATCAAGTAGTTCCCTCATCTAAAAAATGTGCGGACTTTGGGAAAAATCACGCGGCGAAGCTCTTTGACTCAAAAAAGCCCGAGAAGGCCAAACGGAAACCATTCAATTATGGCTAGTATATTAGAACTAGACGAGGTGAAGTACTAGCTTTTTACGTTGTGATACCTAGCTACTCGTAAAATATGTAGACAGGTCTTTTATAGGACTAAGAAAACGCGTGAGGCGGCAGGGTCGCGCGCGAACATAATAATAATAATAATAATAACTATCCTGATTTGATTTGATTCAGACCTCTACTCCTATTTCGATTTCCACCATGATTATATTCTTTTTCCGAGGTAGTTGAGGTAGAAGGTGTCACGACTTCATCTACAACATTAAAACTTCTAGATGAAGTACTAGTGAAAGAAGATGGCGTTTGATAACTGTCTCGTCGACCCAATACCCAGAGCCTAACAAGGAACTACAACTAGGTTGTGTCGACCTAGTTTCTTAGGCTTTGGTCTCAAAACTGATTTGGCAGGTCACTCACTCCACTGCATTACAAGAACAGCATACTTTTTGGGTGTGAAAAGTGTTGAAGAAGGGATCTCCCGGACAAGAAGAGGATCTCCCGGACAAGAAGAGCACAGATTTGGAGGGGGCTGAAGCTTCTAATGCTTAAGGCGAAGAGCATCAATAATTTGACTTTACTATGATGTGCGGAGGCGGACTTAATATTTATTTGACTGATGTCCTCGGCCTCGCTACATTCTTACTCCTTCGAAATACTGATCTTAGAAAGTCCTAGGTCCATCTCAGATTTGAGGCACTCTTGACAGTTTCTCTGACTTAAAAATCCTAATTAATAGTAATTTCTGTGTCCTGTATCTACAACAAGTCAGCCTCCTGCTCTATAGTACTTTGATGTGCCAGATTTAGTGCGGTCTTCTGAAAGTTCTTGAAGTTTAGGCCCTCTGCGCGATCCTTTGGTCTTCCTCGGTTCCCGAGAAGACCTCCTGTTCATCATCACTTTTTAGGTGGGCTACTTATAATCATGTGGATATGTGATGAAGAAAAAGCTCTTATTTTTCCCTAGAAGTAGTCGTTACTCATAGGAGTGTTAGTAATGTGTGTAGACATTTTTTACAAGTTATATACCAATGATTCTTGTTCGTAGTTCCTTGATGTGCTGCATGTGCTATCTTCTTCTAGAATTATATCATAGACATTGTTCGCCTCTAAAAGAGAAGGAGTTTTCCGTTATTTTAGTTAGAATCCATTATGGATGACGCCGAAATATCCATTATCGATGACTCAAAAAAATAAAACACCATCTTCTTGGACAAGATCACGAAACAACAACCCCTAACCAACCCTATAGTGAATGCTTCCACTCATTGAGAGCGTCGATATGGGAATGTCGTCCCCCCTTGGCCTTCTCACTTGGGAACGGCGTTTCCACGTCTTCGCTCTCCTTGAGAAGTGGCGCCAAACATGTGAGCTAATCGGAATTTCAATCCTGTTGCTGTTGCTCTCGTCAGGATCCAAAAACAAGGAAAGAAGAAATACTGCAGCAATCTAGGAAAAGGACGATCCCCATCTCTACACTGTCAACTCCTACCCTATCCCCCCCTTCTAGAAAAGTACAGTTTCAAAAGAATCCTCCTGATGTTGTCGCGTCATGATAATGGAACTCTCTCTCCATTCTCTTCACCTTCTTCTAACTCAGAAGGAAAACATTATCGACGATACTGATGACGACGCATATTTGAGGAATCGATGGGCTTATGCTACTATGGAGCACGCCTGTCTCGAATTCACAGATCAAGTGAAACTGGTACTATTTTTTTAACCACTAAGAAACCGTGGTATCTGTAGTTTACTAAACTAGAATTACTTTAGACTATCTAAGATAGTCTATCTTCACAGGAGGTGACGCTTGTACTATTTTTTTAACTAGTACTATAGTGCTTACTTTACTATCACAGGAGACCACGTGAGTGTAAAGTAAGCTGATACAACGATTAAGAGCTGTAGTTTTTTTCACCACGAAGTGAGCGTGAAGCCGTGGCACATTGTACAACTTGCTTCTTCTATTAAGAAGTAGATAATATAACTTCTTCTATAATTGAGAACTGCTTCTATAACTTCTTCTATTAAGAATCTTCAATTAGCATAATAAATATAAAAGTGCACTACTATTGTACTATTCTTGTTTTCTTCTTTTATTGATGGTTTCTACAGGACAACGACAATCCACTACTATTGTACTATTCTTGTAGTTTTCTATTGATTTATAACTTTCCTATCTTATCCTATCTTATCCCCTATCTTATCCCCTATCTTATCCCCTATCTTATCCCCTATCTTATCCCCTATCTTATCCCCTATCTTATCCCCTATCTTATCCCCTATCTTATCCCCTATCTTATCCCCTATCTTATCCCCTATCTTATCCCCTATCTTATCCCCTATCTTATCCTATCCTACCCTGTCTTATCCCCTATCTTATCCTATCTGCAGGACAATCCAAGATTGGCCGCGTTGGGAAGGGGAAAGAAAAACTTGCGCGGCGGGGAAGGGGCAGTGGAACGTACTTACGGAGGCCAAACACACTCGTCAAGAACAGATGCCAGCAACAGTTGTCTTAAATTGTTCAACATTTTCCTCTAATTATGGCTAGAAGAAATCCATCTTTTCGTTAGCCAGCATCTTCGGCCCGTTTTCTAAAGGGAAAGGGTCACCAATATGCTCTACAAGATGGATTTCTTCTAGCTCAAATCTAAGTAGCATCGCGATCGTTTTCCTTCACGATCATTTTCCTTCACTTCATCCACCTGCTCCTGAACCCGATCATGCCCTTCGCGATCATTTTCCTTCACTTCATCATCCACCTGCTCCTGAATCCGATCATGCCCTTCGCGATCATTTTCCTTCATTTCATCCACCTGCTCCTGAACATTATAGATCTTTCCTTACCTCAGTCTTTCCTTTGCACCTCAAAATGAGAAGTATGTAGGTACGACAGCAATCAAAAGCTTCCCTGTTACACTTATACCTCAAGAGCATGAGTAGGTTGTACATCTTCAATCATTTTCTTCTAATGTTGCGTCGGATTTTACCGTGGCGAATACAAGGGTAAACTGGGAACACTAAAGCGCGGCGGGAAGTGGGCGATCGGAGGCCTGGGGCAAGTGGGTAAAGTTGGAGCGTTCGTTCTCGGATTAAGGCCGCTAACATTGATTAAGTTAGTATGTCCTATCGCGACTTGTCTGTTTGCAACAGAAAGCTATCACTTGCTATAAGTTGACTGATGATCTTACTGTTATTCTGTGAAGCTTTCACAGGCCACCAGGTATCCGAACAAACCTAAGCTAACCTATAAGCCTAACCATTCAGTAGGTACTAGCCTGATATAGCTGATGCTCAGCAAGGGATCTACCTCGTCCCCAACAAGGAAACGTGGCTTCGTGCTTTTATCAATATCTTCTGGAGTGGGTACATTCATTCATTCATTCATTCATTCTGATATTAGATTCTCATTCTTTTCTAATTTCCCAGGCTGCGAACGTTGCATTTGGCAGTGCAGTTCCCTTACGGCACCACGCACTGAGTCTTGAGGCACATTCACTTCTCATTCATTTTTCACTGGGCTGAGAGCTTCTTTCTCAACTGGAGAAAGAACAAAGCTTCTGCCAAGGATGGTGGTCTCACAACATCAAGATAACCCATGCTGTGCCTCCTGTCGGCACAGGTTCTAAGCTTTCTACTAGATAATTATTGTTATTGATCCCGAACAGCAACAGATCTTCTTCACCATCATCTAGTACTTCAAGTAGCCGTTGGTGATGAAGAACATGCTGGCGTCACATCTTGACCATCTACTTCTTGACCATAGCAGGGCTCTTTGTTGTAGTTTCATCTCGTCTCCATTGTTTTCTGCATTAATCCTTGTCTCCAAGGTTGATAAAAAAAGGAAAGTAAAGAAGTGAAAAAATTAGAACTAACTGCACAAGCACTGTAATTTTCCATCCTTTCGGGAACAGCCTAGCCCACACGAGGCCCGGGCTGTGTTCTACATCTTCTACCCCTGTTATAATAGATAAAAGATGCCCCAGGCAGCGACCCTCCAAACAAAGCAGGATAGCTCGTCTAATGCAGGCTTTCGTGATCAATGGCCTTATCCTTGCGCTCTCCATCGCGACAAATAAGTATCTCGGCCGTGTTGTAACCCTCACAACTGATGTTACGGCACCTCATTCACCGAATTCATTGTACTTGTTGCATAGTACTAGTAGGTAGTAACTTCTACTACAAGTACAACTAGTAGAGATGATAGAGATAAAAGAGCAGTAGACGAAGATGATGCATTGACCTAACCTAACCTCTCCTTCACCTAACCCTTCATCTTCTAGATGCGCATGCGACTGTGCAAATCTCTCGATCATGTGCCTTCTTGGACTTTCTCCTGTACCACTTGTTCTCTGTTACATTTTTTTTTTTAGATTTATAGACATAGTACTAGTATTATGTAGAAGTGCGTTTTCTAGTGTATTTTTATAAATATTTATACTTCTTTCAATCGTCCACTGCAGCTTCTACGTCCTAGAAAGCTCTTTCTTTCCCAAGGCTTCAGAGCTTCTTTTTCCAGTGTTGTAGCCTGCTACTATGTAGCTTTTTTAGATTGTGCTATGTCGCTTCTTTCCACTGTACCATATTTATAGCTTCTTTCCACTATCATTATATAGCTAAACTCTCTCTAGACTCGTCTATTTCTAGACTTGTCTACTTATTTCATTCCGTAAGTATTAAAACTCTTTTGCTACTAGAAGATTTAGTACTAATTATAAATATACTCGTCCTTCCAGCCATTACAATCAATCTCGTCTAAGATTCCGTTCAGGTGGAAGGAGGCTGGAGCTCCGTGTAAGAGCGATAACGGCCGTGCAAAGAAGTACGGCAGGAAAGCCGCAGCACTTCTCAGTTCCGGCACCTGTCAGCCATACACGTTGTTAAGGCTCAAAAATAGTGCGACAAGATGCGCTACATTTTTATGTACCAGTAGATTTACATTCACACGTAGACGTACATTGTTTAGAAGACATTCACACGCAGACGTACATTCTTTTGATGAATTACTAACACAGTACACATTAATTAGTTAATAACTACTGATGTATGGAGTTAACATAATGTAGCGCACAAATAAGTTGTGTAAAGTCAGTTATAGTCATGTACGGGGGTCTTACTCGCCCCAGGGTGGTTGTTTAATTGAGTGATAAACCGTTTAACCAGGTACTTAAAAAAGTGAGGGGGAAGAAGCATCAACAGTAGCTATACTGGGGGGACGAAGCATTGTCCCCATTCATGATAGGATATGATCTCTAGAACAGGTGAATGAATGAATGAATGAATGAATGAGTGAAGGAGTCGCGTCATCGTCTAACCTGAGTCACAGACGCAGAAGCACCAAAGGGAGCTCAGCAAGCTCCTCAGGATGTTAAGGCTCCTTTCCCTAATCCGTCTCATCTGCAGGATATGAGATTGTATCCATCATCTCCACATCATATCCATGCGGGTCCCAATTATAGAAAGAAGGGGAATACTGGTGTCTGAAGAAACATAAGTGCAAACGCGTTTATTGTTCCACCGGCGGGATTATTTCCAGAGAAGATCAAGTGAAACTGGTTCCGTAGTAGCATAAGCCCATCGATTCCACAGAGGTCTAAGGATCCCCAGGCTGAGGATGGTGACCGAGCTGCAGGACCCAAGCAGTACATGGTCATGCATTGCGTTATTGGAGTTAAGGACTCATCTCTATTACTATCGTCTGAGAGCAGGCGTGCCTTTTGCCACCTTTGCCACCGTGTAACTATATGACCACCTTCTGTTCTTTTCAAGGGTATCATATGAGCTTTTTTTTTCAAGGGTCAGGCAGCCAAATGAAGAAAGGGAAAGTACATCAAGTTTATAAATCTTCTTCTACAGCTACACCAGGAGCTACACCCCATGACTGAAGAGACTGGGTACACCACTACTACTACAACTACTACTAGATTATATGATTGGCATAGACATGTCGCAAAAAGTTACTGGATAGGTCTAGTGTGACTTTTTTTTTTCAAGGGGACAAGGATACAACTACTAGAAGCAACATCAATATAGTTTTTCTTTTCAAGAGGACGATAGGGATCCACTAGGGGACAATCCTGCAACCTCTAACTCAGGAAAGCGGTGAAGATGGTGATGCCACCTCTGTGAGGTGGAGGTGGAGGTATATGTTGAGGATGATCATTACCTGTGATGTCGAAGCGGGTGAGGTAGTGAAGAGTAGTTAGTGCTGAGCATTACCTGTGATGTCGAAGCGGGTGAGGTAGTGAAGAGTTGTAGTCAGTGCTAAAAAGATTATATTTTTTCGTTCTAAGAAAGAGAAAGTAAGTAAGATGGCTCATCTTGTAGCAAGATGAAATAGCGTGATAGAAGAATTATTATTATTACTTTCCTGAGTCAGCTAAAGTTTACTAAGTTGCCTCAAGTAGAACAAAATTGTTATTATTAAGAGAAGGATAGACGGTTATCCACAGACAAGTAGACCACGACTTCAACAAGTACTAGCCACATTCTCAATATTAGATGACTGACGACATCAAGAAAAACTTTCAGCAGCATTTGAATTTATTTCCATTTTCAACAGAATTCAGCGACATTTTGACACAAGTACAGATATTGGAAGATACGATACATAAACATACAAAACTTCAACACCATACAACATTGTCCTTCAACATTCATCTACTGAAAGAAAAAATGCAACTTCAATAAATGTTTGCCTTACATCATTCAACAAAAACAAAGATCTTATCTTACAACATCCTATTCATTGCCATTTTCCGCCTAAGCCTATGTACACCATTAGCCTAAACAATGTAGACCACAATCTAATCCACAACGACACTTATTTTCTTGCCTCATACTTACCTAATTGGATCATGTAACATCACCAGGGGACAAATGAAATCATGCTGATGCGACACAAATAATAATAAACGACGCGTTGATGAGACACAAATGAAAACCATATAACCACGAACTACATACTACGATTAGTAAAAGTAACAACTACACTTCTGTAAAAATAGAAAAAGAAATTGAAATTAAGTATACAATAGTAAACTACTACTTCCAGGCAACATCAATGTTGCCGAAAAGAGATGGCAAATTGTTGAGAACAAACTACCGGGTGTGCAAGTGCAAACTACACAGGAGAAATAAAAGTAATCAAGAATGGCAAAAGAGTGAATGTGCAAAGAACACTCTTTGTGCTTCTAGGTGGAACAAGAATATTGTTCTTACAGATTCAGATACGATCCTCTGCATATGAAGATGGTCCTTGTAGCTCATCACCTGGCGTAAATCTTTGCTCTGCTCCTGGGTCTGGTGAATCCTGATGATCAGCGGCCGTAGTTGGTTCGTCTTACGTTCTCCATGAAGAAAACGTGTACCACGGAGGGTTTGAAGAAGGACAGAAGCATGGCGAGGGAACTTCTTTTTACGAGTGAACTCGATGCGACTGAAACTGAAGATTTCAGGATACTTGATGTTGATAGTTACCCTTTTCTCTTTTCTATCTTCCTCCTTTCTGTCTTTTTTCTAGTTAGGTCGGCTCCACCACAATTAGTGGTCGAATGGGGTGGAGCGGGTGCCCTTCCCTCTTTTTCTTGTTCTAGCACCACGACGCCTGGTCGTACAAGTTGGTAGGAAAAGAGGGGACGATGACATTCAAATTTTCCCCTGGATGTTATTCTTCACTAACTTTTTTATTCTTCGCTGACTTTATTCTTGTTTTTGTTGGCCAGGACACGGAACTACAGACTACCACGGAAAAGAAAAATGCAAAAAAGGAGCAAAAAAGGAAGAAAAGAAGAAATAGAATTCTTCCAATAACTCTTATCTCATATTTAAATATCTACTAGGGAGGGCGCTGGTATGAATGAGACCGCCCACAGCTTCTTGAAAGTCGAGATTAACCATGACATTGATGCCTTACAATGAATTGCAAAATCAAACTAATCAAAATTTTTCTAAGTTGAGAATAATATGAGCCCGACTGAAGAGATTGTTCATCTAAGGATTTTGAACACCTAGTACTTCATAGTTTTCTTTGTGAACGGATCCTTGAAAATAGAAGTACTACTTCTATCTTTTCAGGTGGAATTGAAAAAGTGACGACGAGCTTTAGCAGATTCGAATCGCATGACTTGCAACTTAAAACTATTTTTTCTTACTCTTGGTGATTTTTTTTCTAGGTCTAGAAGATCATAGGTACTACCACGACAAGAACATCAAGAATTATGACGAACATCAAGAATTATGACTCATGAAGGAAACCCGGGCTCCGTTGGCTGCAGATGCAAGCGATATCGATGACCTTTGAAGAAGACACGTAGAGGAGTAAAATATGTAAGGGCCACTAAAGTAATCGCGCTGGATTCACCTGCATCCTGGAACAGAATAAAGAAACAAGCACTGTGTGCATTATCTTCAACGTATATCATGCGTATTTTTAGGTGGAACTACACAGACACCTCATCCACCTAAAATAGAAGGTGAATGTGCTACTTCTGCTGCACATATTAACCTGCTCTCGTCTCATTCTGCTTCTTATTCCGTCATCCTATAATAGGTGTTGTACTACACACCTCCCTGGTGCTGGAGATATCTGAGTAGGAGAAGATTCGAACAAGCAGCAACATCAAAGACACTATGAACTACAATCTTGTTTTTACACGATCTCTCTGCTGCTCAATCATCGCTCTACTTCGAGCGACACCTCCTGGTGGTCGCTGGAGGGCCTGGGTAACTAGCAGTGTTCGAGTGTTCGTTGTATTCCTCCAAGTCTTCGAGAAGATTGAGAGAAAGCACGACCAAAAAGGAATGGTAGTTGATCTATCCCCACAACAAACCAACGAACTAGTAAGGAAAAGGCAAGCAATAGCAAAATAAAAGGCAAAAATTGGAACAGAGAGACGGAAAGTGGAGCACTTATTTTTCACGATCATGATTTGAAACTGACAAATGTATGTTTTCATGATTGCTCCCATCACAGACACAAGAAAGGCGCTTACCTCCCTCAAACGAAATCGTTACTACTAAAAATTCACACTCCCACTGACTACAGGATGAGCCAAAAATGCCTTTAATAAGTAACTGCTGTAAAAAAAAACTGTGACTGTGTACTACTGCTCCTAGAAGATATCACAACACCAACGCAATCATGCCTGCTTTTTCGGTTGTAATCAACGCACAGTGCGGAGGTGCGGCTTATGCAGAATATATCGAGAAAATACTCGAACATGGGTGGACCTCGACGCACGTTTTTATGAAAGAGAACGTTATTGCGATTAATAGCTGTTTGTTGATATTGCACTTCTGTAGTTGATATTACACCTCTGTAGATGAAGTTCAGATGAGGCCAGCAGATGATCATGATACCGAGTACCGCCCAGTATGATTTTTATATCGTACTCCCTCATCAATCTTCATCTAGTTGGACTCACATCTTCATGATCTTTGTCTTCCTCAATCTCTACTTCTAACAGAGTAGTTTATAGCACGCATGGCGCATGGAGTAGCATGGAGTGTATGGAGCGCAGAGCTTTAAGGGGCGCAAGAGGCTCCCCCTTTAGCTCCATGCTACTCCATGTGATCCATGCACTCCATGCCATGCGCACCGTGAAACCTTATAAACTGCTCTGTTCTACTAAGTCTCCTGCTTCTAGTGGTGGCGCGACTTCGTCATCTAGCAGCACGTCCACGAGAACCTCCAAAAAGTCCCAGCTAGTACTGGGAGACTGGAGTGCCAAACTCACCAAGGTGGCTAGGCAATCGTTTGGTTCTGCAGCGAGGCAACTCCAAGAACTTGCTGATGGGCAAGAAGAAAGTAAGCCTAGAGGAAACCATGTTCCGGAAGAGCTTCTTTTGCCATTGTTTGCAGAAGTTAAGGCCAGTTAGTCCTCTCTATCCCATTTCTGTACTAGAGTATTCGTGTTGTTAGTCATCTCTAATATTATCCCATGTCAGTCTGTAGAGTAAGTATGCTGAGTCGAGTGGTCCCCTTTGATTTATTCATCTGTTGTTGTAGAGGAGTCAGGTTCTTTTATTTGTGTCTAACGTCTAACTGTAGCCTCCTCTGAGGTATATAGACCAGCACGTTGTTGAGGCATCTTGACATGACACAAGCCCTAGCCCTCTTTGATTTACTTGGGGTGGCAAATATTATAATAGATTGAATATATTATAGCAGCACCATGTGCCCGTGGGGCTCGCTGAGAAGGATCCACAACCTAACCTAACCTGGTTCGGGGGAACCAGCACGCGGCGTTTTTCCTTCCCGTTCACTACCAAAATCGTTTATTATAATTATATGAAATCTTAATAAAACAACCAGTTAGTTTTTACCTCTAGAGATCTAGCCCTTTCACCAATTATTATATGAAATCTTCTATCATCCAGAACTCAAAAACAGGGATAGCGAAAAATTAGCGCTAAAGACGCAGTTTTACCACAGGCTGACTCGTTGCTCGTCACCCTGTTGATCGAACAGTTGATCGAGAAATATGCCGAACGTTGCGCACTGACGATTCGGGTTCTGCGCGAGTCTACAACTACGTCTGGAGTAGCTGCTGGATTAGTAGATGAGTACCGAGTAGTAGATGAGTACCAGAACGGCACAACAACCGGATCTTCTAAATCTAAGTTCTACAACGGACAAGGTTCTAAAAAGTCGAAGGTCACCGTCGGGCACAACTACGCAGGAGGCTTTTTGGTATTCCTTTTCGCAACTACTTTGATGTTCGAGGCAAAAGTTGTATGCAAAGTTAGAGTTCAATTGAAGATTTTTCTAGAAAATCCCACAAGAACCACCTCGTTCACTAGCTTTCAGTTTCAGTTTCTTCAGTTTACGACTCATAAAAAACACAAAGAAAAGTGTCTTAAAAAGGTGAAAAAATAAAAAAAGGAAGTGCAACAATTATAAGTCCTGGGAACGACCTCTTGCTAGGTAAGTGAATGAATGAATGAACATAGTGATCTTCCCACAAGGAGCACCTCTATTTTTGTTCAGTCCTACGTTACGAAGCAGATGACAGACGCTTTTCACATCACGACTTCAAGCCCAACAGCTCAAAAGCCAAGAATTCTGGTTCTGGAAGAATCCGAGCCACTGTCAGCCTGTGTTCAGCGATTGTCGGATACTGGTGAAGGCGTTGACCTGGTCTTTGCCTCTGCAGGTTCAATTTTTCAATTCCTCATGGACTGTGCCGAGACTCGTTGTGATTTGCAACGCTATCTGACTTATGGCTCCCCCGAAGCATCTACTTATTTTTCCATCTTCCGAAGCATCTTTCTTCGGCTTCGTTGTTGTAGAGACGTTTCTTATTTGTTGTCAAGACATAGCTTAACTTTCCTGAGTCAGCTAAAGTCTACTAAGTTACCTCAAGTAGAGCAAAAAAGTTATTTGTTGTCAAGAAGGTGGAAACTGAAACTTAACAACTGCCGGAGGATACACTTCGAGATGGATTAGGGTGAACATCAGCAGCGCTAACTAATGTCGAGGCCGGAAGAGGTACAGGGTAGAACAACAGGCGGTGGTGGTGCTGGCGGTAGTGGTAAAAATAACGTCCACTACACTGCACCTACAATGAAAGAGATTTCGCCTCATCGAGTGCTGCTCGATCTACTATGGCGGCATGTGCAGGAGCACTATCGCGCGGCACTGAAGGAGCAAGAGAGAATCGAAATCCAACTTCGTGAGGACCAGATAATACGAGAAACAGAGAAACTAGCTCTAGTAGAACAGCTGCGATTCTTAGTGGCGCAGATTGTGAAGCAAGCGCTCGTCCCACATCAACTTACTTCTTCTTCTTCTGGTGAAAAAGGGATGAAGAGCATAAAGACCATATTGAGTAAAAATGGTAATCAAGAAGAACCAACTTCTACTTCATCGTCAAGCAGTGCAACAAGCAGTGCGGAAGAGACGGCAACTGCGAACGCACAAACTACAAACGGTGGAAACAACAATTATAGAGTTTATAGAGGTGCACTAGAAGTTGAAGTCATGAAAAACAGCAATGCACAAGAACAAGATTTTGATGCTCAGCGCGCAAAGGCCTTGCTAGAAGAGCTAGAGCAGTTCAGTAAGGAAATGAGGACTGCTGTTGATCATGAAAAAGAAAAGATTGATTTCAGTTTCACCGGTAAGCGTCAGCGTCTCTCTCAGTTGCCTCCTCGAAGACCTGACGCGATATCAGCCAGTCAGTGCCTGAAGCTAGACCGGCTGAAAGTATGCGTAATGAACTTGACGATGGCGCCAGTGCTCTTGAATTATACTGCTGGCACAGGAAACGTGAGTGGTAGTTGTAGAAATACAGGAAAGTCTTCAATTGCAGTACATTCAGGTGGTGCGTGCGACTTGCTACATACAGTTTCTAGTTCAATGCACGGCAAAGAAAGTCTCCTTCTCTCGCACGAGGAAATGAAAACGGGCGATGACATGAAAACGGAACAAGAAGTAGTAGGAAAGCAGGTCCTCGTAAGCGATGCTGAAGAGGAAACCGGCAAAGCGGTAAATCTGAAGAGCAAAAGTAGGAGTCCTCGCCGCCGATCTAAAAGCTCATCTAGCATGTTTGTCGGAAGGAACAATATATCTACTGCCTCTGCTGGAAGTTCACTAGATCATCTAGTGGCGGGCTCGGTTGCCGACGAACAAACTGTACTAAGTGCCGCGTCCTCGACGTTGCGAGGGACGAGTCTGGTTATGAAGAACACATCAATAACTCTCCTGTTCTTGTATGATTTGCGATGATCCTATTGCAGGACATGCACTGTCCCTAGTAATCTCCATTTAACCTCTAATCCGTGCACCAGTGTCCCTGCTCGCACTAGAGGTCGGCCGCGAAAATCGACGGCTTCTGCGTCTCTTCAGCGAAGCTCCGTGCCGCTGGTGAGGAAAATGTCCCTCGCGTCTAAGAACCCTCGAATATGGATGATGCTTTTTCTCTTTTTGCGGGTCCTCGTCATCCTGGCAGTTGTGTCTCACTTCAAGCGGAGATGAAACTGCCAAGATCAAGATCTTCATCGATTGCCTTTAGATGGAAAGAGAAAAAACACCATTCATATCGAGGAAAAAAAGGAAGAGCCGGGAAACGTGGCACTTCTTCTATGGGTGCTGTACAACTAGGAGAAGATGTAGAAATGAAAAGAGAGCAGATTTACGACGAGGAGGAAGAAGATGAAGATGATGGTGCAGCTCCTGAAGATGCTGAGATGAGTGTTTACGGCACAACTGTAGAAGCAGTAGGGTCAAGTAGTAGTAGTAAAACTGGAGCGAGGAGTAGAAACAAGAAAAGTGTCGAGGAACCCCAACAAATGAAGATGCAGCTGAATTCTCCAGCAGGTCCGCGGTTGTCGGGAGGTAAGGAGCGTCAGCGGATGGATAGCGTGATTGCTAGAGCTACGAGAGCTGAAAACCGACGAAGTAAGAAAGGGAAAATTGAGGCTCGATGCAATTCATTTCTACTTTCTACAAGCCTTTTCTCCCGATGTCCACCTTCGGAGGGTCGGGAGAAATGTACGTAGGCAAGAAGCGAATTGTTTTCCGCTCTAAGAAAGCTTCTGCTTCCAACCGGACGGATCTTGCTAGTAGAAGTTCTACCTCATTCGCTGACGCATTGATCCGAGCCGGAGAAGCTTCAGTAGGGAGTGCTTCAATAGGCGGGATTGTGAGAGCAGCTGGAGAAGCTTCAGTAGGGATTTTTGATGGTCGTACAATAGGACGAATCTCCGCTTTTTCTGCATCGTCTGTTCCCTTCTCTACCAGCATGGCATTGGGAAAACTTAACAACTCTTCTACACTAAAACTCTCTGGAGCAGACGGAAAAGCGCCAGGTCTAGAACAAGCAACTACTTCAAAGATGCTAAAAACAATAGATGAAGATAAATCAATGAGAGGTAGTCCAACCCCAAAAGCCAAAATGCTTGACTCTGCAAGTAAGTTTGGTAGTGCGAGTCTGATGTCCACACCAAGAAAGGGACCTAGGTCAAGGTTGCCAGACGCCAACATTTTCGTACCGGGGAAAGCGATTAAGGAGGAAGAAGGTATTCCTGCTTGTGGTTCTTGTCGGACTACGTAGTTTATTTTACTCCTGTGGCTCAAGGAATAGAGCCGTAGAGACAGAGAGACCACAGTAGAGACGATCGTGATAGTGAATGTTACTCGCTGCTGTTTAAGATTCAGAAGTCGAAGTATATGCAAATGAGCAGTTCATCTTCATCAACTGTTCGTTGCTATGTTGTCTTGCCGGTAGTTGGGCATGACTACCAAAGACGTACGATGATGATGATGATGATGATGATCAACAGCCGGCGGTCCGAAGAAGCGGCCGGCGTCGGTCTACCATTCCGATGGCCCGGATGACTTCGGACACGTCAGCCCGCAACTGCCATCACCAGGCTGGCCCAAAGAATGGCGATACGAGGCCGTAGGCGGGCTGGAGGTGGGCAATATTGGGCTTCCCAGAGAAGGCGAGATACGCAGTCGTCCCATCGCTGCGGCAGGGGCGAATGTAGACCTTGGTGGCGCGACAAGCTCGAGCAGCAGCAGTGGCGTCAAAAAGCGAAGGCGAAGTGATGACTTGCCAGCCTGGCTCAAACCGAAGACGCCATCGTCGTATTTCGTACATACGGCGCACAGCCATGGCCTGGCTGAAAACCCAGAAGGAGCAAGTACGAGTAGAGGACAAGATATAGGACAAGATATAGGTCTTCAACTAGACCCAGGAGGAACTACGTCAAGCACAAATGTTGATATTCATCCCGGAGGGCACGCCGCTCGTGGAGGTATAGAACAAGGACAATTTTGGAGCGTTTGGAGCACATCAGTAAGGTTTTGCTGACAATCCCTTCGACAACAACTTCAATAATGGGACCATAACGAACACATCTGGAGGCGCACTGGGTTTTCAACCATTTGCATTTGGAGGGGGCGTCGAGAATCAAAGCTACAGGCATCAGCGCACTGAGCAACCACCTCATCATGAGAGTTTTTTCATGCCGAACACTGATCTGATGTTGATCGAAAACAAGAGTGCTAGCTTGGAGGAAGAGTTTGTTTTCTATGATGATGATGATGATGCTGATGATGATCCTCCCTGTATGGAGGAGGTTGCCTTTTCAAAGTTCGGCTGTCGGGCGACACGGGCTGCTCTAGATTAAGGCAGTGGGAGGCGGCCAAGCAGGGGCTCCTTAGTTGGCCGCCCCTGACCCTCTCGCGCCTCTGTGTTTCTTCAGCTGTTTTTTCCCTGAGTGATGCCCTTGGTTTTCTTCTGATCCCTCCCGCCAGCTCTTCATCCTTGGTAGTACATGATAGATGCGCAGGCATTTTACTGATGAGCAGAGGTAGACTTCATGCGTGAATTCTATGCGCTGTTCTTTCTGCTTCAAAGCTTTAGCTTAAATTTTACTCCTGTGAGGATGTGATATCACATTTTGTTGTAGAAGTTCCGCGCATAGTTGTAGTGCTAGTAGTGGTTGTAGTGCTAGGAGTCGAAATCTATCTTCAACACAATAAATTTTGAAGACTTGATCTACTACATCGATCCTTGTCCTCCATCCAGATAACGAGAAGCCCAGGAGTAGGACAACTAGTGCAACGACACCTACAAAAAAAAGAAACACGTCAAATCGACGCACCACAAAGACCAAGCTTAAGGCTCCTGGACACTTGCTGTTATACTATTTTTTGGTGTGATGTTGCTGGGTGGTGGGAGGAACCCCTAGGATTTGGAATCTCTAGTAACTACGGAGTCCACGTTCTTGTCTTTCTTGATCTTCTTTCTAAACGGGAATGAAATGATAAGGGCGGGAAAGAAGTCATCTCTTCACTCAACGACCACATAAGTATTCATATATTTTTAGAAGTGTGCTGTGAGTGTCTAGCACTAGCGTTAAGAAGCAGGAGGTCGAGCCAGATCCCGGGAACCGTGTTGCGCCAGGACTCTTCTTAGGCCCAGTAGAAGCCTTCCAGCACATACCGAAATTGGTGACCCACGTTTTAGCGGTATTCCGAGAAACAATCGATCGGACGGAACATTATGGAGAAGTTGAAACAAGTGAACCATTCATCTTAGAAGTATCTTCTACAACGATCGCAATGACTGGATATTTGTAATCATGCTCTTTCTCGTCATCATTCATACATCGATCTGCGCAAGTTATTTAGACTGTGGCTCATCTTCATTCATACACTTACGCAAGTCGAGGACCTGTACCAGCTGAATCACCTAGATGACCGAGAAGAGACCAGGCTAGACGACTACTTCGAAGGTTGCATATCGAAGCTCCACGACTGGTGTCTGCCTATTGCAAAAGGTCAAGTAGAAGCGTATGAGGGGCCGTTGCATGTTGTGAAGAGAGAAGCTGACGGAACTTCTACAGCTTCTACAGAGACCGCTCATGCCGTCATTCACGATGGAACAGTAGGAGGTGAAAACGGCAACAAAAAGCGTTTTGTCCTCGTGCACTGTGCGCAAGGTACAACTATCTTTTTGTCATGATTTGCTCATATCAGAAGTATGAGATAGAGATTATGAAGATGAAATGAATCAATCACAAGGAGGCATCAATCAGGTGGATGACCTCGAACTCCACATCGACCATCTCGATATCCACCATCCAATCATAACTCCATTTTGATAACTTGATCATAACTAAATACCAGGATGCAGTCGAAGTGCCTCGATCGTTCTAGCTTACTATTGCACGCTGTTCCCGGAGGCTAGTATGGAGCTGTTGATTCAGACTTTGCAGATAGCGAGATATAGAGCAGCACCAAACGATGGCTTCCTTGCACAATTGCAGAAGTATAATTAAGGGCAGCTAGTGTTCAACCTTCACGGTGTTCTTCCTGTTTTTACCGTTTGATGTTTTGCCTCTCCTAAGGGAGCAAGCAATGCAAAATAGAGAAACGGGAATAAACAGTATAACACCATCCAAACCCTCCCTGGCTCTAATACAAGGAAGGACCCGAATCGGCCAGGGTGCGAGGTTCACTCGAGTCTCCGAACCTGGTTGCGGTCATGTTCGCTAAGTATTTCGAACAAAAGTGGGGTGAATATGATGCGATTCCTGAAGGTATGAGACTGAGAAACAAGGTTTCTTAGCCTTTACTCTTAGTCTTACTGAGTGCGTAGTGTAGTAGATCAAGGAATAAGAATGAGATGAAACAAGAAAGCTTCTTATCGTCAGTCGTTGCGGAAAATGTACCGCTCAAAGGATTCTTTGGTCAGTCGTTGTGTTCAAAATCACTCAACAGCTAAGTAAAAATTCTCCAGAAGATTCTCCACGATCAAGGTTGGGTCTAGGGTTTAGGGTTCGTCCTTTCATACAAAAAATCCGCGACTACCTTGCTCAATGCGGTGTAGCGCATTACCGAATTACTGAGGAAAAAGCTCGCGAGAATCACGGGGCGTGGAGAAATATCTCCCTGATAGCCGGAGGTGGAGATACGAGTAGTGCGGAGAGCAGTCTCTTACAACCCGACGAACATCCAAAAGAAGCACCACTTATAGAAGACGATCCTAACCTTCCTCGATTTGGGTGCTTAGAAGCAGCAGAACCAGAGGTGGGGCTATCATCTGCCTCTGCGCCTCCAACTAAAAAGCGGCTCTCAAAAATGAAGAGCACCAGAGACAGAGCCTCCTCATCACAGAAGATGAAGAATGATATTGGTCTACAAGAAGTGCAAAGAACTACTAACATTAAGAGTACTACTTCTACTGCTCGTACACGTACATCTGGTAAAAGTGGCGAACAAATTCTGCAAGTACAAGCCTTTGCGGAGCCTCCACGGCAGCAAGGTCGTCGTGATAGGCCTTCATCTTCATCGCAGCTTAACTACAAGCGGGGGACCGAGAGTAGTTCCCTTGCTGATGAACATCCTCGTCCGAGTGTTGTAGCTGCTTTATCCTCCAACTCATCCGCGACTTCTTCATCTGCGAGCATCAGTCTTTCTTCCCTATCATCACCCCATATCACCCATTCGGTCCCTTCATCTCCAGCGGCGCCTGCAGTGGCAAATCGCACGAGGTCGAGGTCGGACAAAAGACTAAATAAGATATCGCCATCTTCTTTTACGGTCAGTTTTTACGCATCTTGTTTCTCAGCATCTCGATGTTGACACTTTTCCCCTTGTATTATAATCTCATAGGAATGGTGGACTCGACGAGAACGAGCAGATGAGGGGACCAATTTGAAGAAAAGCCGACTCTAATTCTTTGTCTTCAGTAGCCCACGGCCATGAGATACCAGTGTTTGAAGAGGCTATGGGTGGAAGACGCGGCAAAGGTTCTTCTAAGAAGATGAAAAGCGCATCAAAAATGAAGATGAAAACAAGAAGGTCATCTCAACAACAGTATTTTTAAGGCTACTGCTGCAGCATCCTCAACGCCATCCATCCTTGGCTCTTGGCTCTTCAAAAGGAAAAAGGGCGCAGGGATGGGCTCGAGGATGCGAACAGCTCTAACAGTATCAACATCAGGAAGACGGTAATGCAGGCGCTGCTGCTGCTGCTGCTGTTTCATCTGGAGAAACACCACTACATGGAGGACATCATCAAATTAGCGATGAACTAAAGAGTAGGTCCCCCCGACGCTCACCTGCTAAACGCTCACCTGGCAAACGCTCACAATCTCTCGGAGGGAATAGATCTAGATCTTCTTCCCAATCAAGAACACCACGAGGACGAAAGTCAGCAGCATCGTCTTCCCCTAGGAGAGGAAGAAAGTCCGCACCAGGAGCAGATGTTGTTGCGAAGCGACGCAGTTCAAGTCCTAAGAAACGATAAGATTTAAAATGCGATCCTTTCATCATTCCCGGAAAACATCAATAACAAGTCGTTAAAGTTTGTATTCATGAAAGAGAAAGAGAAAGTAGGTGTCTATTGATTTACAGGAGATGTCTTGTCAAGACAGTCTTGAAAGAATTGCGTACTGAAATGCTGTAAGGCTTCTAAAGTATCCTTGTATAAATACTCAAGAAAAATATTAACTAAGCGTAAAAAGCAAGGAAGTCTATAAGAAAAAGAACAATAGCAACTTCGCTACAGACTGTAAAACAAAAGTAGGGCCGTGCTGTAATATAAACTGATGAGACCACGATGATGCTGCACAGCAGGACGAACATAGGTTTTTGGTAGAAAGTCTTATATATGAGAGTAGGTGTATGAGTAGCCAACGTCGTCATTGCCTGTAGTTGAAGAAATTTTGTATAATATCCACACAGACATCAGCATATTCGAAAAAGCCGTGTTGTGCTTACGCACGTTGCGGCCTTGATGTCATTGATTTTGATGTCACCACATAGTGGATCATCATTCTCTATATCCCTTTTGCTTGTAGCTCATTTTTCTTCTTCTTGTCATTTCACTAGAACAACTGTTGTTCCGCTTGTCATGAGATCGTATATTAACTCGCTGTTGTGGCCTCACGGTCATAGCAGAGAAGAGAATATCGTTGATTCTTGAGCTTCGACTTTTATCGTGATTATTTTCTCTTGTTTGACACACCTGTCAGCAGCTCGGCTACTAGTAGCTTCACGACGAGAAATTGAGAAGCACTTTTTACTATGCCCTTGCTCCAGCTGCACTGACACTTCCAACAACTTGAGTGTCTCCTGTGTCTTCAACAGCCACACTTCGACTAGTTTGTGGGTGAAGATGACATTGTGTTCTTACAGCCAAAAGTCTTCTCCTTGCCGCAGATGGACCGCATCAGCAACGTCATTGCTCGGACATCTTTGAATAGAAGAAGGCAAGCACTCTCGCCTGGAAGTGGGGTTTCTTCGTATCTGGAATTAAGGGTTGAAACATTTCATTTTTACAAGCCTTCTCTACTTGAGATTGCTACTAAATAAAAATGCAATGACGACCATAGCACTACACACACAGAGCACAAAGAAATCCGGCGGGATCGTACGCGTCGCCCGGAGCGCATCAAAACAAACAAACAAACAAACAAACAATAAAGTATTCTAAGAATTGCATGATGAAGCTGCTGACGAAAGAAAAGGATCACGAGATGACGAGTACGAGAGATGTCGGTTTTGCATGAAAGCAATAATTGCAAAGGGTCTTAGAAATAAGTAGTTTAACTGAAGACATCTTGCGGTCAAATACTTCCCAGGGCCGTTGATGAAGAGACACGAGTAGTTGACGAGTACGAGGAAAGATAGTGATTTTGAATCTCCTCGTGACTGATGGTGTCCGCACACGTTGGTGAGAGAGGTGCCCGCCCTCATCTCGTCTGTTGAACTATAACAAAAATCTGGCTCATGATCTTAGTGATGGGGGTGGTGCTCTTTCTCAACAAAAACATCTACTTACATGACGTTGACATATTACAATAAAGATGATAATAATATAATATGTGTCCTTCCTCGAACGTCGGTCGGTCCAATTTCGTCTCTTGTCCTGGATGCATGACCATTCAAGTCGTGCCCTCATAGTACGTTATTCCCCATGAAACTGAACCTCCGTCGAATGGTCCCCTATCCTTTGAGTAGAATCAATATCAATTGGATGAATTTGAATATTTTAGGTCATTTTGAGTCTGTTTCATCTGATTCGTCGCCGTCGAGTTCATCTTCTTCTTGCGCTATAAATTAATGGTATCAAGAACAGTCTTGTTTTCAACATCTACTTTATTTTTTTGATTTTTGCCACGCCAAACGAACAACCCCAAACGAAATTCAAATTTTAGGAGAAGGAAAAAAAGTCAAGAGAGATCAACAGCTTGGGTTGTCCTCAAGATTATCTCAACAGGAAAGATTTAACTCACAACGAACATTCAACGAAGGAGCATCAAGTGCCTACAACAACGAGTCTTCACAAGTATAACTTCAACATCAACATCGACAGGAAGAAGATCTACTGTGCTTTTTATCAACAACAACAACTTTAACTTGACTACAGACTCACAAGAAGAAGAGACAACAAGATGGTGAACGTGAAAGGTTCGATTATCACGTCCTTTTTGTCGCGCCAGACACATCACCAGACACAGCAGCAGACTTTTATGGCCCCCTACTTTAAATTGGTAGTAGTTTGTAGCAAGTACTAGACTTCTCCATCCTTGTAGTAAGTAGACTGCATCCGCATCCTTGTTTTTGAGTAGATGAAATAGACTTTAGTGTCTTCATTTTATAGAGGAATCTATGTGTGAGACAGGGGTCGCTTCTTCTTCGCACAGCTTTAAATTGACTTTTAACAAGTTGTACGGTTTCTTGTTACAAGTATATTTGGCTGGGGACTACAGTCTAGCTCTAGCCACTTGTTACTGTCATCATTCTCTTTAGGTGAAGACTATTACATAGAAGTACAGTTGCATTAGTAGTAGGAGTTACAAATACAACTTACAAAAGGCTGTAGGACAGAAATTGTTGTTGGCTCTTCAGTAGCCAACCATGTCAGTCTGCTGGTGAACACGGTAGACCAACACCTAACCTAACCTTGTCGCGCGAATTTCTCGTCTTCATTATCTGTAGATATCTCTTGAAATTCCAAGTTCTACGTGCTTATTAATATTATGTGTAGAAGAGGACCCTCATAATTCTTATCATCTGTAGAAGAGAACCCTTGAATTGAGTCTGTAGAAGAGGACCCTCATAATTCTTATCTGTAGTCTGTATAAGAGAGCGTAGATTCTGTAGAAGAGGAGTACTATATTCATTAATCTTGCTTTCTAACACTTGTGCAGGCGATGGCTGTTGTGGAGATGCCTGCGGAGAGGTGCCGCCACACCTGAAAACCAATGTTTTCGGTGAAAAGAATCCCTTTCTCCACGTTACTTTTAGATTATGAAAAGAGCCAAAGGCTTGCAACAGTAACTCCTTTTTATGGAATAACTCCTTCTCTGTTTTGGAGTGTACAATTACCAACCTTTTTTCTTTTGATGCTTTTGGAATGGGTCAACAATGGGGAAAGTCATTACTTATTATGGGGACAAGCATTATCATCATCGCGCTTAGTCGACGTGTATCTTCCATTCCTAGTTAGAAATCTACCTAACCACTATCGTCATGTCACTAGCCCCCTGGAGTGGTTCCCCAGGGAGAGGAGTCGAAAGGAACGCGAGACACTCGCTAGAGGGGGAACGTAAAAGGCACGCAAGGAAGGGGACAAATGGAGAAACTAGAGTTCACGTCTTAACGTTCAAAGTTCACGTCTTAACGTTCAGAGTTCATGTCTTAACTTTCGAAATTCATGTCGCAACTTTCAAAGTTCAGCCATGTCTTAACGTTCACAGTTCAAGGCTGGGGGTCAACGTGTAGACTTAGAACTCAGAATGTAAATGTAAACTCAAAACTCAAAATGTAAATTCAAAACTCAAATGTAAATTCAAAATTAAACAAGAAAAATCAAAACCAAAGAAGAAAAATCAAAGTCAAAAAACATCAAAAAAAAAATCAAAACCAAAAGAGAGGAACCAAAATCAAAAATGAAAAAAGAAAACAGAGGCCAAGCTTCATAAGTGAAGAGATTCCTGATGTTGTGATCCTGCGTAGCAAGTAATACTCGGCGCCGCAAGACCGGAATCAGGCAGCTTAGGTTCTTGTCCTGACTTTCTTCCATATGGTAGTCTGAATCATGAGTCATGATCTCAGCTAGTAGAAGATCTCTTCTAATGGAATCTGCTATGGTGGACAGCTGTGCTGGCGGGTTTGGAGGCGATGCCGCGTTTTCGCTGAAGTATTTCAAGGTTGACCAGACAACCGATGGAGAGCCTCCGAAATTCGTTTTATGGCTTGAGGAAATATCCATCGTCCCCAGCAAACATCTTGGCCTTCCTGTTTGTGACAGTACGCCAAGATGCTCACCGCGATGGACTTCTGCAAGTTCTAAAAGTTGGAGCACCCAAAAACGTGAGATACCTACGCCTCCCTGCTGCAGACGGGAATATTGGAGCGGTGCAACTCATTGCTCTACATTGTGGTAGTAACCCTAACAACTGAGGTAATAGCCGGGCTATTCTTGTTTTTGGTTCTAACTTCTAAGAAGGACTTCTAAATATAGAGAAAGTATTCCGGCTTCCGTGCGAGAGTTTTAAGGTTCGCAGTAGATATAAAGTAGCGAGGGCCCTTCTCTCTGGTTGTGGGTTTATTTGGTGAACCGGTACCCCATAGCGAATAAACCTGTGCACACAACCAGAGAGCTGAGCACTCACCGGAGGCGTTGCACAGGGCTCCGGCCTGCCTTTGAAGGTGAGACCTATGGGGCTGACAGGACGACGATAGCGCCGGCGCTTAGTTAGTTTTAGCAGTTAGCAGGATACTTTAGGATACTTGTTGATAGTTGCCCTTTTCTCTTTTATATCTTCCTCTGTCTGGTCTGTCTTTTTTCTAGTTAGGTCGGCTCCACCACAAATATAGAGAAAGTATTTTTTTAAGCTGTTCATCTTCGCGCACTTTAATATCCATATCTTCAACAGTTTACTATGTATATGTAGATGCATCAAGAAGAATCAAAATAATTAGTGCTGTTGAGCAATAGTATCTCGCTTAAGCTAAGACGAGAACCGACTTTCATTTTTCTGCATTCTTACGGCACGGAGTAGGGCCTGTTTGTCATGAAAATCAGTGGCCTAAAAATTGGCCGCGGCGGGCTAAGTCCTGCTGCTTTTTCAATGGGGTCCGACAAAGAGAGGCGACGGAGGATGGCGGCAAAGGCTCTGGCGTAGCGTGGCGCTACCATCTCGGGCCTGTCTCTCTTTTTCGTCTTGCCTCCATCGGGAATATCACGCACAACGAAAACAGAGGAAGAAACAAGGAAGGACGGCCAGCCCTGTGGGTGCGCGGGCTGTCTATTCCTTGCGCTTGATAGTTATACCCGCGCACACACTCACAGAGGCAGGCAGCATTGATTGCGAGACGTGCGGGGGATTGATTGTGCGTGAAGATACGCGCAGCGCAAGCCTCGCGCGCGGCGTGCTTTGTGAGTCTTCCTCTTCGTCCTTTTGTCCTTCGGCAGCCGCTTCCCCGATGCTCCCAGCCATCTTCACACCGGCGCCCTTTTCTTTTCTCGCCGAGGCCGCCGACGTATGCTCTGCGTTGGATGGTCTTTGGCCTTCAGCTTCGTCGCTGTGTGCGCGCGGCTCGTTGCTAGCCTTTGAAAGTCACAAGAGAGGCGAGGGAAGTGCCCCGCACCCTTCCGCCTAGGCTCGCTTGCTGTCCCTCACCTGATCAGATGCGCCCCAAGCAAATGACACTCCACGGCAGCCACCATCACTGGGGCTCGGCTTTTCTCTCTCGAGGGGGATCGGCCAGCAACTGACGCCGCCGTCGGCTTGCGTGTGGACAGCTTAGATGGATAGTGGCGCCCACGCGCGGAGAATTATTCAGGGGCTTGTGGGGCTCCCAGTGAGTCGCCCCAGCCAAGGCCGCCAAACGACTGACCGACAGGCCACTGGCTGCCTGGCGTGGAACTGACGGGGGCTGGCGCAAGTGAGTAAGAGAACACACAAACACGCGCCGCCGGCCCGCCGAGCAATGCATGCAACAAGCCAACAGAGCAGAGGGGGCTCACCAAATGAAAGGCGCGCGCCACGGTGGTTCTGCGTTCTTGCTGTGGCTCTTCCCTCGCGGTGGGTTGCTTTTTCCTTTGGGTGGTTGTGAGAGAGTGTTCCCTCCCACTTGTCGCCCCTGCAAGAAAAGAAGCCATCAAAGGCGCGCGCCGCCTTGTGTGCAGCCGGGCGTGCGACGTGTAGGGCATTCCATTCCATTCAATGCCTACCCGCGGCGTTCAGGCTTGAGAGTTAGTAGAACGGAGGAACGGTCGCCGGCCACTCGACCGGCGGGCGGGTGGGCTAGGGGGGTTGCAGCATGCCCCGGAAAAATTGCTCACAGCATCGCATGCATGGAAGTCACCACGCCAGCCAACTGCAGCTACACAAAGTGAACGAAAAAGCCACCCACTGCCAGGCTGGCCGCGTTGTCTGAGACGGATGGCCCCGCGGCTTGTTATTGATACCCCTTCCTAGCGAGGGCGGCGCGTGTGGCTTTTTTTTTTCCTCTTGGTGGCTTTGTTCTTGTCTGGTGTCTCGGTTCTTCTTCACTTCGCGTTGCCCCAAGCTCAGGTAGTCTCACTTTGCAGGCGATCCCGTCTCCGTTTCCCTTGCCTCAAATCTGAGGCAGGCGCTCGCGCTGAGCTTTGCTTCCTTGTGGGTTCGCTTTGGCGGCGCTTTTGTCGCGCCCATGCGCCCTAGGCCTCGCTCATGCACCCACAGTCAGCCTCGCCCCCCTGGCTTTCTTCTGTGTTCTTCTTTTGTGTCGTTTGCCTTTCTCCTCAGAAGTCCGTGACGTGTGTGGGGATGGGCTAGCTTTTTCTTCTGGCTCATTCTGATCTGTAGTTACCCTTCCGTGTCATAGCCTTGGCCGAGGTTCTTTGACTGATACGAGACAGAAAAGGCGCGCCCCATAGAGAAACCTGACACACAGCAGCGCAGGGAAGCCGTCATCCTTGCGCTAGCTTGTGACAGTGAGCGCTATGTATTTAGATAAGTATATAATACTCATCTTTGTCCTCTTAGTTGTTGCCATGATCAATCTGCAGCCGAGATAATTTTGAATACTCTTCGTCGAAGAACAAGATCAATAAAAAAGACCACAACATCCAAGATGACGCTCAATTATCGATCTTCGACGTTCGCTTTGATAATCATGAAGACAGCGTTCACCTTCTAGAGGTCGTGTCTTGCAATTATACTTCTACTCCTGGCGCAGCATCTGCTACAGACATCTTTCATCTTTGCAATCTCACTATGTATATTTATTTGTTGATATTCTTTCTAAGGTCTACATCAGGCAGCTTATGCTACTCCAGCAACTACTAGAGCGCTTCCTCCTCTCACTCCACAGGAGTACGACGAGACGGTAAAGGATGACTGCGGTGACGATGCCATTGTTGTGGCGAAAGAGGCTGGAAAGGCCTATCGCTTCGCTACCATGGAGCACGCTTGTATCACGTTCACTTCGCAGACTGAATTAGTACAACCTTTAGTTTCAAATTTTTTATTTCATAGGTTGGCTTTTTCGACTATCTAAGGTTAACGAGTACGAGGTTATTTTCAAATCTAAGTTTTGATCAACAAATTATACTACCGCTTCCAATGGTTGTACCATCTACTTGTTCGTGTTAAATTACTTTATTCAAGAACATATCTTGTTCTAGAGGATAGACTGCCTGTTGATATTCGTAGTAGTTCATGTTCTCCGATATTTTCTTTCACCTGCTTCAAGGCTTGTTAATATCTTGTAGGAGTAGAAGGTCCTCATGATTCATCTTCCAGGGGTTACTGTTCTACTTCTTACTTTGACCGGCAGAGGAGCAGGACGCTCACGACTGAGCAGGACGCTCACGACTTTTGATTCTTGAACATAGATCAATGACTTCTGATGTTCTTTCTTACCACGATAGATTATCCTACTAAAAAAGCAATGTAAATTATACATTCATTGAACAGAATTCCGACAAGCTGGCTCTGGTGATGAAACAGCTGGATGAGATTACGGCGCGATTGCCTCCTCCTAGAAAAAGAAGAACAAATAACTCTCCAAAACCTCCCTCTTGTCAGGCATATGATCAATCAATCAATTAATTCTTCTATCTTCAAGAATCATCAACAAACTCTGTTGTTGATGAGCGTTTTAACAATCTGTCTCAGGGGGTCTAGTACGACACGCCTCTTGAAGCTCCTGTACTAACCTGAATCCGCACTCCCTCTTGGTCTGAATTTTAAACCTCAATGTGAAGATGATGATGAAGATGTTGTGCTGGTAAGTCCAACGTGCTAGCTATCAATCTACGTATATAGAACCGGAGAATACAGCAGGCTACCCCTGTGGAGGGTCGTGATTGGACTCCGATCCTATTTTTTCTCAGCCCCCGTGAAACTACAATGTGAGCCAACAAGACCTCCCATTCTGTCTGATCCTGTCCGATCCTATCCTGTCCGATCCTATCCTGTCCGATCCTATCCTATCTTATCCTATCCTATCTCTCTTCTAAGACAAGCGGCAAACCTTTGAAGAGCACCAAGCAACCAGGTGAATCTGAAGAGGATGAGGCGGCCGAACAGGAGGGCTCCGATCCAATCGTGGAAAAGCATTAAGGAATGAGAGCACACTTCTAGGTCGTATACTTTTTTATCATTACTACACCCTTCACGTTCACTCCATGAATTTTGAGGGTCATCTGCTCTTTCGTCTTATCATGGAGCTTTTATTACACTTATGTCCCTCTCCATCCGCACCCATCCTACCCCCGACGACGTCACGATGATAATTTCTACCTCGTTCGCTGGTGGATTAGTTTGTCTTTGATTTCATACTTCTTGTGCCCGGGAGTTGGTTTTCTTCGTTCCTAGTTTTCCTAATAGAAGCGCTCCACTGGAGCAAACTATTAGAACCACCTCTACCACATTGATTTTGATGGTTGTATCCAATGATCGGAGTCATCTGAGGACGACCTCTAAATAAAAATGGCGACAGTTGGATTCTATCGTGGTGTGAGCGGCAACTGGCGCAAAGCCAAGTGGGTACTTAATTAGACTTACCAGTTTATTTGGTATTTACTCTAAATCAGTGCTGCTGAGTATTTGTTGTACTAGGTGATCATGCGGCGCCCCCTCTGCGGCCGCGTTCGTCCATCTGGCATGTGAGATGGTCCCCTTCTTGTCTTTTTGTCCTTGAACCCGTCTTCCCCTGACCTGGGCTTTTTTTCTTTGTTTATTGATGTTTGTTTGCTTGTTTGTTCTCATCTTGCTGGGGGAAGTTTCCTAGATATACTCCCCGTCGAACGTTCTGAGGGGTGAAGCCCGCGAAGGGTTTAGACATCGGGAAAGGCTTCCACCTAGCTCGCGCACCTTATTCCTCTGACGCTGTTGGGCGCTCGCGCTTGCCTCGCAGGCTTTGGGTCGCAGGCGCTGCAAGCGGCAAGATGACAGACCGCGGCGCGGCTGCGTCTTGGCTTAGCCTTTGCGCTCCGTCTGTCCTTCGTTGTCGTCTCTCTTTCCGGGCTGTCTCCTTCAGGCTTTTCGCCTTCCGCTTATGGTCGCAGATCTGCCCTCCTTGATCTCGCCCACTCACCGGCTGGATTCTCGCGGGGCTCTGTTTGGATCGCTAAACAGTTTCTCCTCCCGCCAACCTCGCACAGGCTTGGGGATGTGTTAAAAAGCATCATAGAGTTAGACCACTCTGGCTGTGCTTTCTTCTCGGTTGTTCGTGTGTCCGTGTCTGTGGGTTGGCGTAGCTGTTTCTATGCTTCTTTAGCTTAAGGGCGGTGGACTGGAGTGGGCCTCGTCCAGCGCTGGCTGGATTCTATAGCAGGGGGCTGAGTCTTGGCTCGCTGGTGACGCTTCGCAATTATTTGGGACCTGTCATAGGTGTCCATAGGATTAGGGAGGCGCCCTGCGGCTCGCAAGGACGGGCGTTGCCCTTTCGGTCTCGGGTGTGCTTCCAATTCTGTTGCCTTACGTGGCATACTTCTGCTATCTTCTGGCTTTGTGCGTTCGGTCTTGAACGCAGACTGCCTGGCAGCGTGCTGGCTCCGCACGCTGTGAGACTAGCAACAAAGCTAGCACGACTGCGCCCCCCCATGGCGTGTGCCGTGTCTTTGTGTTGCTAGCGGTGAACAAGTTTTCTCAGCTGTGCTAGAAGGGCTTGCTAGGGCCGTCGCGCTTTTTTCTGTGTTTCTTATTTATGTTACTTGCCTCACATTATCTGCTGGGCTGTTCAATACGCTCTGCTTCGATCGGGGCTTCTTGCTGTTTAATTATTTAGCAACGCCCCCAAAAAGGTTGTGCGTTTGCGTTTATTCTTATAATTGCCCCCTTGGCGCCTAGGGTTCTTTCTGCGTGCCTCATCATTCATCCTCACCACCCTCATCACCATCGTCACCACCATCGCCATCATCATCTTTATCATTATCATCACCATAGCCGTTGGCCGATCATCGTCACCACCATCGCCATCACCATCTTTATCATTATCATCACCACCATCATCACCATAGCCGTTGACCGATCATCGTCACCGCCATCGCCATCATCATCTTTATCATTATCATCACCACCGTCGTCGCCATAGCCGTTGGCCGATCATCGTCGCCACCATCGCTAACCATCATCGTCGTCATCATTATCATCATCACCATCATCACCACAGCCGTTGGCCGTGCTATCTCCTTGAAGTCCCACTGGTGCTTGATAAATATCATAGCCGACGCCCGTGATGAGCCACACCTGCATCCACCTATTTCTCTTTCCACATGGTTAATTATGGATGTGGCTTATTTTCTTCTTTCTCCCATTTAGCAGACCATGATCGATCTGGGCTGCCGCTGCCCTTTTTCCCCTTGCACGTGCATAGGTGAAAGGGGGGCCTGCGCGATGGTTAGAGGGAGGAAAAGCAACATTCATCAACATAGTGATCATGCCAAAACTTGTTGACATGCGAGGACACTTGACAAGGCTCTGCTATAGTACATGGAAATGTTCATAGTACGATCCTGATCCTCTCAGGCAGAAAATGAATATATCGTCGCACTTTTAATATACTCGTCAGGTTGCTGTTGCGTTGGGTGGGACGGCCGCAATTGGATGGGCTGGGACTGTTGGCGTGTACGTTGCGGCGACTGCGGCAGGGGTAACGGCTGGCGCCGTCGCATCGTCTCTTTTCGCTCACCTCGGGGGCACACTACTTTATGGCTCGACATTATTTCTTGCGTTAAAGGGGCATGCGCATATTAACACTCAGGCCACCCGTCTAGCAGCCCCAGAATACAAAAAAAGCAAACAAGACTCCGCGAAATCTGAAATCTGAATGTCTCTTGTCTGTGCTGTGTCTTGCTTTTAGAGAGATCTTCTCAAAGCAAGAACCTAACCTCACCTCAAGCTGTTCTAACTCCTAGCGGCGTTTAGCTTTGGCTCTGCTGGAAGCACTGCAGGCGCTGCTGCTGTGGCTGGAGGCCTTACCATGAATTCGGGTATTGTCGCAGGAGGTGTTGTCGTTAAGGCCAGCACATGATCATTATTTCACTTGCCTTAGTGAAGGTGTGACTGAGCAGGGGGAGAAAATGAAGATCTAAATCAAATCACTGCTCCTGCTCTTCCTGGTCCTGGCGAACAATATTAACCCCCTGCTCTAGGATTCTAGTATACGTGGGTAAAACGTCGCTAGGATTCAGCTGATTGCCTCGTTTCTAAGCGTGCTGGTCTTACAAGTGGTATCGGTCTGACCAGGATGGCGGCACTGTGGAATGCACGCAATTATTCGCCTTTAAGGCCACTATCATGATGCTGAAGCCTGTTTCACTCTCTCAATAGTCGTGTCGTCCATCTATGAAAGCCTCCAAAACTTTTTCCGAGCACGGACGACTTCTAAATAGTAGCGCAGTTTTTGATTTTGATTAATAGTTTCTACTTCTGCTACTTCTCTACGCGAATGAGTGCACTTCTCTAATATGAAAGCCTCAGCTTGCCACTCAGGCGTACGCATTTAAGCCGAAAGGTTCCCCCTGTGTGGTTCGCGTTGTCGGCGGGAACTGGCTCTCCAGGAAGGCTAAAGGGTTGATCGGTAGTAAGGGCAATTATGCATTAACCACTAATGAATGGAGGTAGATGTTCTTCTTGATGCATCAACTACTATTGCTGCATGCGACAAGTACTACAATGTAGTACCGGCGCAAGCATTAAGATTAACTACGGTACAACTAATTAATACTACAAAAAACTGGTACTGGCGGTAGAAGTAGAAGTAGTATTACTCTACCCCACTTGGCGAACAACATTCCTGGAATTGAAAAACCTGATTTGGATCGTAAGGGAAAACGAGAAGAGAATCCTTGTGATCGAATTCAGGTTACCGAATAATGAATAGAGAAGGGTACTTAGTTCTTCTTGCTCTACTTGCATCAACTATATGCACTACTTGCACAACAACAACCAGCTCTTATCAAGAATAGCTGGAATTCCAAAGAAAAAGTTCCTCAGCTACAAAAATATCTTCGTCCAACATGTTGTGGATGTAGATTATAGTAGTACAACCCGAATAGTAGTAGGGTTTAGGCATTCACGTACGATGTTGGGACGAAGATCATCATCTCCTCTGGTCCTCATCTCCTCTAAAACAAAACGCACAGGGGAAAGTGCATGCCGATGAAGTTATGAGAACTATCTGACCATACATTCGTGAAACAACAATTAAAGTCCTCTAGAGTCAACTAGACTAGGTGCGGCGGGTAGGTAAATAAGTGAATGAATGAGTGACTGAACAAGAGTGAGAAGTGACTGAAGAGTGATCAGTACCGCCCCCGCCCTCAGCGCTCACCTCGATCTCAGCACGACCGACCTCACAGTGGTCCTACGATCTAAGCATGACCTGATAGTGAGTTTGTGTGATAGCAAGTGATACATATCTAGTGCATGATGCAGCTACTCATTGAGAGCGAAGAAATGCGGACAACGTCGTTCCTAGGTCGTAAGAAGACAAGAAAGGAGGAGCGACGTTCCCCTAGTTTCCATGAGTGAAAGCATTCGCATCGTCCTACTCCTACTCCTTACTTCAGTACTCCTATGACCTCATAGTGGTCCTACGACCTCAGCCTTACGGGTCCTTACTTCATAGTGCTTGGAAAACTCCGGCAAACCCGGGGAACAGGTCACTGTCATGTCGTGCCAACCTGATGTTCAAGCACCCGTCGCCGGCAGGTAAGCACAATAGATACTCTTTCCGGGAGGGGGAGCTAAAGCAACTGACTTAAGGCTCAAGAATATTACTTACTTAAGTCAAATTTCATCTACACGCGGTCATTCCCACTTATTCCTTTGTTCCTTCTTAGGATCAATTATTTATGTAGATCATTAATGAGAAAATGAACAGTGAGACATTAACCATTATCGGAGAAATACACGACCCGCAAGAAGTGGACGATTGCTTTGAGCTCTATTAACTCACTAGACCACTAGTACATTGTGATTGTCGGTTAAGTCACTTCAATTGTATTACATCTTATTAAGAGAAACATTGAATAATGAATCGAATGATCCGTCTACTCTTTCCCTCAGGCTCATCTTAAGAGAAAGGCCCCTTTGTAGCGAGTAGGGTACATAGTATTTCTAGGGCCGTCTAGACTTGTCCCAGGTTCAGAATCAGTGACCAAGAATGGCTTCTGCCTCTAAGAAGGGGAAGATGACTGTAAGGCGCAGGAAGCAGTCTTTACAGTGTAAGGAGCGGAGAAGGTTCGGGTTGGGCAAGAATGAGAAAGAATGGATGAGAAAGAATCATGGATGTGGAATGGTAAGGGGGAGGTGGAGGTTCCTCAGGGTTGCTGGTACCAACGGGGTGAGATGCATAAGGGAGGTCTAAAGGGGTGAGATGCATAAGGGAGATGTAAGAATGTTGAGAGTTGTAAGTACTAACTGGCCTGGGATCATTAGGAAGACCATAACTAATCACTCAATCACAAAGGGAAGCAGGATGATAGTCATCAAGGGGTGGGTCGTGTGACTGATCGTCATGAATGATAGTCATGAATGATCGCCTTCGCCATGCTATTCCTTGCTAAGCATGTATAAGTTAAGAGAATTCATATTTGATGTCTGACAAACATTGTTTGCCGTAGTAACAAGTTAAAAAGGGCCGTGCTGTTGAGGTCGATACAAGAGTCGATACCAGTCAGATGATTCTCCAGTCAAGATACAAGAGTCGATACAAGAGTGCTGCTGAAGTCGATGATTCTCCAGTCACTCAGAGCTCTACAATGTTGTGAGTAGATGCACAACTTCATCTAGAAGCAAGATGGTGTGTGTATGTATGTACTTATGTATTTAAAGTGCTAGAAGATGTATTGAAAAAGTACTAGATGATCATGTAGTTGTATGAAATAAGAGTCGTTGTACTGAATTATATTTCTATTAAAACTGATAGAGTACGTAGTTGTAGAGAATATCTTGCTATTGTCAACATGTTGATAGGCAAGCCTCGTCTATTAAAAATACTTGAGCCCCCGAGGTTTCTTGTTGTGATAAATCTTTTTCGAAGAAACGATGGGAAATGATTTGGACCACGAAGTCGATTTCTTGAGTTTATCTTCTTCTCGTTGTAGGTTTTCGTTTTTATCATCATCACCGTGAGGCGATCTCTTCAGGTGGTCCAAAACAGAAAAATCAACCACATCATAATTGGTTTTCTTTGAGATTGGAAGGATGTGGAGCTCCAAATTGATTATGTTTCCAAGATGATAACCTATGCATGATCACGGTGAACGAATATTCAAGATGAACACATCAAGACGAACAGACGCATCACGACGATGGAGACATCATCAGGATGAAGGCATGATATAAATACGAAGTGTGAAGTCTTAAATGCTTATGACGTCATAAAAATAGTTGTACACATGAACAGAATTCCTCTAATCATAATTAAATTGAAATTGTAGTTCGTAGCGCACTACTTCCATTTGGAATTTATTATTATAGATTTTCTTTCGAACAACAAGATGCTCATGTTCATACGCCGGTGTAGATATGCTGCATCAAACAACGACATAACTACGGCAGAAAATTTTCCCTCGTCCTCTTACCTTTTTTTGTCTTCTTAGTAAAAGTAAAGCACTTACTCTTATATCCCACGAGGTGGAATGGGCGCACTGCTACCAGTTCGCAGAAGATAAAGAAAGCATGGCGCCGGTGAAAACATAATCTATCAAGATCTATTGTTAGCTTATGTCTCTACAACTTTTAGAGGAGGAGGAGGAGGCGAGAGAGGCCAAACAAATGTCGTGAGAAATAATATGTTGATAGTTGCAACGTGACATTGTCAATGAAAATCTTTGTGCATAGATGAAAAGCAAAATACTTGGGATACTGAATCGGGAAAAAAACAAGAGCAGCCAGCAGCTACCTACTAAAACTAATGCAGTAGATGCCCTCATAGTCATTATACACGACATCATTAACTCCATTACATATGAAAAATAACATTAACTCGGCATGGATGTTGGATTCATCTCAAAATGAAAAATCCCAAAAAACATAAGACGTAGGTCTACGAAGGTACCTGTTGTACGGGTACGCGTACGCGCGCCAAGAAGAAAGTATCAAGAAGTTGTGTTCGTGTGTTCTTCTTCGCATCTGGGGAACTGGACTTGGTGAATCAGCGACCGTTTATGTGCTAGTGGAGGAATAGGTACTAAAAAGAACTGAAGAACACGACGCATCCATTCTTTTCAGTTTCATCTGGCATTTTGGTTAGCAGCTTTCATCTTTGTGGCAATTCCGAACAAGTCGAAGTCGTGGAAGGTAAGTTTCAGGAGTGCATGTAAATGCTCCACATAACTTCAGCCAAGCAAGAAGAAGATCAGCCAGCTACCACTCCAAGTCCAGTTCCACCCATCCACTGATCATCCACCGAATGGCTCCTGTGAAGAGGAGTTGTGCTTACAGTCTTTGAAAAGTTGGGAGGAAGAGTACTACAGGAAGAGACTTAGTGATCCTTTATCCTACGCATGTCTCGTCGCATGTGCCGATCCGGTGCTCCATGCGCAGGGCTGAGGCGGAAGCTGCCTTCTACTAAGCCTACTAAAAATCTAATCTTCTTCGGGCAAAGGATCGTGGTACTCAAAGAGGGTCGGGCTCTGTCTCAAAGGAGACGGTGGTGGGGATCGTTCTCAACGCCCTCGTCCCTCGTCACACTCAAACATGGAGTTTCCTCCGCAATTCCCTCAACAACAGCTACCTCCATTTGAGCTTTATGGCAGTCTGGTGCGCAGTTCCTTGCGCCTGGCATGAGTCGAAGGGGGTTGGAACTAGGAGCTTGCTTTCATTCTATCAAAGAGAGTAAAAAGGCGTCCCTGAAGGTCGTGCTGCTTATGATGGACGATAGGACTTTGCTTGATTCGAACTGCAGATCAAGTGGATTAAGGGTAGTTTATCACTATCTCCATCCCATGTGAACTATGCTGAGTGGAGAGTCCCCTCCTTTGATTTCTTGAAGGGGACGAAAGAAACTAAGGGCCAAAGAGGGCAACCCACTCGACTCGGGATCATAGTGAAAAACTACCTTTGAAATATCTTACTTTCAATTCTTGCTGTAGTCGGCCTTGAGTCTCGTCTCAGTCTAGTTTTTACGGCTACCTTCAGGAAAGATGGCATCAAGAGGGGCGGATCCGTGCAGCCTTTCAGCTCTTCCAATCTATTGTTAGTTTGCGAATTCTAGAGAGCAATGTTGATAAATATAATGTGAGGTCAAGGCGAATGCGAATCGTCTACTTAATCGTCATCGTCATCGTCTTAGATGACGAGCACATCACGACTCAGTAGACGAGATAAACGAGAAATACAACTTACTTGCTTTATATTGTGTCACGAATGCCGAGATTCAGATTGTTTTTGTTGAGAGACTAATGTTAATAATTGTGTCAAGAGCAGGTCAAGACGAGTAGACGAGATGAGTGAAGAGATGAGTTTCTCAATTGCTCTACTGTGTCTCCACTTTTGACCTTGAGGGCAAGACGATGAGAAAGCACAAACTTCAAGTCGCGACTAATATGTTTTCTGTCCATTCTCTGTAGGAGTAATAGAGGGACCACTAGGCTTTACTAAATATTACAGGAGTAATTAATATGTAGTAAATGTAAAAAGTACTAAGTTCAAGTTGTAGCTGCATAATTAGCCCACCTCCAGTACTGGACAGGGGAACCTTAAGACTAGGATGACACTCGCAGTCGGCGTCTCCTCAGGTGCGCTGACGCTTCGCCATGCATCGACAGCTGATAAACAAAATACGAAGTCGAATGGGTTATCTCACGACGAGGTGGTCAAGAATAATGATCCGCTTGAAGATGTGCCACCCCCTGTACGATCCTGCACGACGAACAAGACGAAAAACTACAACGCGAAGCCTTCTAGTACGCGAAGCTCGTCCAACAAGGACGCCTTTCCCGCACTCTTCCTCAACCGGGGTAGCGCGTTTTTACTGCTGATTTTGACGAGCTTGCAAATTGTGGTTCTTTTGCACTATCTGGGCACCAAGTCGACTGTCTTTCGCCTCCTGCGATCCTCTAGGTGGTTGTTCTTTGGGCAAACGGGAAAGGATCGCTCAAGAGGACTATTCATGAGAAACCCTATCAGCACCTTACTTCCAGAACGGGAGAGTACTCGACAAGTAGAGCAGAGTAAACAAGAAGCAGCAAAAGTGTTGGACTTGGAGCAGTCGGACACTCCACCACTTCCGGAGCTGGTGCTAGAACTGGCATTTTTAACGCTGGTTTACTCTACATGGTTTCTCGTGTCGAATGGAATGTGGCTTTCCTCCTTTCGATCAAGGCCATGGTGGAACTCACTGAGGAATAGACCTGGCTTCGTCTGTGCAAATCATCAAGCGGAATTGATTATGTGCAGTACTTTGGCGCCGCGCCATCTTTTGGCCGGATTGCTTCACATTTACGGGTATCCGACTGGTGATGTGGACTTCATTCGGCATGGCATTTTGTGGGAGCCCGCTTTCAATCTACATGACTACATCTGCATCCTTTTCCGCTGCTTTCCGTACAACAAATACTTCCGCGCGGATCATGCTCTCAGAAAAATAGGAACTACAAAGGCTGTTGAGGTACCACCTCGCGGAACTTCTTCTACAACGACGACGACAGGAAATGCACGGATAATCGTGTGGGTGACACGGCGATTTCCTGGCGGTGTGTGGGCGTGTCTTGTCCACCATTTTGGAGCCTTGTGCTTCGGTCTCTTTGCTATCCGCAGTGATCTTCTCTACCGCGAGGACATGCAACGCATCTGCATCGCACCGGAGGCTGCTGCTGGTGTCGCTCTTGCCATATTGGCCTTTCAGTACACGTGTGATTTTCGGACGCACATTGTGCATGTTTTCGTTGCGAATGCTCTGAACACAGTGGTCTTCGGTGTCACTCGGGGTCTCGAGTTTCCTTATTTCGCTCTTTCGCTTTTTGCGCACTTACTCCGGCCCACGGACTGGAGCCCCTTGATGTTTGGAAAGGATTTAGATTTGTTTTGCAGCACCACGACGAGTTGGTCTGCTTCATCTGCGTCTTCAGACCAGCAGATCTTGCACCAGGAGAGTGCCTCAACGTCTTCCTCCCATCTTCCACAGGAGACTACAAGAACAATCATGACAGCGCCGTATCCAATGGTGTTCACGCTGGGCGCTGGCTTGAGCATACTCGGGTTTTCGATTTTTAATCTTTACGCAGGCTGGAAATCTACCAAACGGGTACTTAAGATCAATACCATGTTCGCCGAGCAATACCTCACCCCATGGCCCGTGACGCAGAAGGCTGTATTAACCATCACGCGGTGGTTGAAAACCGTGCTACCAATCTAGAATATGGGAATACAACAGGTGGTTGAAAACCGTGCTACCACTCTAAAACAACAAGGGAATTATACAACGTCATAGTATTGGTATCGGTATAGCCAGCACTACGGTCGTTACAACAACCCTTTGAAAAGCAAGACCCACATTGTACATATATGAGGATAGCCATTCTACATCCACATACATCAGAAAGAGACTACTATTGGTTTTTCAAGTTATATTGCAAGGCTCCTGCTCCTAGTTCTATTTCCAATTCCCATCTACTAGGCGCATCATACTTGAAAACCTTTCTGACTAAGGCTAAGACTGAGAAGGCACCACTCAAATCGATCCACATTCCTGAACCTTAGGCGAAGTATCGCTAGAAATAGATTTGCAGAAGTTTTCCAAAGTGTTGAGTAGTACAGATTTGACTCGTTGTATAGTAGACCAATTGTCGCTCCATGTAATCCCCTCTGTATTCCTACAACTTGCGCAAATTTTCTTTCAACAACATCTCGCGACATAATTGCTTTTTTTTTGATTTTGATGTCTCCAACACCAGCACCACTGCTGTCGCACTGCAACAAGATGAACATGCTGACCTGTATAGTCATGAATGCAACATGGTGGCCTGTAAGTATAGTCATGACTGCACAGAACCGAACGTGGATGCCGTATACTATAAGTATCCAAGCGTCCTGTCTTTGTCTCTGGTCCAGCGCATGCTGGTAAAATCTTCCTGTTACGATTTTGTACTGCCACTGCCGTTTATTTCAAAGGCGAGAGAGTTTCGAAAGCCAAGCCAAGAAGGAAGCTGGCTATCGATGGTGGTACCAGAAAGCAGAAAGCCCTTGCACCGAGCTCGGCCGCCGATGTCGCTGCGGGAGCTGAGTCCAGCCCCAGCCGCCTACCGCCGGGCATCCAGTGGCACACTACCTGGAGTGGTGCTGCAAAGCGTGTCTTTGGTGGGTGCTTTCGAGTATACGCGAAAGTGACTAAGGACGGAGCGTCGCGCACCATCTTCGAGAATGTAACAGTAGAGAGGAATGGCAATGATCCTCGTCTAGCCCTACTTGAGGCCCGGGCGTTACTGCAGCGCATTAAAACGGATCCAGAGCCGTTTTTAGCCTCTCGAGCTGCGTGGAGAGAGAAGAGGCGTAAAAACGCCGTGATGAAGAAGAGAAAAGAAGCTGCTCGCGTCACGTAGATGTCACAAGTGAGTAGGAAGCTAGTTCTAAAGCGTAGCTCAGTAGGTACTTAAAGAAAAACAAAAAAGAGCCTCAGTGTTTCAGTTTTCCTTGTTGGTTTTCGAACGTAGACTAGTATAAAAGTAGTTAGAAAGAGTAGTCTCTACCTGAAGCGAGTTAAAACGTGCAGAACCTAGCTTTCCTTAAGTTTGAAAGTGTTAGAATGAGCTGTTTCTTCCTTTTCTAGACTTATTTATCTTAGTGTGTATCCTTCTTGAGCTTCCGCCCTGCTGGGTGTCTGTTTTAAATGTCAGCTTTCTTTCTCGTTCTCCTTACCGTAGCGTATATGCCTCTGCTATTTAATGAGTAGGTCCTTCTCCTTCTGCTGTGACTAGCCTGGTTAGGTGGTAGGTAAGTATCCTGAGGTGATGCGCGTCTGGTAGTCCGTTAGCAGTTAGCAGTAGGTGGTTGGTGGTTGCTAAGAAAGTTCTCTTTTTTTTCCATTCCGTGTGGTGAGTCCTTCATGCTGTCTCCCTCCTGTTTGTTGATTGCGAAACGTACTGTGCCCCTACTGGTGGCCAGAAAAACTAGGATACAAAAAAAAAACTTCTTTCTGAAATCTCCAAATCCAAATGTCTAAGAATGTTTCTCTGTCTTTCAGGAAGTAGGTGTATGAGTAACCAACGTCGTCATTGACTGTAGTTGAAGAAATTTTGTATAATAAATATCCACACAGAGGACATCAGCATATTCGAAAAAGCCGTGTAAGTAGTTGTGCTTACGCACGTTACGGCCTTGATGTCATTGATTTTGATATCACCACATAGTGGATCATCATTCTCTATATCCCTTTTGCTTGTAGCTCATTTTTCTTCTTCTTGTCGTTTCACTAGAACAAATGTTGTTCCGCTTGTCATGAGATCGTATATTCACTCGCTGTTGTGGCCTCACGGTCATAGCAGAGAAGAGAATACCGGTGATTCTTGCCCTTCGACTTTTATCGTGATTAGTTTCTCTTGTTTGGCACACCTGTCAGCAGCTCTACTAGCATCGGTCTTCTGAAGAAGTTCCTGCGATCCTCGGTTGCATTGGCCTGGACTCCTCTGCGTATATCTCAAGGTTAGCAGCAGTTGTAGTCGGATCATGTAAAACTTACTGAGTTCTGAAAGGCTGGGCTACTAGAAGATCCTCTCGATCAACATCTGAAGATGTGCTTGTTGCAAGAAGAAGAAACGCACAAGTTCGAGCTAGTCGACTTCTGTTCTTGATGAAGATGTTGCTGGCTCCATCAAAGTACTTCTTGTTTCTTCATTTTTTTCATTGAAGATGATACTGTTGAAATAAATTGGTCAACAACAACGAACTCGAATATTGTGTACGTAGAAGTCGTGACAATCAATATGAATATGATGTAATATAAATGTCTAGAACTCTTACCTCTAGAAGTCAACAAAGAACGAGGACTTCTGCTATTCAATTCTCGGTAAAATCACAAGCACAACGCTTCCACCGAATATATTATAACTCACTCATAAACCACTACCTGCTTCTCCTAGTACGACTATTGTTTGTACTTTGTGGAACCCTCAACAAACTCAAAAAAGACGAAAAAAGATGCCGCCCTCACCAAGAACTACAACAGCTGACGACTCAGCAAAAACTCCTCACGTTCCTAACGGCGAGGAAGATGGGCCAGCTGGTGATATTAGTAGAAATCAAAGGGGACTCCTGGACCAGGAAGATGCGGCTGTGGATAGTACAAATCGAGCAGGACAACCTCTTGACCAGTCGAGCGCATCTTCAGCTCTGAGTTCATCTACATTGAATGTGGGGGCCCTGGCGAGTCGGATCATGAAGGCGTCACCAATGTCTTCAGCTCCCTCGGCTTCCGAGGATACTGATGAAGATGGAGGTATTGGCGGATGGAATATTAAGGCGAATTTAGAAACAGCTGAAAAAACAACTGAGTGAAGGATCTGATTCTGAATCATCCGAGATAAGAAGCACATCCTCTTGTTCAGTAGATAAATAAGTCAAGTTGACAACAAGAGGAAATGTTTCAGATTCACTCGCAATAGAGGATTTATATGTCAGCAAAATATCCTTGTCCTCTCTTCTTCTAAGACCCGTCTCACTCAAACAGCTCAATCTTTCAAGTTTTCTCCTGCGGCTCCTGAATTCGTTCCAGTGATGTGGAGCGCTCAGTTGTATGGGGAACAAAGTTGTGGAGACTTTGGGAGGACAAATGGAGTAGATCATTTTGGACAGCTTCCTCGTGGTTTTCCTCAATTCGGCACCATGGAGTATTCATCATTGACACAGCAGGCAAATGTAAATTACCATAATCCTCGCTATACTGCTTCACTAGAAGGCACGACAACTAGTAGAGGCATAGGTTCTCAAACTCCTGTTCTGATCGAAGATGGCGATGTTGCTCGTGAAGATGGTACTGCACAAGAGCAGACGACACCAGCGAATAAAAGCAGTAGTCTTGTTGGCGAGGAAGATTATACTCAAGCGATTGCGACTCCCTCATGTCCTAGTAGAATCCTGAATCCGTCTTCAACGTCAAGTCCTGGTGATGAAGATGAGTCACATTCATCACCATGGGAAAGGCTGGCTTCGCCAATTGTAGGAGCTGTAGGAGAACTACAACCTCATCAAACAAGCACAGCCTCAGGAGAACTACAGCCATCTCAACAAACAAGTGCTGGCTCAGAAGTAGATGCTGGCTCTGAGAACGGAGAGGCAGACAACTTCTTGGAGGATATCCACCAGGAAAATACGACAGAACGACAACGACCAGAGTTCCCGGAGTTTAGATTTACAAAGCGCGACTGCCAAGCGACGCAGCTTTGGGGATGGGATCACGAAATGGACGGCGCTCCTCAACACTGGACCGAATACGTAGTGGATGTCAGGTAATATTATCGTCTGTCTCACACCAATTTCCTCTGGCGCCCTTGGGTGACCTGGTAGGTGTAAGGAGGGATCCGGCCGCACGCGCTTGCTGGCGGGGCCTGCCGTGCCAACAGCTTTCCGGGCTATAGTTGACCCGGGCGCGAGCAAACTGACCACCCAGGCCTCGCGCCAAGCATGGAAACCACCTCGCGGCGCCGTGCTCAAAAATGAACTCGCGCGCGTGGCTCCTGATGCCGTCGGGCCGCCCGCGCGCTATCAAGGAGCGAAAGAGGTGACAAAGTGAAGAGGCGCGCGGCGCGTGTTTCGGCACGACTTGTTTCACGGGGGCAGGGGCTGGCCTACACCTTGCCGAAGCGTATCTATGCGGGGGCAGTTGGCAGATCGGGATGGGCCGCGGGTTCGGCGTGTTTTAGGTACTTGGGGACTAATTGCAGCACGCCAGCAATGCCAATTAGTACGCCAGCGGCGGGCCTTGAAGTGGCAAGATCATGGCGGGGCCATTTCTGTTTTAGAGCAGGAGCGAGCTTTGGCGAGGGCTCTGGCCTCTGGAGGGGTGCCACGCTTACCCTTTAAACGGGTCCAAGATCGGCGCTTCCAAATGCCGAAGAAGACGCTGGAGCGGCTAGCGGCGCCGGTGAATATTGGAGCACGCGGGGCGCCTGGAGGACTGGCCACAAGAGAGCCCTTGGGAGTGCCTACCTTGCTGCGCGCTGAGTAGGAAGCGGCCGATGTATGCCCAAGATGAGCCGACAGCGCTGGCGTGAACCGCGTGGCGATGTCTCTGCGCATGGCGGAAGTGGTTGCCGCGCTTCCTTTGGCAGCTGCTCGCCCAAGGCTCTCAATCTGAAGGCCAACACTCACTTGCGGAGGTAGTTGGCCGCTGCCGTGCTGCGTTGGGGGTGTCTCTGGCTCCGTGCAAAGAGGTCGGCCGGATTTAGACGGAAGGGGCGAACCGCTGCAGCCCTGACTACTGGCCAGCCCCAAGAATGCGCACCAGGGCGGTCGGGTGTCTCTCATGCGTCTCGCGTTCTTGGAGCAGCTTGGTCACTGCGTGGGCCGCATCTGGGGCGTAGAGGAGTGGGACGGCCACGAGGGGCCCGCCAAGAGTGAGAGCGAGGCCCTCGCTGAGGAGGATGCCGGTAGTGGGCCATCGAACAAACGGGAGGCGGCGTTACTAGTTGAAGAGAGCCCAGCAGAGGGCGGCACCCGGGGTTTGAGTGATGCCGCGTGGCTTAAGGTCGGCGCCTTTCTAGCTTGGTGCAGGTCGCTTGGGCCTTTTCTAGCTCGGGGGCTTCGCTCGGCTCTTTTCTGGCTTGGTGCCCGGTCGACGGTGGCAGCTTAAAGGCAGTGGGAGGCCCTCAGGCTCGGGTTGCTTATTTGGACGTCTTTCCTTGGTCCCCCTCTGTCTCGGTGTTTTTTCGGTTTTTTGTATCTTTTGGCTTCTTCGGTTATTTTCTACCCACTCTTACTAGTACTAGTCTGTCTCACCTCTCTTCGATCATCAATCTTAAGGCCCTTAGTTCTTAGCTTCTTTCTCATGTAGATTTAAGTAGAGAAATGTTCTCTACAACTCATTTCATTTTATCTAATCTTGCCTCTCCTCTCATTTATCTCTCAGTTTTCTCAGGCTGCACTTATCTCACGCTTACCACGTTTTTAGAGCGAGCATGTCTTCACGCTCCTTATCTTCAATCGTGACCAACACCATCCGATCGCCGTCACCCCTCGACCAGATCCCCAGAATTGGTTGGCCCCAATATCGAGCAAACTTTCGAGCATGGGGATAGCCTGGTCACCCGTGATTGGAACCGCGCAGTCTGCGTCCCCTATGTTGTCGAGGGCGATTATCCTGAGGCCCCACTCGTTGGCCTCTACAACAGCACCAGTTTGCTCGTGTCTCGCCCAAACGAACAAGTCTTCAAACGGAGACAAGACCATCGACGATACAGGGAGGCGGCGTACTTGCGCAAAGAGTATCCAAGACTCGTGGCATTGGTCGACGAAGATCATGAAAAAGTGATAAAGAATAAACCAGTGAGAATCTCGAAGATAACGAACAAGCCAAAACCGCCTAAACCCTCATGGATTCGCGCTGGTGCTCGCCGTGGACGGCCCTACATCGTCGGGTCAAATGACGCATTGACTTAAGGCAATAACATATACTTATATAGGTGGTGGCCACCCATCCCCTTCCTTATGATTCATGACTGGGATCATTCTATAAATATTTCTATGCGTGGTGAGGAGGACCACGAAGAGAAAAGGAGCACTCTAACCAAAGCAGCTCTTCCTTTCGTTTCCTTTGGACAAACGTATGAGTCTCGTTTTCGCTGTTGATGACGACGCAAACCTACGTGTCTGGGAACCGCCTCAAGAAGTTCCGGACGACTACCGCAGTCTCCAAGTCCAGCGTGTGATTCACACTAGCTTCGTCGTTTTGGATAGTTACGAATCATTTGTTCAAGCATGACCTTGAAAGACCATTTGTTTATCAAGCGTGACGATGAAACAAGCGGGAGTAGTTGGAGGCCGAGTGTCTTTGTTTCATGTTGATATTGTTCTTTTTTAATTATCATCTTCCTCTGGTCTGTCTTTTTTCTAGTTAGGTCGGCGGGCTCCACCACAAATTATCATCAACATCATTGATATTCGTGTGAACAGCAGCAAAGCTCGTTCCCTCTAAAGAAGCATCGACCGCGTTTATGGCGACAAGGCGGAGACTGACGAACAGAAGCCTCCCAACACGATCACCAACTCCGAGGCTAGACCCAACGGATTCTTTTCCTTTGAACTTGGTACTGATAATGTTTTTACAAGGAACGAATAGTAGGAGAAGATGAAGTACTTAGCTTGCGATTGCCTATCCTCCATAACATGTAAAAAGCAAGTGAGTGAGATGTTATTATAGTCGTTTTGGATCATTCGTCTTGGGAGGTCGCATTTCCACAATATTGTTAAACTTTTTCATTATACCACTAGCCCTACATCAACAGGTCGTTCCGGTCATCAATTCGCGACGAGCGGAGGTGTGGATGTTCTCCGAATTTTCAAAAGTAGAAACTGGGATCATGAGACTGTAGAGAAGCTGTATTGTACTAAAGTCAAGTCCACAACATGTTGGGTGCCTGGTAGAAAAGGGGGAAAAGGAAAAGTTAAGGCTTCAGCTTCTACTAATCCATTTCCATCGCCGATGGAAGCATCCTGAGGCTGGTACTTCTCCTCAACCGGGAGAAGGTTCCAGCCTCCATGCGCTTCGAGATGGGCTAGGGTGAGCTCTAAAAAAGGCAAGAAAAGTGGCGGGAAAGGTGTTGGTGGTGGCCGTGGTGGTGGTAAGAAAGGCGATTTTGGAGGACAAAATGTTGATGCTTGTCAGGAGGTAGTTGTATACGACCACGGTAATGCAGCTGGACGAGGATACGAAGATGGTATTAATGCTGGTGCAGGACGAGGTGGATATCAACATGATACCCTTGAGGTTCCTGGATACCATAATTCTTGTGCTGAAGAAGAACCTGGTTTCGAAATGCTTCAACCACGACACATCAATCAAGAACAACCAAAAGAGTTGTTACACAAGAATCAAGAACGTGAACATCAGATGAAGAACGGGGACAACAACAACGAGACGACACGGCGTCACTATAGTGACACGACCAGCGTACAGACTATGCGAAGTTCTCCTTCTTCAACAAAACGCAATAGAGAGAGGAAGAATAAGTTCGATCACTCCTTACCTTGTTAAGGCTACCGCTGAAGCATCCTCACCATTATCCTTGGGCCCTTTTTCTGCTTGAAAACGAAGCCAAGGACGATGCTCTCAGGGATGCAACGCGTTAGCTCTAATATTGGTCTTCATCCGAAGAAGGCTCTGAAAACGGTGACAGAAATACTACAATCCTAGAAGAGGAGCCTGAAGAAGAGGAAAAAGAAGAAGATCGAGTTTCCCCTTACAAGGTCTATTTTGAAGGCACTTGGGGTCCCGAAGGCGAGTCTGGTGTGAATTTGACAATTTCGCCGAAAAAAACTTTCGAACTTTACATGAATATGGTTGTGCATGGTTCGGATAGGTTTATTGTTGCAATGAGGGATGGGCAGACTGGTGAGTTTTTGGGAACGAAGTGCTTAGACCGAGATGGATGGGGGATTTCGGAACTTATGAAAGATTTCTTTAGAAGACCTTGCTATTCTTAATATGGTACCCACTGTGACTGACACTGTTGATTTGATATCAATAGATCGCGAGATCCCCTTCTTCTAAGCGGTCTGTGAAGTAGTGGATATGCTTCAAAAGCGTTCGCTAATATTATATTGCGTTCGCTAATTTTTGTAACTAGTACTGCTCTCCCTCTTTTAATACATTTTGATTTTCTAACATACCCGGCGCAGCAACCACCTTCAAACGCAAAAAGAAGAAACGAAACGAGAACAACAAAGAGCAAGAGGGGAACGGCAAAGAGCCAGAGGAAGAGCCTCGGCCCTATGACTCATCTTACACCATTCAGAATCAAGAAAAAGCCCAACTACTAGGACACCTGCAGAAACTAGAATTAAGGCAACCGATACCGAAGAGAGCATCTATTGAACATCATCCATGCTGGCTGTTCATTTTCCAAAGGGAAAAGACGCCAAGGATGTAATCAGAGATGCGAACGCGGTAGCTGCTCTAAAAGAAGCATTTCTAGAGAGGTTCATCCCGCATGTTTCACACTGTTGTACATCCACAGAGACGAATCCAGACCGCAAGCCTGTTTTGTTTACGCGCTACGGCAAAGGTGATGATCGAGTGTACGCGCGATTTGCTACGATAGAAGAAGCAAAACCAGGAGGGCTTGGAAACGTGCAGACTCTTACACACGAGGAGTAGTCCTCTACTTTCCCCGTACTGAAGAATCTCAACCTCGTGCAGCTGCTCCAGCTGCTGGTGCTGCTGCTGCTGCTCTTTATAGGCTCAACAACATGGGGAAACATCTACTGCTTTATTAGCTGCTGCTGCTCAACAACATGCCGCGTATACAACAAGTACAACAACGTATGGTGACAGCTATACTACCAATACCAAAAATAGGTCGTGTCGGACGATCTAGAGAAGCTCGAGGATGAAGAAGCAACGTGATGCTGCATTTGAGTTTCGCATTAAATGATAAACGTCGAACTAGTATCTTCCCCATCCATCTCGTCAATGACCTGTTCGTCACACGCGCATCCCCATTTTTTTAGTGATAATATTCTAGATCACGATTACGCAAAAAAGTATTCTCACCCATACTTGCTACAAGTACATATTATTTGAAGATTTACTCGGTAAAATGACTACTACCCGTGCCTTAAAAGATACTAATTGATCTTCGTGTCTCGTCTGTATCGAAGTATCTCCTCGACGCTTAATCGAGACTCGAGTTGTCAAGAACAGAGTTGGAGTCAACGACGTCGATCTCCGCTAAAAAAGAGTTGTAGTCAACGATGACGATCTCCGCTCGAAAGAAATAGAAAAGTTGAATGAGGAAGGTTGTTTGAATTTTATCCGACGAGCCTAGAGCGAGTGTGACTGGGAGTGTGAAGATCGACTGCAAGAAGGGCGAAGATTATGAGAGAAAAATGGAGTGTGTCAGAGAAGAAAAATAGAGTTGTTCGCCTTTCCGAACGAGACAAGAAACGAAAAGGGAGAACGAAATACTTTTTTAGACGGAGTTAAAAAATTGCAAAATATAGGTACGCGAAGAAATGGCACTAGCTTCTCTTTTTACAGTAATAGCGAGCGAAACCACATTGATTCTCGTATCTTATTAATCATGAATCACTTTAAGTTTAAATTCTTCAGGCGGAGGTGATCGAGGTAAAAGAATACTGTAAGTGTATTAGGTTGGTGAATCAAATAAAATTTTTTAGAGCTATGGGAAGGCCACCATGAGGTTCGGCATGAATCTGCCGCACCCTCCAGGGTGTTGGCAGCGGGATGACGACTCCGGAACAGCGCGTTCTGACCACGACTCACCAGCGTATTGTTGAATAGCTGCGTGGGCCTGGGCGTGCGGCAATTTATTAAGGCTACCGCTGGACCATCCTCAACATCATCCTTCGCCCATTTTTCAAGGAGAAAAAGGGACCAGGGAGGTTCTCGGGGATGCGAGCGCGGTAGCTCTAAGGCAAGACTGAGTGCTGTGGTCGAGGTGACCTTGCGATATTAACCTGCCGGCAACGTCATACTTGACAGCTGGGTATGTGTAGTTGCTGACTTTTGTACTACTAAGTGCGTTCTTCGACCTCCGCGTCAAGAAAATCTGCGGTTTATTACTAACAGTCTAACACAAAATACGAGCCGAAGACACGAAAACGAAGAGTAGATTCCATCCACGAGAATAGTATCATCGTCATCGACAAGGATTAGACTAGTATACTAGTACCTAAAACCTATACCTTTATCGTCATCTTCGACAAAGGGTACTAGAAGACTCGTTCTCGTACAGGAGCTGCTACAAGTAGTACAACAAGAACGACCACTCGAGGACAAGTTCTGCTGCTACAACATTTCGTCGAGTCTGGTCCCAGCGAAAAGAAAACAAGATGGACCGCAAGCGGAACCCTTTAGGGTTCCTTGACGACTTACTCGAGGAGGAGAAAACCGGGAGTGACTATTTTGGGTCCGTTTACTTCTGTTAAGGCTCAATACGATTCCTTTTTACACGCCGTTTCATCTTGTTCCTATTTCCTTCGTAGGACATTTGCGAGAGTAAATGAAGGGAACAAGAAATGGATCATTTTGCGCTCTAATTCCGGAAGCACTATGAATTCATAGACGTTACCAGACTGTACAACCCTAGGTCGATCGAGTACCGGAATGTCAAGCTCATCGTCTATGAGACTTTCTTCTACATTGTGTGGGTGCTCATGTTGACGCTGTACATGAACAGCTATATGGGAGATGCAGGAATGAGTACTCTTTCATCCGTATCTATTTATGTTTTTAGAACTAGAACAAGTTTCACATGTAGACATACATACTAATTCTTTGTGAGTTAGAAGAAGTCCCACATACTATGATAGTAGTTGTGAAGAATACTTGTTCTAGTACAACTACTTGTTTCTGCAATCACCAGGATCATTATATATCATTGTCTTTGCCATGGAGATATAAAGTTCAACTTTTGCATGCCTCCTACAAAGTCAATACTGTTTCTTTCAGTCGAGGTTAAGCATCGTAGAACCTCTTCTCACCATTCTCTCTTTTCGAAATCCAGATCTCGAAGCTCGTCGTCAGCAGGAGCGATATTGGGGTGGTTGTGAGGATAAGCGTGGCACCTGCAAGATTGACGACGTGAAGGATGCGGATAGTCTGTTCACGTTTCTCTCGGATACCATGGTACCGAAGCTGTTCACGTTACGGCCTCCTCCCCATGTTCATTTGATGGCATATCTAGCCTATTATACGCTCACTCCGTCACAAGTGAGCCCACTCCTATCCTATCCTCTATCTTTGTCATTGTCTTTGACCACGTGTTTTCAAGATCAAGGGTAAAATCAATGGCCAAGGATGCACCTAGTCTCAGATCTGGTCTATAGCCCCGAACCTTGACACATCCTGATCGATGATGTGAGCTAGTTCTTAAGGATGAATATCGGGGTTTCCACTTCTAATCACGGATCAGGACACGTACTACGATTTGACCATGACGTCCGCAACAAGGGACAGCTTGTACACACTGACATCAGAGTCAGTGCCCTGGCTGCCGAGGTATGTTGGGGACACGAAGACGATCGTGATGCTGGGTAACACGCGCATTAGGCAAGTGCGAGTAGTGAAGAACAGAGGCTGTGCGACGAGGAAAGAATTTGAAGGGATAAAGACGGGCACGGGGATCAACGACGAGGAAATAATAGCTTGCTATCCGCCGTTTACGACGGAAGTGGAATCGACATTGGCGTAATCCTTTCTTTTTGGCGGTTGAAGAGCCGTATTTGTTGATGGACCGTGCTCGCCCTCGTGCTGCTCTCTACTCCTTTCTTACCTTTCTTTTTTGCAGAGAAGACTGACGCATGATCAACTTCTACTTGAAATGAAATGCTTGATGATGAATAATGAAATCTTCATGAAGCCACAATCATCAACATTATCATCTGAAACCCTGAAACACATCAGCTATCCCGCAACACATGTTCCTGACATAGTGAAGCCGGTCTATTCCCACTCCCTAGACCGTAGTGGGCTAATGGCGAACTTTCAGAGACCGAACGCTAGTATGACGGAAATGGTAGGGAAGCACGGCCACTATCCAGGAGAGGGCTTTTACTTTGATTAAGGGATGCCACATTACATTCTTCACTACCGTTGTTCTGGACTTGTTTCCCTGTAGAAAAGACGGTGGGGATTCATTTCCAAGGGTCGTTTTCCTCTGTTTCCTCCTCTCTAATTTGCCATGCCGTTGCAACGGTCAACAGCTGAGGAAATACTCGAACACCTGCGAGGTTGGGACTACATAGACCGGAAAACGAGGGCAATCATCATCGAGAATAGTGTGGTGAACCCGAACACGAACATCATAGTGTCGAACAGGCTGCTGTTCGAGTTCAACGCCTTCGGAACGGTGACTATACGACAAGACCATGTGCCGATACGAGCGACGCTCCTGAGTATGAGTCTCTTGGCGACGGATGAAAGAGACTCGTTTATGTATCTCGTGGTATTTTTTGAACTAGTACATATTACCTCCATGCTTTGATCTCATTCATAGAAGTGTATCTCATGGTATTTTGAACTATGTGTACGTACACTACGATTTCCAAGAATTTTACCATGCTTTGACTTCGATAAGAAGCGGTCTTCGTCTTCGTCGCGGCTACTATGATCTTAATTGTTCTTGAAAATCGATTAATGCTCCTTCGACTAATGCTCCTCCTTGAAATCGTATTTTAGAATAATTTATAGAACGGATGTAGGATGGACTTGGATGGATCGGATGGACCCCCCTACGGCTTCCGATCCTTCTTGAAATGGTGGGATGTCCATCCGATCCATCCCATCCCGGACCTACCACTCCTATCAATTTTGTCTAGTAAATTTGTTACAACGTGATCCTCGTCACGACCGGGAACAGCCATGACCTCCATCACCTCAACTTGAGAATTTGAATTCAGATCTTCCGTGCCTTCTTTCTCCTGTACTTCCTCTCCGCTGTGTGGATGGTCTACAAGAACAGGATGCAGTACTTCTTCTACGCGTGGAACCTAGTGGACGTGGTCATAATCGTGCTTTTCTGGATACACTTAGGTGTCCAGTTTACCACCTTCTTCACCGTCTTAAATGACACGCAGTTTAGACCAGAATTGCTAGGGTTGCCGGAGATGTTTTTCTCATTTTCGAAATTGAGCCCAGGGTTGACGGCGACGGATGGTACTGGTTTTTTTTGGAAGATCATCATCATTTGTTGAAGATAGAAGCAGGTACTAATATTATCGCCTCTCTTACTTGTTGCCAACGCCAACCCCAACTTACTTGTAGCAACAAGTTGTTGGAAAAACTAAACGTAAACTGCTTCTCTGCACAGTGAGTTGTTCAATGTGAAGGATCCAGATCCTAACCCAAGAACCTTCCATTTCGCCCTGGCTGATGAATCCCATTTATTTCAGGTATCCTGTCAATAATCGGGCTTCTAGCGTGGTTGAGGACGCTCAAGTTCTTTACACTATTAGACCGATTTAGGGTGCTAACGAGGACGATGGAGAGGACGTTTGAAGATCTAGCAGTCTTCGCGCTGTTGCTGGCGACAATCATCTTCGGATTCAGTACTTATTCCTTGCGTTTTTCTGATTCATCACATGCAAAACTACTTGGTGCGGCAGCATCGAAACCATCCGTTCTCGTAAGAAGAAATAAAGATGTATCAGTCCTCTTTCAGTCCGCCCACCACGAACACTGCGAATAAGCACTATAACCAAAACCAAACCCCTTTCTTCATCAAAGGTATCGCCTTCTGGGTCGGTTTCTACAACCGTGAAGATGTACCCGAGTTCCAGTCTTTGCTATCCTCAATGTCGACGCTGTTCTTCATGCTTGCAAGAGGTGTGAAATTGGAGTTCCTATTCGAGGACGACCACTGGCTACCAAGGTGGCTCTACGTGACCTATCTGATAGTGGTCTACTTTTTGCTGGTGAACATGTTCATGGCCATCGTGAACGACACGTATACTTAAGGGGAGGTTAAAGGTGCTTTTGTTACCGTTTGTTATGGCTCTCTCCCTTAGGTGGGGACAACCATAACAAGCGGGATAAACGAACACCAAAAACCTACCTCTAATATACGTTGGTCACCTATAGTGCAAGGCATCAGGGAAGGAGAAGCTTCAGTCAAGATAGCGTCACATGGTACTGTAGAAGAAAAACCTACTTGTCTACTCTGCTACTTGTGGTTTCTTTCCACTTTCTTCATCTTGTCACCAGAGTGATCATGATGAGCTTGAACTTGAACTTGTGACCAAGAAGTACCAGGGCATCACCATCCTCGCGGATGAAAAAGATGCTTGAGTTTCTCTTTCGGCAGGACATCTTTCTTCGAGGGACACTTCTTCTCATCACACTCTCAGGTGCTTTCTCATTTCCTACGCCGCCAAGTTAAAAGGTGAAGTTTTCATAGGAGGCGACGAACTGGACGAGGACCGAGGTCATCTCAAAGAGCAGTTTATAGAGGTCGCCGCCTTGCCAGACGTAGTCCAAAAGGCGTGGACTGTGAAAAGAGAACAGATTAAGGCTCTGTGAAAAGAGATAGTACAACAAGTATGTAGATTCAGTTCATTTCGATCCAACGCTCTGTCATTGATTTTCTTCTGTCTCCTTCTTAGGTGGATTCTGACTCAGAACAAGAGGTGAATCCACCGTCATTTACATTTTTTGAGCTCTAAACAGATACGAGCACTAGTGCAGAGTAAGGTGGAAACGATGGGACAGTCAGCCGAAATCCAGAAACTGAAAGCGGAATTCGACGACTTTGACAAGAAGGGAGTCATATCACGAGTCCAAATTCAGCGGCTATTAGACGAAGACGAAGTGCTAGTGCACATCCTGTCGACGAACAAGGCGATCGACGTCATAAGACGCTTTTCGGTATTTTTACCCGGAAGATTTGAGATTTTTACTTTTATTACAGCGAGAAATGTTTTTTTAGAAATCACCAACTACTCGAAATTCGAAATTCAGGTCCCCGAATTCCGAAACTCCAACGACGAGGCTTTCCACGAGATTACTGTCCTTCAAGAGAATGTTTTCGCTAAACTAGAGGAATTTGACGGCTACGATAACCGCTTGGAATTCGGCTGCATCGAGACTCTCAAACTCGTCTCTACTGGCTTACAGGATGCTTTGTCGGAGATCCAGAACCAATTTATGGTCGGCTTCTATCCATCCTTCTCAAGGGCATCTTGCTACTATCATTTTCGTTTTCCCATACAGAATACGAGGAAAATGATGCCAAGGTGGAGGGACCGAGATGGATGCAGGCTGACTCTAAGCAATGGCGCAATGAACTGACCTCTGTCCTAGAAAGTACCAATCATTTGGCCAGTATTTTGACGGATATGACCAGGAAAATGGAGAAGATTCAGATGAACCACACTAGTATCGTACATGAAGCCGGGCTCCAGCAAATTGTGCAGTCGAAGGACGAAGGTGGCGGAGACGGGAAGAGCAAAAGCGAAAGCAAGAAGAGCTAGTGGAGGTGGTCGCATCCTCAAGAAGTTGTAGAATGCTTTTCTTTCTTTTTTTCATCTGTCTACGTGCTGTAGTACTAGTAGATCGATTTTTGGTGCTAATGTTAACAGTGTGCTTTTTTTCGCGGAGATGTATCATCCTTCCAGTTATATTTCCAGTTTATCAACACAACCCTAAAAAATCAGCTTGAATTCGTGAAAGCGTAGTTGACAATGGATTATGAATAGACCGCAGACAGAAAGGTCTAGACTGTATACGATGTAGACTGTAGAAGATGTAGACGGTAATACGATGATTTTCGTCTATTAGAATCAGAAAGTAGTAACGTTTTTGTCTGTGGACTAGATGACTCAGGAGAAAGTCTAAATCCTCTAGAGGCAAAGACTCCTGCATCACCCTGCACTGCGACCGTCCCCGAATTTATTGTCAACATACGTGGTCCCGTATTTGCCCACAAAGTCCGTCATGGTGAATACCCTTCACACGACCCAAATGAGTACCCAAAATTTCAACGAAAATGTACCTGGAGAAAAACTTTCAGTCCTGCCGATACCTTTTTTATAGTATGATATACTTGTTGACTTGAGCAAGAGCTTGAGCTAGAGGTCGTTAAGAAGGTTCCGCTTTTGGGTGTATGCTCGTTCATAAACACTGGTCCACGAGGCACCGACTGCTAATCGTGAGTGAGCGGAGCAGACCCATAAGTTTGATTTCTTGTACGACAAATTGCGTTTAGAATGGTTACGCGGCTGGTGCGCTGGCCCTTTGGCCGAAGACTTTGAAATTGAAAACAAACATCGTCCACAGTAAGAGTAATAGAAATAGTCATAATGTCTGACAGTCAATAACTTGACGCGAGTGCTGAATGATTTCAAGCAAGGACGAAATGATCTATCAGCGCCATCATGATCCTGTAATTCATTACTTAGGATGAAGGAAAACTGTTGAAACAAAATGACCCGACGAGTGACATGGAAGAGTCTTTCTGCTTTGGGGCTCGGGCTAGCCCTCAATGTCGGCACACTTCTTGCTGCAGCAGACACGTCTAAGGATGCCGAGGCGAAGGCGAGGATGAGACTACCTACCGACAGCGACAAGCCTTCGACACTCGTGGAGGAAGAACATGTTCTTGTTGGAAGTGAGGTACATCCACAACACGATGTTGAGAAACTCCAGGACGCACAAGCCCAAGAGACAGGTGGTTCTTCAGGAGGAGATTACTGGAGCGCCATCATGAATTTTTTCATGCCAGGAGCATCACAAAGTAGTAGGAGTTCTACTTCTATTTCGAGTAGCTCTACAACTAGCAGCGTAGAAGTAAAGAACAAGAAAACTTCCAGTAAGCATGGCGACAAGTATCTTCGGCGAGAAGGAGCAAAGAAGCACCACGGGCATAGGAGGCACAAAAAGGGAGCTCTTGTTGAGGGACATGTTGATGTTGAGAAAGCGGAAACCCATACGGTGGAACAAGAAAAGGAGAAAGCTGTATCTTCGACATCTCAAATAGATCAAGAATCTTCTAGAACTACCACGGCATCTGAGAGTGGTTTTCCTTTTTCACAGCTTGCATCCATACTTCTCGACGATGGTGTTAAGCAGGCTGAAGAAGACTTCTCTGTGAGTGGAAATGCTGCAGCTGTTGTTCCTGAGGCGCCTACAACTAGTTATGACAATTTCGATGCTAGTGGCGAACTCGAGATCATGCAGAGTAGGACTTCGAAAAATGTAGCTGAACTACAAGAACATCATGGTCTCACACCTTCTACAACAATTTTTACCTCTAAATCAATGTCAGGAGTACAACTAGACACGCCCTCTTCCAATATTAAGGAAGACAATCCCACAGCCGGTCCTGAGAGTCCGGACCAGCAGCAGCATCGTAGCACCTCCAAGATTGCCGACGACTACCAAACCAATCAAGAACTTCTGGCTCCAAGTTTCATGAACGACAAAAACGATGGGCCAAGGCAGTTGATGCATCTCCTGGGAATTAAAGATCAGGTCAATCCAACTGATGAGGATGAGAATGAAAACGAGGATCCAAGCAGAAGACGTACTTCTTCTTCAACATCACAGCAACCAGCAGCAAAAGGTTCTCTAGGGTCTCTAGGTTTCGCCGACCAGAATAGGGCTATGTCTGCGCAACAGGCATTGCAAGATCTAAGACGAGAAGTTCGCTCAGCTTTTGGGGGTGCAAGGACAGGGAAAGTTTTGCTGGCTACGAGACGATCGTTGCAGCAGTTCGATGAAGATTCTGCGACGCTTTATGATTGGGTGCGTCTCTGATTTGTTTAGACTCCTGAAGCATTCTAGAAGTATCTCCTGTTCATCACCATTTTTGGTTAGTCGTATCACTTCTTCATCTTTCCATGTTGATGTAGTATGTTAGGCATAGGCTTCCATATCTTGTTTTGGATGCCACTCGTCCCCACCCCAAGCAAATGGCCCTTTCATCTTTCGCATCGCAGAGTGAAAATGTTCTTAGCGAAGCTTTCTGCTATGTGGGGAGAGCTTAGCAGTGCAGAAGCCGTACTGTGGAAGGCCTCTGCTGTGGATTTAGGTGCATCTGTTCTGAACTACGAGAATGCAGTTCAGAGACGCCTGCAAAGGCTTTCTCGGAAGATGACTAGTGAACTACCATCAGATTACATCAAGAAGTATCAGCAGATTGCTGCAAAGTATGATGCTGAGGAGGTGGAGGCGGAAGAGGAAATAAAGGTAGAAGGTGGTGGTGACCAGGAAGTTGGTGGTGGTGGTGACTATGCTGGTAGTCGTGAAGTAGAAGGAGGAAATGGAAATGAGGAGGAGCAGCAAGAACAAGTAGGGGCAACGTAGAATCTGATGGACATAGCATAGCGTGGCGACATACTTAGCATAGCGGACACAGGCTCATGGGTGCTGACTGAGAAAAGCAGAAGCAGAAGAGCAGCAGCCTGCAGAACAACAGTCGCAAACACTGGTAAGGAGAACAAGTGTTGCAAGAAATTCAGGCAAGAAATTAAGGCTGGCGAGGAGACTGTTGTAGGCGAAGAACCCGCGATACAGCTGCTGATGGCGAGCTAAGAGAAACTGCCAGTGCGCCTAGAGAAACTGCGGAGGCAGAAGGGAAGGAGGGTAGCACTGTTGCAAGGGAAGACCAGTAAAAAGTCACATAAACTCGTCTGTGACAGTGACTCTGATTTCTGCGAAGCGTGTGCGTGCGTTTCTTTGTACTAGAAGTAGAATGACAGATATCTTGTTTGCGAAAATACTTCCGCTCTTTGTTAATATTAAATGACAGACAAGAAATTTATAATGTCCCACAGGCTTCTCCCACGACAAGCTTCGGGGATCAGCATGTTAGAGAGAAACCAAAATAGCAACCATACTAAGACATTCATACTGAGGACGAGCGAAGAACGAGGGTGAAGATCGAGCACCAAAAAGAAGCTTAAAAGTGGGTAAAAGACAGCACCATAGACTTCTTCGCTATTTCCACGGTCATCAAGAAGAATGATGGCACCAGGGACGTATACATGACACCAGGTTACTTCCACGTGGTAACAAGATTAAACTAAAAGAAGATGAAAGAGACCGGCACAACACCCAAGCGGTTCCTCTATCTCTAACATATAGATACCTTTACCTTGTTCTAGTTGATTCGAATGCGCAGTTAAAAGCCCTTTCAAATAATCACCATGTCCACCTTCGGTTTCGCTTTTGCGCAGCCGCCCCCTCGACAGAGGAAGGAGCAAGCTCGCATAAAAGCGTTAAACCAAGCTGCTGCGAACAAGGCTGCAAATAAGAACAAGCCGAAATCCGAGAAAGCTGTGGCATTTGATCTGTCTTCAGCCTCCGAGGGGTCAGATGGTGAGAACGAGAACATGGTGTATGGAGGTGGGAATAGTGCTACCAGCACAGCAGTACCATCACCGACTGACGACCTCTCATGTTCGTCTGCGGATAGTCATAGTGCAGCTACTTCTTCGATGTCTTTCTATGAGGCAGGTGGAGCACACTCATCACATTCATCACAGGGAGGTGGTTTGTCTTCTGGTCAAGCAAGTAGTAGCGCTGGGGGACATGTTTTCAATACCAACGGCGTCTCAGCCGCGTCAGCCAAGCGGACGCATCTAGCACGGCGTGGACGCGCCGCTTCTGGCGGAGGAGAAACTTTAGCATCTACTAAAACAGCTTACTCGATGTTGAACAAAGGTGCTGGGGGTGGACCGTTGACGAGTTCAGCATATTTGCAGAATTTCATACCGGGAAATTCAGGAGTTGTAGGCGGTGACACAACCACCACCAGTAACGGAGGAGGCTCCTCAGCAACTTCTACAACTACTTCAGCATCAACAGCAACCTCAGGAGGTCCTACAGTCCCAGTGGGAATCGGAGGACCTGGCGGGATCGATACCTCTTTAGAGCCCAAGCCGTTCCAGCCTGTGCCGTCTATGCGAACAAGTGGTCACTATAGTAATGGTATCGCTCCTTTCAGTGTGAGCGCTGCGTCAACTTCGTCTTCCTCGTCTGGCTTTTCTAGTGTACGTGGAGGAGGTCCTGGCTCGTATAATAATCCTGATACGGCGCCGATCATGCTGCAGTCTCATAGTGCTGCGTCTACTGGAAGTAAATTTCACCCGTCTACTAGTTATCCAGGTTCGAATTCTGGAGGTGGGAATATGATCAGTAACCCTCTTCTCACCAACCACTTAATCCCTGGTATTAAGGCAACGCAGGGTGCATCCTCAACGTCTCCCTTGGCTTCTCATTTTCGACTAGGAAAAGAGGCCAAGGAAGATGCTACCAGGGATGCAACGGCGATAGCTCTAATGGTAACAAGAAGAACGCCAACGTTTTGACGCGTGCAGGCGAGTATTTATTGCTGAATTTGACGGCGATGACAACGCATGAAGAGCGGAAACGGGTTAGGGATTTGGGTAGGATAACGGATCCACAACTAGCAATCGAGATGTTCTTTCATAGAGGGCATCTGCAGTCGATTCTGCTGCTGTGGCGTCGTCGTGGCTCCGAATCCGACATCTCTCGTCTCTGCCTTGCGGCTTTAGAACACTGTGCGCAAGTGATCGGAGTTCATGCAGCGAAGACTCGACAAGCCTCCTCCGGTGCTCCACGGTATGTGTACAATTTAAGGCTTTCTTACCGCCCAATTACATCCCGCACTACCATCGATCCTTAACTTTCTTTCCAGTAGAAAAGGTGTAGTCGCCAGGGATAATCTGAGGAGTGTAGAAGTTCTGCAACCTCGCTCTAAACAATGGTGAGGGTAAAATAGTACGTGCGGATGCTGTGGACCATTGCTTCCTGTTATTAGAGATGTTTCGCGAATTCCAAGTCCCCAACTACATCTTTTGGTCGTTGGAGATCCACTTCTACAGAAGAGAACACCAAACAGTCGCATTGTCCTTTTTGAGCACCTTGTTGGGGCTCGGGAATGCTTGCTCTGGTGCAGCTGGTCCATCTGGAGGTATTAATAGTGGTGGAAGAAGTATTACTAGTAGTAGTAGTACTGCAACTACAGAACCAGCAGGAGCACAAGCTACAGGCTTGTTCACTCGTTATCTGCAGGATTTCATTGGTACAGAGTACCCAGACTTGGACAGCTTCTCCGAGATTATGACACCACCAACGGTTGCGACTACTCAGTCTTGCTACGTCATTGGCCACCTTGTGCGAGGAAAAGTGAGCGGAATGCACATGCTGTTGCTCATCTTGCGGGAACTAGTCTTGCGGGTGAGCGACAGTCACAATGCTGCCAACGGGTCGTTTGCGCTACTAAAGAATCAGCCTGCTTCGTCGAGTGAATTTCTAGGGCAACAACACGCGTCGGCAGATCATGTGAATGTGGTGGAGGCTGCCGCGTCGAATGTCGTGGCTGGAGGCAGGGGACCAGGAGCGAACAACAGCAACATCAATTGGCGTGTCGAACTCTGTGCAGCTGTTTTTCCGTTACTAGTCAAAGTGTTAGAGAATCACAAAGCAAACCGAATTTTGTTCTTAGCGGAAAAAGGACTTGAATTACTTTGCAAGAGTGCCAGACAGGGCTTCAACCTTGTCAAGAGTGACACCAGCGGAGTATGGGGAAGCGCTTTGGGAGGGCAGGCAGGGAGTGCTAAGGGCAAGGACAGCATAGCGGACAAGCATGTTTTGAGCACAGGAGCTTTGTTCTTGAATAGCTATTTCAAACTTTTGCTCGATTTTAACGCTTGGTTCGAAACGCTGCACGAACACACGGTTTATACAGATCACTATGGGAGCGATGATGTTGGATTTCCTCCAGAAGGTGGAGCGAAACGTGGTTGTTCTAGTACTATGACCGCTGCAAGGGAGGGCCAACATCAACATCAAGCGTTAATAGGAGATCACGGTGATGGAGGAGACCTAGACTTGCCTCAAGCGCCTCAATCTTCTTCTAGCGAGATGGCCGCACCTTTAGGAGTACCAATATCCTCGAGCAGACATCAACATCCACATCATAGTGGCAGCATGCAGCTATTTCCACCAATTAAACTCGCTAATGCAAGATACCACACTAGGAATTCGAACGGCACAGGAGTCGCAAGCCATAACGGATTGCTACAACATCCACAACAACAGCACTCCTCTTCCTCTTCTTCTTCTCATCATCCACAACAACAGCACTCCTCTTCTTCCTCACACACTGCACACCACCAGCATAACAAACTTCTTGCTGCTTTGTCCAATGCACCCTCAACGCCACCGCGCAATGGTCGAGTTGCTAGCTTTGATTCTACCTTTTGTCACGTGAAGAACCTGTTTCCAAGTCCATTGATCGACAGTCCGAATGGGAGCCCATCTCCCTTAAAGGTGTGGAGCGACTCCAGTGACGACGAGGAAGCCTTGAGGTCCTATTTGCCGGGAAAAGCGGTGGCGAGTAAGGTTATGGAAGTGTTGTTTGGACTCTATCTGTATCTACCAGGATCTCCATAGTTGGAACAAAAAGACAAGAGAAAACTACAACGATTACGAATCAAACCTACTAGAGAACGATTGCTAGTATCTTATCACGTGCAAGTGCATGAACGTGCACGAGCACTTTTCTTTTTCTAGCCAGAGGCTAAAGATCGTGGACTGCATCAAACGGAAACCTCTTCGAATTCTTCTAACAAACTGACCGCCCCATCGCACCACAACCGCGCTGGCGCTTTCCATTCCTCCAAACGGACGAAGAAGCTGGCTCAAATGGCCAGACAGCCAGACGTTCACGATCTGCCCAATCTCATGATGTCACCAACCGATATTAAGGGTTGCACCCGCATTGACATTCACATTGCATTCTGCACTTGCATCCTTGGCTTTTTCTAAGAAGAAAATGCGTCAGGCTTGTTCTCAAGAACGCAATGGGGAAAGAAACCTCTTCTAAGGACAAGAAGATCAAAGATGCGCTGAACAATTTCATGGGGGACCACGATGGGGAAGAACTACTACATGCTGTAGACTACAGCTCTTGCAATGCTGGAGCAGTAGGTGTCACTAGTACGACAGATGAGCCTCCTATGGCAGCTATGTCGCCAACCGCCGAACTGCTGGACGACTTGAAAAAACAACGGCAGATCGACGCTTTAGTTCACATCAGCCAATTTCGAGATCAGAGGTCGTTGTCTAGACGCTTTCAAGACCGACTAAGGCGATTACCTGGCGGTGCCCGGTTCATCTACGAGACTTTGCAGGTTTACTTGATTTCTCTAGTCCAGCATGAGATTACGGGTAACGCCAACTCATCTTCCCCAGCATCTTTTGGTCGTTTTCTGCTCGAAATCGGCCAGACGTTCTCAAAGATGGGTTGCCGGTACGTCTTCTAATGAGGACAAGTTTCTGCACCAATTGTTGACGGTTTTGGCCATGATCTTGGACGGAAATCGGAAAAACTGCAAGCACTTTGTGGAAAAGTATGCAGGTCTGAATCTGTTGATCTCCGTTTTCAGCCTGTACAAGGACTACGTGGAAGGAGGGACTCAAGATGGGATGAGAGGGGACGAAGAAGGTACTTCCTGGAGGGTCATGGTCTTCCAAATCGATGATTGAAACTGATCTGAGAGGAAAGAAACAGCTTTTTTTTGAGACTTTCTCTCTTCGTTCTGGAGCCAGCCTGTAAGCCTGCGCATTTGCCCTCTTCGCTCAAGGCTCAAAGTCTTTTCTCAGTCACCCCCGTAGCGCATTTTTCCGTACCCTATTCTTGAAGAGTAATGCTCTGCCTTACTCGAGGTGACAAGAGTCGGTCCTCTCCAAGACTACGCTCGGCAAGGGTGCTTCAGCGCAAGCAGTTGCATCCTGGTCGTCAAAGACTCCCGCATCGCCGGAGGCTGGCAACAGAGCACGGAGAAGGGGGCGGCGCGGTCAGTGGAAGGACAGCCGGCTCGTTTTTTATGTTGCTTGCTTACCTTGATGGCCAGTGCTTCCTCCCAAACCAAACCCGCGGTCTTCTCCTTTAACTCCACTCGCTTTCTAACTTCGTCTTGTACTCCTGAATGAAGAAATTCTGCTCCTTGTCTTGAATGGTTCGGGTCTTTGGTATAGCCTGAATTTGATCATAAGGGAAAACAAGAAGAGAATCCTTAGGATCGAATTCAGGTTACCAAATACCAGAACCATACATGTCTTCCCCAACGAACTTTTCCATTGCCTCTCAGGTTCAGGAAACTCTGCTCCATATCTTCCCCAACGAACTTTTCCATTGCCTCTCAGGTCACCATTTACTCCTGAATGAAGAAACTCTGCTCCATATCTTCCCCAACGAACTTTTCCATTGCCTCTCAGGTCACCCTTTCCACGCGCCACAAAAGTCGCTTGAAGAAATCGTTGCAGCCAGACCGGATGCGATACCCTTTTTGCAGTCTAATTTCCTCAATTTCGCCATCGTATGCGAGGCTATGCCTATCCGCACTCAGAACCTCCTTCTTCAACCTCTCAACGCTTATTTGGACATTTCCGAACGACAGAGTGGCGAAATCAAGATGCTACCACCTTTAAGGGTAATCTCCTTCAAGTGTAGGTGTTGTTGGTTCTCCTAGTTATTTTGCCTGTCTCCTAGTTATTTTTCCTTATAATTTTGCTTTTCTTAAGGAAATGGGAAAGAAGGATGTATGAGGGGCATAACTACTAATGGTCGTGTACGCTAACACTAAACGCAAAGCCCTAGTACCAGTACCTCTAACCTGTTCGAGGAAACAACATTCCAAAACTGGAGGACCAAAAGCAGCGCAACAGCTGCAAGTCTATCAGCAAACAAATCGTAGCTCGCAGACAAGACTGCAGTTCTTGTTGAACTTTATCGACGACTTCTATTTCTCTCCAGCGATTCAGGGAATGTCGTGCCATTTCCTTGTCAAATTCCTGTATGGGAGACCCTTCGTCCAACAGTCGGACCCAGCAAACTTAGTTAAGGCTTCTAGTACTTGCTGTAATTATTCAAATTCCTAATTATTAGTAAGACTAGACTATTCCTCTGCTTGTTGTTGTTACGTTAGAGTACCAGACTGAAGAGCATAGCTCTTTAGTCTGGAATATCCCTAGGGAATATGACTAGTTTGTTAGTACTTATCTGTATTATTAGTAAGACTAGTTGTACTTGTTGTTGTTCTTGTTACGAGGTGTAGTATCAGGAGACAGTATCCTTGTGAGGACAACATCCACACGTTCTGGCATGCGGCAAATACGTGGTGGCCCCTTGCAGATATGAGTAGCTGAGTTTAGGTTGTAAGCTCTAACTCGGATGTGGCAGTCGCGCCGGCAACAGCGCCAACTGTGGACTTGATCGATGTGTATGGTGGTGAAATTAGGCGGAAAAGGAAAGCAGCATTGGCTAGAGGCGGGAATCAAAGGGATGGGGATGGCAATTATGTGTGAAGTAAATGCTTCAGCTTGTTCATGTTCTGGTACTAGAGCAGTGCTAGTGATGTCAAACTACTCCCTAACCCGTGCGAAAAAATCTTTTTCCAAGGTACTCAATGTGATCATGATGTCTTGTTTCCATCCCTCTAAATAGTCCCCTCTATCCTATCCGAGTACCGCTAGAAGTTTATCTCCATCTATCATCTCCGAGTACTACCTTTCTTGTCCTCGTCTTCTAATCCTCCCTCCCAGTCGGCTTAGGTGGGTGCATCCCTACCAGTCGCGCTTTCAACGGCAACGAGGAGGAGGTTGATCTAGCCATGGCTTCAGCGATGAAATCTATTTCTCCGGACACGAGGAGACGGCTTTTTTCGTATCTCCTCGACTTAAGGCAAGAACAACGTTCAACCCAGAGAGCATCCCAAACCCAATCATGATAATAAATACGTTATTAAATAGAAGTACAGGTTGATCTTTGCTTGGGCGGTCTTTTTCAAAGGGGAACAAGACGAAGCGTCGTCTAAAGGATATGATGACATGACATCCTCAACAGGGATGCGACCGAGCGCGTTCTCTAATGGCTCTTTTCCTCACAAACGTCGACAATTTTCCCAACGACTTCGCCGTTGTCGGCCATGCTCTACACGCTGCCAAATTGCTTTTAGATGCGGATGAGGAGTTTAGGGTCACTTGCACCGATTCGATTGAACTCGCGAAGGAGAGTGCATTTAATCTGCCTGCAAATTAAGGCTTCTTGTAAGTTGAACGATTTACATCTTCTAGGGCGAGCATATCTATGCCTTCCTCGACCTCAACAGGTAGGACAAGGAAAGTCATAGATGTTCTAGCTAGTACAGTACACGGGTGGTCAACGTCATAGTCAACATAGGTCAACTTGCAACCGCTAAGCAAATGAGCGACTACAAACCAGAATGTTGGAGATGGCATTGCCAGTTTTGTTAAGGCATATTGGACACAAACACACGGGACCAATGTCCAAGGGCGCACCAGGAGCGTCGAGCAGTCGTGGGATGGTAGAGGCGACGAAGGGTGGCGGAGGCGGTGGGGAAGTATTTCACGAAATTTGAATTCGACGATTGATTTTGATGTAATTTAAAAGGAAACTACCCGTTCTTATTTAGTTTAGTTAACGCCCATGCACATCCACATCAAAAGCAATTTTCCAACTTATTTTTCTTCATCTTCGCTTTTCGTTTTCCTTTTCCATTGCATCTTCAAAATTTTCATTTTGCACAATGATGATCGTCTGATTTTACTTGTTTCCCCTTCATATCTCTCACTGAATCTCTGCCCACCACAGTCCACTCATCCACTCACCCTCTGCAGCAGCTCTACCCCCGTGGCGCTCAATCTCGCAGCAACACGGCTATCGAGTATGGTCTCGAATTAGTCCTCCTGTGCCCATTAGAACGCACCATCAAAGCGGCTAAACTTCTCGATATCCACCTGCCAACGGTCCTGTCCAACATCATCCGCGAGAACTGTGTAGACGTCCGCTTACTGTTTCAAGTGGAGAAGATGCATAGGAGGATATTAAGGCTCAACTTTCAATTATTTTTAGATTAGGGTCACCATTTAGATCTAGATATAAGGTCACCATTTAAATTGGAGTCACTGAAATCGAAGAGGCGACCCCTTGAGAGAACAGGGAAAAACGAAGGGAAAGGGGAGAGCTTTGAAGGGGGTCTCTTCGTTCAGCATTAGCGACCACAGTGACTGCTGAGCTTTAAGGATAGAAACGAGATTCGAGAAGGAAAGGAAAGCGGACTTCGTGAAGCATAAACAGACGAGGTGGAGCAAACTAGCTGAATATTGCGAAGAAGAGGATGCGGAAATGCTTTCACTAGTGAAAGATTTGGTCAGAGCGGATGAACAGTTGTTTGCTGCTGCCTCGTCTGGGGCGAGTGATCAAACTAGAAATGCGGGAGACCAAGGGAGGAAAGGATCGGGTTATGGATGAAGTGCTTTCCCTCAGTCCTAGACTTGATGTTCTTGCTCTTACATGTTATACAACTGATACTGAACAAAGTGCAAACCACCAGGAGATATTATACATAGATTTTACTTATATAAATCTCTGGTTGCTCCTAGCGATCATGGCCCTCTCAAAGTAGTTGACTCGGAGATGAGAGAGTTCTTTGTGTTTCATCAACTCCTTGCTGCTAGCTACGTGATAGTCTCATTCTCATTCTTTTCTAAGAACAATACGACGATCCGAAAGCGGCGCAAGCGCCCAAAGTCATAGACGAGTCGCGGAAATTACGAGGACGCATGGCGAGCTTTGACTTGGAGCTATGATTTTTTTTTTTTAAGAATACAGAAATGTCCCTAGAAAGCAAGGTAACATCACAAAAACCAGCATACTTACATATTACATCTTCAAGTACGGCCTCGATCTCGGACACAATCACAGAATATTTTGTAAATATTGCACACAAATAACGGAAACAGGATTAGTTGATTTTTCGCAGCATAAAATGAACAGCTTGGGCTGAGGACCCGGACTAATACACCCTATTTCGCTTCAGTTTTCATTTGGTAGAGCTGAATCCTGCATCTTGTTCTAGTACAGTACCACTGCTTGATCAATGAAGGACTTTTGACAAATCTGCACAAGAACAAGAGCGGAATGGAGAATGCACAGTGATAATATAATGGGCTAGCACTACACTATCGTTTGCGCAACATGTTTTATTAGAAAATTAACATTCAGTCATTTTTTGTATATGCCATGTTGTGCATGATGTACTGCACCAACAGCTGTGGGGGTTTCCATTTCCACTTAAGTCCCGTACTCCCAAATGATAATGTAAATGTTCTTCTTCTGCTACTGCTTCTAGCATCAATAGGATGCCTGTGGGCTTACTTACATCTATTGATCATAATCGGTTTGTCAGAGAAACTTTCGGTTTCGCCTGATCAACTGGAGACCACTTTATAAGGATCGGTGAAGATTGTTGCAAGCAGCTTAGAATCGGTAGTTTTACCGCTTATCGAGTGTTTTTATTCTATCGGTAACTAACGGCATCGACTGTGACAAATTTCTCTGCCCCGTCCTCCTTCAACCTCGATTTTAGATGTGACTCTCTGAAAAAGCTGTTTTGAATTACTTGAATAGTATACTCGTTTTCAGCAAATACTAAAATACTCTTCATCCTCGTAAGCAGGACCTGTTCATCCAACTTACTCCAGCGACAGCGTGGCTGATTTTTTAACGCCACGCCGCCCAAGCCTTAAAAGATTGGTCGTGAACAACGCCATGTGATGTGACCACATTCCACCAGTACCACACTCTGTTGTATTTCTTATTGCGAATATTGAGTAGTTCATCTACTTGCAGCTTAATATGACGATAAAGATGCTCTTCGCGTCGCACCAGCACAGTTTGTCTCTGCTTGATTCAAGTGCTGAGGCACAGCACGATGGGGACGCTGCGTCATTTTTGCATTCCGCGAAAGTTCCGTCTCCATCGCTCTTGGGAGAGGTGAACGCAAACTTGTCCGGATCCAGGACCTCGATGGACAGCAGGACAAGTAGGTCTAGAATAACTGCGTTCATCTTCGGTCTCGGTGATCCTCCTGCGCCTCCTCCTGCTCCGCCTAAGCCTCCGGAGCCGCCACTCAGTGCCATTGTCCTCAAAGAAGCGATGGAGAAGATAGAGAAAGGACAGAAGTTGCCGGAAGAAATCGCAACTGACGCTGCAGCGCAAGTCATCAGTCAGTCAGCGAAGCTAGTAGGTTCAGCAGCTGAGGTGGCCAACTCAGCGGCTGCTTTGACTACAGCGAAAAAGTCAGAAGTGATTCTGCAGAGGCCTCACAAGGGTTCTTCTTCGTCTGTGTACGGCCCATTTGACAAACCACCTGGATTTTTCCAAGGGCAAGGTGGAGGTGGTGGTAACTCTGGCGCGCGGTCGCAAGGTGGAGGACAAAGGAACGGGCGAGCTTAAGGGGGATACCGCCGATTCATGTGGAATCTACACCCTCACCCAATATCCCTGACAAATCAAATGTGCTTGAATGAAATTTCCGGCAGAGAATCTGTGATACTATTCTGCTGCGCGGCAGGCGTCTTAGAGGAGCGCCATACGTGATAATGCAACTACTAGACAGTGAGACTGTTCATTCGTATCGCGTACACCAACTGCGTCGTGAATATGCTATTTGTACCTTTCGCCCACGTACTCGTTAGCTTTCGTTTCGTTTCGAAACCGAAATCGGTAGCCTCATTGTCATTACATATTTATTTAGCGGTAGCCTCATTACATATTTATTTATTGAATAAGTACGTTTCAGAGAGTCATGCATTCATATGTATATAGCATATGTACATTAATTCACGTTTGTTTCTATAGTTTTCAAAACTTTGCTTGTTTTGTCTGATATCGACGACTAGAACTAGATCGGCTTAGTCCTTGTAGATCGTCCAAGTCCTAGTCCTTCGTAGATGATGATCGTGATCCTTTCAGCCCAAAAATTTCAAACAATTTAATATATAGACAAATATGAAGATCCCAACCCCAAGCGAACAAGAAGAATACTCTTCCGGTGTCTTGATGACAGGTCGTGGTAGAAGAAAAATCTAAATCATATCTAGTACTACCTGTAGCCACAACTCCTCGCACCGCGAAATATTGACGCATCAAAATCCTCTGCGACAATGCCGAGTTTCCTCCAGACGCTCTCCAATAGCGTCGATTGGGGCAACCTTCTCTGGCACCAGGATGTTGCAACTCCTATGTCTACTTCGAAATCGTCCTCCGCAGGAGTAGGACGTCAACTATATACGACACATACCAATTCTGCTGTAGAAATGACTACACCTAGACCTACTCCCTCCACGAACAGGAGCTCCACCACTTCTACAAGTTTTCAAGAACTACAGCACCAATTGCACGCCACAAACAACAACTGGAACATGCGAAGAAAAAAGACATCATTTCGTGGCAATAATGGAGAAGGTTCTGTTATTTCGGGCATGAATGGTTCGCAGGGAGATGCTGGTGCCGGCGCCGGGGGTGCTGGAAATTATGATTTATTACATTTATATACTCGAATATTACAAATTTTTTTTGTCTCGTACTATGAGTACAAGTATGTGTAGTTGTAAACATCTGCATCTTGATCATCCTCTAACTATCAAAAGGAGAAAGCGAGGAAGTTGAACCGGGGTTGACAGCAGCACAGCAGGTTGCGAACGCAGCTGTCCAGATGTCGGAGCATAGTGCGGAAGTCACGAAATCAGCAGCACAAGTAGTGGAAGCGAGTGCACAACAGGCCAAAAGTGCGGAGGCTCCAGCAGGCTTCGACCAGGCGACTATGCCAGACACTGTCGTTTGTGTACCGTTATCAGCGAAGGGAGGGTCGACTTACTCGATGAAGTCCGGTGCGGATGCAGAAGCATTTGCACCGAAGTCAGAGAAAGATGCGATGGCGGCAGGTTTGCTTTTTTCCTGTTTGCTTGTGAACTTCGACAACTTTCTATTTCTTCCTGCTAACTTAAAATAAGTTCAACTTGATGTTTCATCTGTCACGTCAACATGATTTATCTTAACAAGAAAGTGTAAGGGTTGCAATACCTCTCATCGATGGTCGTGGATGAAACCTTCTCAATATCTCGCACATGATTAGGTGCTCGCGCATCCGGAGGCGCTTACATGACGAAAGAAGGTGCTGCAGATGGCAGTGGTCCTGGAGGAAGCTATGGCGGGACGACTGGACCACCTCAGCCACCAGGAGAGATGCAGACTAACCAACCGACACAAAACGGCATTCCTGGTGGAGCGCCAACGAGTGATCAGTACTCGGCTGGTTGAGGCCGGCTCAGGATTAGTAGAATATAGTTAGTTACTGAGTTGTAAGTCGAGTAGAAAGTTGGTAGTCGGAAACACGATATCGAAATGACCTGGTTTCTTCACCAGTAGGAAAATGTGCATGGCGAGCTAATTGAAAAAGACATCTTCTGATTACACGCGCATATTACAAATCGAGTACTAGGACACTGACATTGCATTGCACAGAAATAAATTCTAGCTTCTAGAAGGCTTTTCAAATTCAACATCCAATGGCATGATCATGAATGTTATCTTCGTAGAAACAAGCATATGAAATCTTTAGCAAGGGATCAGACAGGTAGGAACGAACAACGGTGTCATGACGTGCGTCGCACGAGTTTCGTTGTCGCTACTTTCCCTTTCGCAGAAAACTTTGCCCTTACGCTGTCGCCTTGTCTCGCTCGAGCACATAATCTTCGACTTAGACACGACTATAGGTGAAAGTACCAGTAGGTACGTAGGTTTTGAGTGCTAGTTTGGAACTGCTAGTTGCAGTGGTGTCCTCTACTTCTTCTAGTAAGAGTTCTAGTACCAAGACTTCTTCCAGAAGCGGTGAGTCAATGGACTCATCAAAGCAGTCAAACTCAAAACTAGAGGACGACCTGCCGCATGATGCAGTACTTCTATCTTCTCCAATGCAACTCAACAAACGAAACCTTCCACCCTGAACAAAGGATAGAGAATAACAACGAACCTTGAACAAACATCAGACGAACAGAATGCCGAAATCAGGCTTATTATTCTGTGGCTTCCTAGCTGCAGGCGTCAGCAGTCAGATTCTCGGAGCAGACCAGAAGGCAGACGACTCTGTGATCGACCTCGATGCTGATCCATCATTCGAAACGCCGGTCGATGAAGCACCACTACCATCAAGCATGATGCAATTACAAGGCCAGCAAGTGTTTGAGGAGAACGCATCTGCTTCTACATCGGCTACAACTGAGGAAGCATCAACTACATCGGCTGCTGAGCAGGGAGCACCAGAGCTGCGTCCAATAAGACGCTCGTTGCCTGTTCGACCACTGTTTGCGTCTGAAGAAAAAGAAGAACAAGATGTAACAGTGACATCATCTTCTAGTGGACGAAGTACGTCATCTTCTTCTTTAAGAACCTCTAGTGCCGCAGCGACTTCTGGTAGGAAAACATCTAGAAGTAGTAGAACCTCAATGAAATCCAAGGGCGGAACTAGATCATCTCGTACAAAAACTAGTCGCATGCTCAGGACAGAGCAACCAGACGAAGAGGAGCAAGTAGACTACGCTCCCTTCCAACACTTCTTAGATCAGGAGGACATCGGACGACGTCTAGATCTAGAAAGTGACAAGAACTTCAAAAATAAGCAGGGATCAAAGCAGGAGTCGCGAATCCTCCAAACCGTGTCTACTACAGCGTCCCAAGTCTCAAAAGGTTTTTTCTTCGCTGGCAGGCTCTTTGTCTCGGCCCTACATCAAAGTCACCTCGTCCTGCACGAAAAACTCCACACTGCACGGTCCCACTTGCTGGGTGAAGAAGGCTCTGCACACATGGAGAATCTGAGTAGCTTGGTTGACTCGGCAGTACCAGTAGAAAACAAGAACTACTTCAATTACGGATACCTTCCACGACCCGTCTCCCACGGCATCTTTTAGGCAGTTTCTACTTGAAAAGTGCTAAAAGGTGTTCTAGAAGATGGGTCACCGGTACCTCTAATTCAATTTTTCAGGAGACCACAAGAAGGACTACGATTTTCTGAAATGGCTCTATCAGATGTGGGTTCTCGTTTTTATTACTGCTTTGATGTTGACAGCAGTGCTGAAGAAGGTTAGCTCATTGTGTCGTCGTTCCAGTACTAGTAGGAAAGCGGTGACTTCTTCTGCAACAGTTGTTGTACTAGGGAAGAACAGCACGAGATCTACTCCTTCATCTACTTCTACACTAGTATTGGGGTCAGAGCAGGTAACGGAGTACGACAAGAGATCGCGCTCAAGGAGTTGTAGCACATCTTCTGGCCGCAAGGAAAGTCCCGCCACAGCATCGACCAAGACATCCAAGAAGATCGTTGCAAAAAAGAATTCAACCAGTACTAAGTTATCTTCCTCCTCTCTTCAACAGCTCTCCACGTTTTCCACTACCTCAAACGGCGAAATTTTCCTCGAGGACGATCGCTCTACGACGTGCAGTTCTGACAACTCGCTCTTGCTGGATCACATGAGCTATACTTAAGGCATTACAAGCTATACTTAAGGCGGTCGTAACTATTACATTTGTATTTGAACTTCTAAAAATACAAAAAAAAAATTGTCTTATGTATTACATACCTAATCCATGTATTAGATTCTTGGAAATCCATCTTGTTCCCCAGCAAGCATCTTCGTCCTCCCGTTCTTCAAGTAGGAAGAAACGCGAACCAACATACACATACTGCTGAAGCTGGATCATTTCTCTTACCAGTTCTAATATGCGACTTCTTCCTCTAGTAATCGAGGTGGCAGCAGTCTTAGCCAAAGTGGAATCAACTACGCCAACTCAGCATCTGGCTTCCACAACTTCATCACACGCCATCTACACAACAATGGTCGACGTCGCAACTATGATGCTGCAGATGAGGACTCCTGTGCCTTTCCAGACGACTTGGATAGCGATAACGAGGAGGGCAGAAGAGGGCGCAATGGTGGTGGAGGTTGGTCACGAAGTTCGTGGCTACCGAGCTTTGCAGCCAGGTTGCTTGGGGGTGGAAATGACGCAAGTGGAACTGGATGAAACGTGTAGGACACGCATGGACGAGTGCTGTGAATTGATTCCAACAAAGCAAAGAGTAAAAGCCTATAAAGTAGAAAATAAAAATACCATAAATAACTCGAACTGATTTTGTTTTGCAAATAATTTAACAACTAAATAGAAAGCCGAGGACGAATATGTCATATTATATGTCATGCAATCAAAAGATTTATTAGATCCACAGTGAACGTAAGTGATCCAAAGCTTTGTTGCATGAAAATGAAAAACTCCTAGTAAATGATACTAAGTAGAAAGCGATCGCAATATGACACCACGCAGTGACCGCCGCGCAGTTAGCTTCGGAAAAACGCCTGAACTTCGATTACATCACAAATGTGTACGATAATTCTGAAAATGTATGTCATTGACATTGCCCACCAAGCATGTGCTGCTTTTTATCTTACAACTTCGAGTTCTAGGTTTTCAACCAAGAATGAGAAAGAAACAGGGTTTGCAAAGCAACGGAAGATGAGAATAACAGACGGCATCTTCATCTTGTTACAGATTGAAAAATGAGCCACGTGCACGTGCTGAGCAGCAGCTAGCACTTTGCGTGGCAGGAAGACTTGTACTACTGGATCGTGCTGTGTTCTTGCGGATAGGTGCTCGCGTCTTCTCAGACTAAGTAGTTCTGCACACGCTGTTCGTACAACTTCTACGGGTTTCCATTTTGATTTATGATCGATGATCATCATCATGCTAAGCTTCGAAGAAAAGATCCACCTTTCAGGCGAAGAACTTGTCTAAAAGTTGAATAGAGGTGCCAGGCATGTAGTCCCGGATGGATATTAAGAAACTCGATCTATTTTTGCTTCATTGATTTCTGTTTTTTTATAGAAGACATTTCTCTTCTCAATGCCATGATCGGCCGTTGACGACTATCTTCATTAAATATCGTTCTTTGTCTCACGAATTTGTTTTCGAAAGATTCAGCAACAACAAAATGATTCGCACTTCCTCTGGAGCAATTAAAAGTGCCAATCTTGATGCTGCATTGTCCGAACACACGAGTGAAGAGGAAATGACGAATCTTGATCCCGCACTACGAGAACGATACCGCAACATGCTTCTGCTTCAACAGCGTGATCTTCAGGAGAGTGCGACTTCGAATGCGAATGGGATGAACGATTAAGGCTCAAGTTTCATTGGTCATAGAGGTTGGCCACTGAAATCGAAGGGAGTCCCCTTCTTGAGAGAACCAACAGGGGAAAGAAACGAAGGGAAAGGGGAGAGCCCTGGAGGGGGTCTCTTCCGTTCAGAGTCATGATGACCATTGAATGCTGAGCTTTAAAACGAGAAAACAGGAAACATCAAGCAGTCTAGCGCATCATCGTCATCCGCCAGACCGACGACTGGATCTGCAGGTGCTGGGCAGCTACCTAAACGAGGTGGTCTTGTTGGGAGCAGTGGTGTAATTCAGGGTCAGGGAGGTGCTGGTAACGGTAAGACGACTAGCATAGGAGCTGCTGCTTCTACTTTATCTGGAGGAGCAGCTACGGCTCCTGGATCCTCGGCATCAGCAACCAATAAGAGTGGTGCACAAAGCAGGTCTCTATCAACAAGTGCTGGGACAAGAACTACTGGTGTTTTGCAGAAACACGATGATATTAATACTGCAGGCGCTGCGTCAGTGTCCGAGAACGACATGGAATCACCGAAAAATTGCAATAACTCAGCACAGCTAGACAACATGAAACGCCTAGTAAAGGTTTTGGTTCAGCGGTTGGTAGTGTCAGAGCGAGCGAGGGCAGAATTGCAGCAGCAGTTGGAGGAAAGCGGTGTTATTGGCAGTGGTGAAGCTGGAGGAAGTAACAAGTGTAAGGAGCCTGCTCAGTCTGGAAGCAAGCTCGCAGACGAATACTTGGACCAGTTGACGGCTATGGTAAGTACACTACAGCTACTGAATGATTGAAAAATGCTTTGTCTCCATACAACTGGTACTGCTTGTTCTTGTTCGATTCTGTATGAGGATTTTTTTTCCAATGTAGGCTATGCACGTGCACGAGGGAAGCGTTGAGAAGTAGTACTATTCGGTCAATTTTCTCTTTCCAACCACAATGATCATGAAGCAACTTCAGATCGACGATTTTGGCGAGGAATTGACAGAGTTTCGACATCACAGACAAGAACCCAACGGCAACGCCAATGGCAACGCCTCCAGACAGAGGACTGAATTAAGTACTCAGAAAAACACCAACTCTAACACAATCTCGAGGTCAAGCTAAAAATATCTCGACAAAGAAACGTTGATTTCTTCACATCGATGGGTAAATTTTGAATTTTGAGCACAATCAATCTCAATGTTGTACGATGATATTATGATCGACGCCCGCGCTGAGTATGGCAGCCCATCAAGTTTTGTATTCTCCTACTCTCCGAGGTCGTGCTCCTCGAATGGGGCCAAGACATGCTCATGTGCAAGATGAAACGGTATTGGTATCTAAAATGTTAATGCATGATATCTGAATGGAAGTAAAACTGATCGGTACTTTTGAGTAGTTTCAGAGTGGGCGTGTTCTGCCAGGACGGCCAGTACTGCGTGAGAGTGTGGAAACGCACAAAATCTGAAATTTTTTCTTGATCGGTGACCGAGGGACCGACCATTCTAAGCCCTCTTCATCCTCCCCAAAAATTTAATGATCAGAAGACGAAAGACGAAACCAAAAGAGTTTCGTGCAGGAAGGCAAATAGAGAAAATCAAAATTTGTGGCAACTGGAAAAAAAGTCAATGAAAAACAAGGCAACTACGAACAAAAAGAAATAGACGCAAGGAACGAATGTAATGAATGGAAACTCGCAGACAAATAAAAATTCAGTGGCGGGTATGTAAAATAAACCGAATAGAAATACCAATAGCTGAGACGAGGAGGTCATTCTCGTTCATGTCTTTCAACGGTCGCATCGTCCGTTATGACGCTGCGATGATGAAGAACGCGGAGAAGGCGCGTGGACCACAGCCACAGGCCACATCGGAGAGTACCCTCACGTAGGGAGCGCAAGGCGCAATGGGGTGTGGTGGATCGAAGGGAGGGGCGGCGGGGTAAGAGGTTAGAGTTATCTTTTAGCTTGAACAAAATACATGATCGGCTACAAATAATATGAATTCGAAGATTTTTTCAAGTTGATTGTTGCGTGATATCTTTTTAGGTCTGGCGCCTCGCGTGTGCAGAACTTTCCTGTAGAGGATGTGGACGATGACGGTCCAGCGAAGCCTACAGTTGGTGCTGCAGCGACAGGTGGAGCAGGCAGCACCGCTGCTGGAGGTAGCACAGGAGGCGGTAAGTCTGGTACTGGTTCGTCCTACCGAAGTAAAAAGGACAAGCTGAACCGGTCGAATAGTAGTGGCGATGAAGGAGCAGGCAATAGAGGAAAAGAGCAGCCTCCAATAGGGACAACAGGGAGTGGCTCCAGCACAACAGCAACTAGTGGCAGTGGTGGAGATGGCGGCCAAGGAGGTGGCTTGCAAGTGAACACCTCAGCATCATCTCCGGAGAATGCCCATGGCGGGTTCAACAATACTGGTAATACCGATGCCCTAGGCCAGACGATGATGTCGTCTACGATGAACGCCAGTTCAACGAACAACCAATTTGGAAGTTCTGGTGGCAGTGGGCACAAGAATAAGGCGGGGAAGCGAGGTGGGGATCACAGTTAAGGTTGTACCGCTAAAGCATCCGAAGCACCATGATCCCCGGCTCTTTTTCTACTTGAAAAAGAAGCGGCCCCTTCCAAGGATACTAACTATGACCCTCAAAGAGGAAGATGCGAACGCGGTAGCAGCTCTAACATAGTCTAGGCGGTCACGCTACTACACCGAGCGCAGGTTCGTATCGGTCACCAAAAAAGCAATTCTCAAAAGATGAACTTCAACAAGGACCAAGTAGTGCGGCAGGAGTAGAGCCTTCCGGTCCCGGACCCCCTGGTAAGAGCGGGAAAAAAACCACTCCTCGTATGCATTTAGATGCAACAATGACGAGTGGTACTGAGCCAAATATTAAGAGTTTCCGAATTGCATTGCCCTTGCTCACTACCAGTACCATCCTTGGCTCTTTTCCTGGTAGAATAGAAGCCAGGGATGTGCTGAGCCTGAGGAATATAATTCCGTTGTAACATCTAAAAATAGTCCAATGATGAGTCACCCTGCGACACCGACTCAGGGCCAGCTGCCAGTGACGCCGACGGCGGGGAAGAGGGGTACCATGTCGATGTGCTTCATACTAGATCCGCTTTTACCTGCTTTACGTTTAAGTACCTTTTAATTTAAGAAAACCCTTTAAATACACTTTCGCGTTCCTCACTAGTATGTCAGTCCATGTCCATGGTGAGTCAATGGATCATCAGTTACCCGCAAAATCATCAGTTATCCGCGGAAACCCCTTGATACGGCATGCGAATGCGGAGGAAATCAGGATGGGTTTGTCGTTGGGGATAATGGAACCCTACCAAGACGAGGAAGAAATACAATTGGAGCCGCCGCCGTCAAAAAAATAGAAGAAAGGGCTAGCTTCATCCGATCATGTTGCTGTATCTGTTTCAGTATCTGTATCTTACTTATGCAAGAGCAAGAGTAGGTCCGTAGTTATAGTGTCTTGTGAGCTTTTTCTTTCATTCTTGTCTGTCAGTAGTTTCTTTTGCTTAGCCAATGATCAACAAAAACAATCAATCCAGTGAAAAGAAACAACTGTCTTGTTCAGAAGAATACCATTACCAATGCTGTGAAAATCGATTTCCAACTTGCGTCGATGCTGCTGCTGGTGTGGCGTGTCTAAGTTCAGATCAAAATCGATACTTATTTAGATTGTAACAAGTGCGTTGCACCGTCCGTAGTAGAGTAAAGGAAATCGAAATGAAAGGTTACGAGACCCGACGACAGGACGATTAACTTTGTCGTCCTGCTTTGTGTCCAACTAGCTGAAACTGCATTGGTGAAGAACTGTTCATTATCTTGATACACAGATACAACACAGAGTGAACGAGTGAGTAAAACATTGGTGCGCGATGACGAGAGTGAGGACAAGAAAAGAGCATGTGAGGCTGTTGTTGCTTTGTTGACAAGTATAATACAGGCGAGAGACAGAGAGTTCGAGAATAATTTTGAGGTGCTACTCCTCAGAGAAGATGAAAGATAAGAGCGCGAGGGAGTAAGCGGGTGGATTATAGAGATAGAGAGATAGAAGAGGGAATGAGCACAGAAATAACAGCGAGTTAGCTTAAAGCTTAGCTGTAGCGATTCATACAGTTACAGAAGACTATGGTATCTTCAAAAATGTTCCAGGTTGAGATTTGTAATGGTGTAGTGTCTTATTGAGTGCTCGTGGAAAACTAGAGTAAGTAGTGTAACGCCCATCCCTATGTATTGACAACATCCGAATCTGCATATCAAATTAGACATCCAGTATCATGTTCATCCAACAACATAGTCACCAACATGATCATTCATCCTGCTACGGAGTTATAGGTAAGGATGCAAGAGGACCTGATCCTGAAAATAGAGAACTCGGCATCTCGTCTTCTGAGCCGAGATACAGAGATGAACGGAGGAGCACGCGAGCGAAAGCAAAACGGCCAAAAAATGGACTTTCTTCACCTTGTCAGTCTAGATGAACAGGCATATACTTCCACTCTCTCTTCAAAACCACAACCACCCTTAGGGCGAAGAGTAGGCGAGTGTCGGAGAGGGCGAAGCAGTTCTTGTTCTAGTTTGATGACTAAAAAGATAGATCACAACAAGGACATAGAAATTGACAGAGGTGGCCCATCAAGATCAAGAGAAAGAGTGGCAACATTGTTTTCTCTATCACATAATAAACTCCATAAACTACCTCGTCCACACCAGAAGAAAAAAGATGAACAAGAAGATGAGTTGCGTGTTCCATGCACAAGCATGAGACAGTATAATGTTTCCTCGTCTTCCTTCTATCTCAAGAAAGGAGGATCTTCGAAAACCGATGCCGCTGTCGACGTGGACGATATGTTGGCAAGAACCCGACCACCGGCTGTCACTAGGGTGGTCCCCATCAATGAGCAGCACGGCGGGAACGATGGTGGAAGAAAAAGACTTGACGTCATCTTCAGGAAGAGAAGTAGGAGCAGGAGGAGAACAAGAAACACGCCCGATGCGTGCTCCTGGGATCAAGGGCGAAGACGCAGTAGAAATTTCATGCAGAATAGGAACGCACTTCAAGAACAACTGTGGACTCCTACCAGCGACGAGTCGAGGTCGACTAGCACGGAGAATAAAACTTCGTTACGCGACGAAGATGCCACACAAGCTCCTGAGCACTCAAGAAGGGAGAACTACATGTACTATACCAGCGGGGAGGGAGAAGACAACCACATCGAGGAAAGGACGAGCCAAGGGGACTTTGGTGGGGAGGCACATGATAATGGGGCATCTTCACCGGGGGAGAAAGTTGATATCCACTCGTCACCTGCAGGCATCGAGACACGACAAACTAGACAGAATATCACGATTAGACGCTCATCGAAGCCATGTTCGCGGAAGAATGACTCCGATTCAGCACCAGAAGCTAGATCACCTCGACGACGAATGTGTCCTAGGCAAGACAGCTTTCATGCCTGTGAGACGGCGCAACATAGGGAGAATTTTAGTGGCGTTCGACAGGAGTCGAGGACAAATAGGAGTACGGCGTGGGGGAGTTTCTCACTTCGTCCGGAGGCGACTAGGAAGCAAAGACCCACCAGGCGAAGCAGTTCCGGAAGATGTGAAGCGGTCAAGAATAGCAATACCGACCGAGGAGAGAAGAGTCAGTCAAAGGCAGACTTCACTAGCTGTTCGTCTTCGTCGACGGCAACATCACAACCTCCCACCTCAGCGTCACCTATATCACAATCTGAACCTAGAAGCCAACAGACGATAAAACCGCCATTCACGACCGCCTACATCAACGTCAAGAACCACGACGTGACCTTCTTTTTTCCAGCCGCTCATAGGAGTCGTTCCTTTTTTCTTTTTTTCGACTCCTGCTTTCGGCTTGTATTCATTTTGGCGATGATGTTTTTGGAGTGGGTGTTGTCGTGGAACAGAGGTAGAAGCGATAACATTGTTACAATATCAAGAACTGCACCATCTACTTCTACTAATTCCAAGACGACATCTTCCATACCAAGGACAAGAACTTGTATACCACTTGATATTGGGAAAACATCAAACGCACATCAACTTTCTTCGTCTTCCAGTACCAAGAAGTTGATGTCTTTTCTTTTCCTTTTCTTTTCACCGCTATTTGGAGGAACGACAGTGCAGTCTGCGATCGCAGGAAGGGGTACTACTTTTCAGCTGAGCGCGACGACTGTTCTTTCTCTTTCCAGAAGTACTACTGCTACTTCTCATATGATCACGAAAACCGCTAGCGCTACGGCTGCCTTGATCAGCTTGTATTCGACGGCCTTGTTGTCGAGTTCGAGTACTATGGTTCAAGCAGTCCGTGTAACCGACGACTACGGCAATTATTTGCCACCGAATCCGATTAAGCAAATTGTCCCGGACCCTATTCCCACGGATAATGGGGTTCCGAGGCAGATTTCCTCTGCTGCTGGGGAGATCATTCTGAGACCCTATCCGATTTCGAGACCGATCAACACTGCCGCAACAGATCACGACTGCGAACTAGAACGCGATGGAGGCACGAATGATCCTACTGCGCGCATTCAACTTGCTGTTGTGTCGTGTTCCTCAAGGGTCACGGTCAAGGGGTTGCGAGCTGATGTGGACTTTCGCTTTCGCCAAAGGGGCATCTTTCGAGTCGACTATGCGCCAACGTTGTCGACGTATAGTTTCAAGGGAGAATGGAGTGATTGGGTGACTTACATCTCAGCCGGCGTGCCAAATTGGGGCGTTTTTCTGCCCACAATCGTGCCGCGGGGGTTCAGAACTTTGCAGATGAAGTGGGAGAGTCCTAGTGGCAACGGTTCGCCAATTTTAGGGTACATGCTGGACTACGTCGAACAACGACAAGACGAATCCACTGGTCTCTTCACCCAAGTCGGTAGCTATCAGCAGATCTACAACGGCACCAACGAACCAACGGTTTTACAAGCGGTCATCAACATCGACTTGCAAGAGGGGAGTAGTTACAAGTTTCGTCTGTTTGCGATGAACCGAGTCGGGTCGAGTATCCCAGCAGGTCGTACGTGGACGGTGAAACAGAGCGACGCAACGGATCGATCCTTCGTGAATACTTGGAGCGTAGGTCAGACTAATCCGCCCAAGCCGCAGTTTTCCCAGGCTTACGGCGCGTTGTGGGGCACTGGCAACACGTATCCAACGTTGGGGTACCATGTAGTCCAAGCAGGCATCATGGATACCATCCGAGTGCAGGCAGTTCACCCTGTGACGATGCAGAACGAATCTGATCAGGGAGACATCTACTGCCCCCCAGAGCACACTCCACCGAGATGCAGAATCTACTTGTTGTCTCTAGTCGAACCGTGTGAGTTGAATCCGAGTAAAACGCTCTGCATTCCTCTCCACGTGATGGCAAAGTACAGCAACAGCTCTGTTGCGGGATTAGGGCCTCGCTATCAGGCGATTGAGGGAATCGGCATCAACGAACCTCGGAAGAGCACTGTTTGCTGCATCGAGAGTGTGGAAAACAATCCCGTGAGAGCTGACGGGACCCATTTGATCCATTATGTGCCGACTACTAGTGGCGACTTCTCTCTCATCGTTCAGGCAGTGGAAGCTGGTGGATTGTTAGCAGAGATGTGGGACAATGCGTTTTTCAATGGGGAGCCGATGAGTAGCGAGCAAGCAATCGTCGATTACGACTGGGGTGGAAACGCTCTTGTCGGTTTTACCAGTGATTTCGTCACTGCAAGATGGGTGGGATATTTGATTAAGGCTCAGCTTATTTCAATGGTCATTTTTGGGGTTGGTCACTGAGATCGAAGAAGCGACTTCCCCTTGAGAGGAGAACAGGGGAAAAGGAAGGGAAAGGGGAGAGCTTTGAAGGGGGTCGCTTCCGTTCAGCATCAGTGGCCATTGAATGCTGCGCTTTAATTTGAGAGCCAAATACAGCGAGGAATACATCATCTTGCTGAACGTGGACAACGGAGCGAGACTATGGATCGGCGAACGGTTGCTTATCGACTACAGAATAGTCCCTGACCCGAACGACACAGGCATCGCCACCACGCCAGAAGAACGAGCGGCATTGCAAAAGCGCATGAACATCGGAAATGGTCTCGTTGCTGCTGGGACGCTTTGCTGTAAGATCTTCTGGGCTAAGGTTCAACTCGAAGCGCACAAGTTTACGCCTATCATCGTCGAGTACATTGAACAGGTTGGCCAAGCCAAGATCCAAATGTCGTGGTCTAGTCCCCACCAGGTGACACAGGTCATCCCCAAGGACTCTTTATTCAAGCCGTCTTACATCAAAAACACGCCAATTCCGATCAAGGTGGCAGTGGGTGATACAAGCGAAGTCGTCCGAGATGCGAGTGGGCGTGGGGTCAGTACTGCGGGTGCTTACGGCGAAGCCTTGGTGAGGACGCAGTCTAGCTTGTTGTCGACGATCTTCGTGCAATCCCAGGACTCGATGGGAAATCATGCAGACCACAACAGAGACGTTTTCCTAAGGCTTGTTACCCGAATCCATCTCCAGAAAACTAGCATCATCTCAAAGCTGTCCCGTACTAAGGGAAAAGCAGAGAACCGAGTTGTTCTTTTTTTCGAGAAGAACTCACCTCACAAAGCTGGTGTTATTCCGTACTAAGGGAACAACAGAAGCGAGATGGTTTTCAAAAGTTGTTCCGTAAGGGAACAACAGATCAATCTGAGATGGCATGAAGTGGGCGATTAGGGTGAGCTCTAATTTTCGTTTTGGAGTTGCTCAACACAGTACCACCGGCGGATTTTGCACAACTCGAAGACATGTATGAGGACGTCTACAACACATCGAATCGCACGGACCTGAGCCTCAGCTTCATCTCTCAGCCGTTTAGCAACTCTCTAGGAGCTTACCACAGCAGTGCAACTGAGGACGCTTTTGTGTACCACATCGTTCCGGAGAAATCCATTGGGCTGCACAGGATCGACTTCATTGTAGATAGAGCTGGAACCTACGACGTTGCGATTTACAGTGTCAGCAGCGGGGAACGCGTCTCATTGAACGGCTTCCCTAGGCCTGCGAGCATGGTCGTACGTCCGGGACCTGTGAGTTCGGCCTCCGTAGCCGTCGGGTGCTGGAACGATCCGACGCGCTGTCTGCCTTTGCCTGTGAACACCACGTACAGTTTTCGGGCTGGGGTAGAAAGCACCTTCATTCTAGAACTGCGAGACGCGTACGGGAACCTGGCGACACAGGGGATTGATCCAAAAAGGATCTCGGTGTCGGTGGAGTGGCTGCAGTACGACGCGTGTGGCTACACCTACAGGAAGCCGAACGGGGAGAACGTCAAGTTGGAGTGTGAAGATTTGAGTTATGAGAGTGATTGTGTATTTCGAGTACATGTACAAGTTGTTGTTGTAGTTGTACGTACATTTGGATCTTCAAAAATAAACTCTGATAAGATAAATATTCGAGTTTCTCCTCCTCTAACTCGGCATGATTCGCGGCGACGATCAGGCTGTTATCGACTCCACTTTCCCTGGTTTCGTCCAGGGTTACGTCGAACCTACGGAGATTCAGTACCTGCCCGACGGTTCTCAACTCGTGAACGAAAAAGTAACGATCCGCTTCACCGCCTTGCGCTCTGGCCACAGCAATCTGCATGTTTCGATCGACAACAAGCGCATTGACCAATCGCCGATCTACATGTTGGGCATCTGGAATGAGCAGCCTTCGGAGTTCACGGTTCTCCAAGGCAACAAGCCAGAACCAATGCACTCCTTGGAATTCACCTACCCGATTCAGTTCCACGCTCTGCTGAGGGACAGATTTGCGAATCCGATCGAACAAGACGTGTCGACCGAAGCAGTTGAGATTCACATCTCGCCAAAGCCGTGCCCGACGCGCATTTTCGGGGCCGGCGGTCCCTGTGACTGGTACACCGACAAGGGCACTTGCGTCTACAAAGAGTGCAACACGGGGAACTGTCGGGAAGGCATCATGCTGGACTTCTACGGAAACGGCAGGCTCGATCGCGGTCGCGGAATCTACGTCTGCACGGTTATTCCGACGATTGCAGGTGTGCAACTGGATTTCTATATCATGGTTGGAAGGCGCGACGTGACAGCCATGTACATTGATGAGGAGTTGCCTGACGATCCACCAACGTTTTTGCCGGGACCCTTCAAAGTCGATGTCACTCCTGGGCGGGTAAACCCGTTCACCAGTACCATTGTAGGCGACGTGTTGGATCCCACGGTGATGACACGAGTGGTGGGGCAAAACTTCACGGTCGTTCTGGAACTCCGCGATAAGGATCGAAACAAGCTACTGTCGAACACAGACACCACAACTGCCATGCGTGCTTACTTCGTGGATCCACTGACCGGGAGAACGGAACCGGACCAGTTGTTCGACAAGGACGGCTTGGAATACACCATGAACGGGGACGGCACTTACTCGATTAACGTGAGAAGTTTGACAGCTGGTTATTTGGACTTCTACGTGAAAGTCGGGGATGCGTGCAAAAGTCCGAACGGCGTTCCTTGCGATTTCATCGACCAAGTGCCGATCAAACAGATCTTCTTCAGGCCAGAAATCGCCAATCCCACTGGAACAGTGTGCAATCCTCGAGCGACGGTGAATGCGGGTGATCGCAGTGAGTTCAGCTGTTACCCAAGAGACGAGTTCGGGAACCAGGTGTTGAACACGAAACTGACCATGCAAGCGAGTTTCATGAAACGAAGTGGTGAACTTAAGGCTTCCGCTGGACCATCCTCAGCCTCATCCTTGGCCCATTTTTCAAGGAGAAAAAGGGACCAGGGAGGTTCTCGGGGATGCGAGCGCGGTAGCTCTAAGGAACGGTTTGTCAATGACACTTTTTTCTTCGAAGGAGCGTTCGATTGGCGAGAACAGGCTTACAGCTTCCCGTTCACTCTACAATTCGAAGGCGAGTACTCGGTCATGGTGAGCGTGCGGTCACCAGGTGGCTTAGTTGCCTACTACTACCGCGACCTGGGGTTTAACACGCTGGTCAACCTGCAAGCACAGCCGAACCATACGGAGACGACGTTTTTTTCTGTCATCGACAATAAGATCGACTTCGACTGGCCAGGTGTCCCGGATTCGTGTCCCCAATTAGCCGCCGCAGACTTCTTCGCCGTCCGTTGGGAGGGCTTTGTCGTGCCAGACAAAACCGGCACCTATCAGTTCGTCGTGACCGCTGACGGCAGCTTCATGCTCAAACTCTTCGGAAAAGAGGTGTTCAATTCGATTCCCGGATTTGGGGAGCCGATACGAGAGAGCAGTTTTACGAGTGCACAATATCAACTCGCAGGTGAACAGCTAGTCCCATTGCAGCTTGACTACGTTCACGCCAGTGGACCGGCTTACATCAGACTGGAATGGTTCGGGGATGCGACCTTGAGAATGCCGGTTCCCACGCATAACTTGAGGTTTCCGCTCAACGTAGGCAACTACAAACCGGCGAGGACCGCAGTCGAGGCTTTGACCGCTGCTACGCCGACCGACGTCGTTGGCAGAACTGACCTAGAGCGTGAAGGCCTTCGCGCGGTGACGAATCAGAAGATCCGCATCCAACTTCGTGACAAGTTCGGCAACGCTTTGTCTGATCGAACCACGCGCAAAATTACTGGCTATATCGAGGGAGACGTAAAGATGGCGGCTCTAGACGTCGCTTACTTCTCGATCGGTCGCTATGACTTGACCATCTCGCCAACCTTGGCGGGACCGGGAAAAGCTTAAGGCTTGCCGTAATTATCATATCTTCCGAAGCATGATCTTCTTTGGCGTTCGCGTTGTTTTCTTGACAGGAGAATATTATTTGACGGAGGTCGTGTCAAAGATGGATCATGCTCTCCAACAAGATGAATTAAGGTAAGCTCTAAAAAGCTCTTTACCTCTTTCTAGACGATGAATTGTTCGACAACATGCCGATTTTCTTAGATGTGTTGCCAGGTGCCGTGCGTTTTGAGTACACATTTGTGGAGGAGTTGCCGCCGTTCCGTGTAGGCGAGGTTGAAGGCGAAAACTGCTTCGAAGTGCGCTTGAGGGATGGTGCGGGGAACGACAGGAACACATTCGACGCTTACATTCCGCCTCTACAACGCTTAGCCGGTCTGCCGGATCGAGACGAACTTGCCTTCACGGTTGGCGCCTACGGAGAGCGGGTAGAGGTAACGGAAATGGAGGGCAAGCCAGGCTCTTATCGTTGTTGCTTGATCGTCACGACGTTGCCGTCAGATGGAATTGTCGAATTGATCGGCTACATTCACGGTGACGTGAGCAAGAACATCCGGCAGTCGATGACACCTAGTGTGTTCCGGTTCACGGTTTTTCCCCCATTGCCTGAAACAGAAGCGCCGAAAAACGGTGGCCACAGCTTCCCCTTTGATCCGCCAAAGGATCCTTGGTTTCGCGGTTTGGATTACGGTCTGTACATCGACCAAATCGCCAGTCGCTATTTCACGATGCGCTACGTGGACGAAAACGGGAACCAAATCGTGAATGACGACAACATGGCTGTCGCTTGTGACGCTCTGCACTACTACAGGCCAGACTTACACCCCGAAGAAGGCTCTATGCGGGTTGCGTATGGAACGCCTCTGCCAGTCACATTGCTCCCGAACGCAGCGCTGTTTCAAGTCGACTTGTTACCGATTCCGATCGCAGGTGACACAGCTTTGCGGTGCTACTACCTGAAGAAAGGCGGATTGCAAGCCAGAATTTTCGATTGGGTTCAACCCTATATGCCTCTGGAGAACTACACGAGTGAAACGGTGAGCGACTTGGACATGTACTACCATCCTGACGTTATGGTTAGTTCTTCACTATCCCATGTCCCTTCTGGGCTATGCTGAGTAGTTACAGAGTTCCTGCCCTGGTTGCGTTGATAAAGGTGGGAAAATACGGGGGGACAGCTCTTTTTCATGAAAATGGGAAAATGGAAATACGGGAGGAAAAGCAGGGCAACTGTAACTGACTCGCGCAAGAAGGCATAGTGAAAAACTAGCGCTAATGGCGGTTTGATCGGGACCAACGACAGTTCAAAGTACGGCCACCAGGATCTCGTGTCTGCGATTTTAGACGGTGCTGTAATCCCAAAACAAGACGGCAACTTCACTTTCACCCTAGAGTGCAGTGATGAAGCGAAGATGTATTTTTTCGGAAAGTACAGCTACTTGTCCATTACGAGCAGCAATGGCCGTAGTGTGCGGACGAGAGAACCGATTCCGATCTTAGCTGGCTATCCTCTGGAGTTTCAGATCCACATGGTAGAAAACACGAAGAGTTTCCGCTTGAGGCTCTTCTGGGAGGCAACGAACATGGTCTTGCGCTACATCGCTGGCCAATGGCAGCATGTGGAAGAACCGATGTATTCGAAACAAATCATCCCTGCTGAATTTTTATACTCTCCAAAAGTCTTACTTGCTGGCTTTCCAGCTCCGTTTCTCGTAGTCGATTACCCAGACATCATTCCTTGGTTCTACCGCACGCAGCCTTATATCGACAATGAGGTCACCTTCGCTTGGACGCCGCCGCAAAGCAGTGGGTACAAGCCTCTAACGCACTACGTGATCAAGCGAGACCGCGGAGTCGCGATTGCGGACATGGGAGCCATCACGGACGAAGAGTTGCTGAATCCAGCTCGCGACGTGGAAATCAAATTCTTTAATCCCGATTTCGGGATTCGACATGAGAAAACCTATGTGCTACTGACTAGTGGCACAGAAAGGTTTTTAGACCGGAATAGGGTGTACAAATTCGAGATTGTGGCTTGCAATGATTTGAGGCTGGATGCGGAGCAGCAAGTCGACGGCGGTGGTTGCCAACCTGTAAAAAAAATCATGAACGTGATCCCACGAGCGCCTATGCCGGCACCTAGTTTTCGACTGTACAGGATAGAAAACTACTACCCCAATGACGAAATCGGCTACTTGGACTACACTTTCACGAATCCGGTCCTTTTTGGGGGCAAAGTGATGTTCGAGATCCCGCATCCAGTCGATACGCCCTTGACCACGCACTACCGCTTGTACCGCAACGCTGGGTGGAACAAGTACGAACCCAGTAAAGAGGAGGTTTTAGTCGAGGAAGGGCCTTTCCAAGGTTATCCCTATGACTCGAACTTGCGCGCTTATCCGGAGGTGGAACTGCTCAAACGGAATTACACGTTTTCGATCACATTCATGACTCTCAGCGGCGAAACGAACCACTCGCAGAAGGTACATGTCGAGTGTTGTAAGGTTGACGTTCCGGATCCACCACCAGATCCGCCAGTACGGAACATCACTACAGGCCAGAACAGCTACGACCGAATCTCCGTGTCTTGGGGCGACTCTTCGTACTCTGGCGCAGTGCCAGTCGAGGCCTACGATGCAGAATGCTACGTCGCGAATCGTGATGTACAACAGGGTGCAGCTCAATTCTCCTTATCCAGCGAAGAATTCGTGAGTCAAGTACGGTTGCCGGCAGGAGAAAATACCACTACTTTTACCAACCTGCAGCGAGGCTACATCTACGTTGTGCGTATCCGAGCGGTGAGTCAAATCGGCGTGTCGAAGTGGGGTCCTTTAGGTAGATTTGTCGCCACAGAGCCGCCATCAGCTCCGCAGAAGATGATCTTGATCAGTTCGTCTGCCAAGCACATCGAACTCGAATGGGACCCGCCTCTTTTCCAGGGTTTGAGCTTTCAAGGGTATGTCGTGTTCATCAACAACGAGTTAGCGTGTGACACGACGGGAATTTCGCCACGCTTGCGGAAGTGCTACATGCAAAATCTGCCGGAAATGAAGGACTTAGTGACCAACAGACCACAGGTTTTTGGTACGAAAATCCCCCTAGATGTCTACGTTTTCGGCGTCAACGCTGCTGGCTACACGCACTCATTGCGGGAAGTGCCCTACGAGACGATTCCTCTCGTGAACGAACTGATCCCGCCAGCTTGTATGATGTTACTAATTTTTGAGCACGAAGACATATTATGGGAATGTCGTTCCTAAGACTAAGTAAGAAGGCAATAAAGGTGGATGAACATGAATGACATTCCCCTACTATCACGGACGTTCTCAAAAATGAGTGGAAGCATTCACAGCTTATCCCTATACCAGTGTCGCCTTGGAAGGTCGACCACTCGAGGCCGTTCTAGGTCCAGAACACCCAACAGGTCGGGTAGACGGGTACTCAGTGGTACAGGTCTACGCATTTGGAACTCCGAGTGCTCCTCAGAAATTCCGCTACGACACCAACGACTTGGACTACCAGTTTTTGACTTTGAAGTGGGATCCCAGTGCAGAGGATGGCGGAAAACCGGTTAGGAGTTACCGTGTGGAGAAGAAGAAAGTTAAGGATTCGTTTCCGGATCACGGTTTACTCTCCACTTGTACTTCTAAGAGGACATCCTTGATGGCTTTGGCTCTTTTGTTCCTAGTTATTTAGTAGAAATAAGCAGCCAAGGATGTTGATTTTCTGAGGAATGGAATTTTTCCGCAACGTCATCTAAGAAGTCCGTGAATCCAGGCGTTTTCCTGACCCAATGTGCGCGAGAAACGGAGTATTGCTACTACGCCTCTTTCAACACGAACGTGAACACGAATGGCCCTCGTACCGTTCTCCGCTATGCGCGTTGGCGCGACGCCGGCCTAACGGAGTTCATGAGCACAAGGATCTACTACGGCGTTTACACGGCAAGGGAATTCGGCTCTCAAGACTTAGCGATTGAGCTGGATGTCTTCAATGACCCTGACTTCTTTGTTCCAAGAACGATGGGAACGGCGGAAACGATTGCGAATTACACGAAAGGTGTCACAGCAAACACCGATGAGATGGACCTTGCTTTGATCCAGGCTCTGCGATCGCCGACAGGAAAAAGGGGGTTTGATATCCGAAACGTTGGAGCATCGTTAGAACCGGAATTGATGGTACTAGAGAATTCTCTTGGCTTCCATTGGTGATGTACTAGAGAATTCTCTTGACTATTGGTGATGTACTAGTTCTTCGAAAATTATACATGATGAGCAGTATGTCTTTGTCCGATACTTCTGATCCACGTTTTTGGTAAGGGGTTAGGTCGGTTTCTGCCCAGCGCATCACGAGGAGCAGTAGGAACTAGCGAAGGAAACAACACAGCTACGACCGTCGACAATAATACCCGAGCTTTCATCGCGCTCACTTCTGTGGTCGTGAGGGCTCTACCTTAACCCGTAGAGCGTAGAACTTGGACATCCAGCTGTAGCTGAGCTGATAGTAGGAGTGGGGGCCGAGACCGGCATCCAACTCTCCTTCAGGGCCGAGGGACCTTACTTGTGGGGAGCGGACGTGCGCCAGCTCGAACTCTCGCCGCACTGCCTGCTGACAATTGTCACTGACAGCCCCATAGCCCTGGGAAGCATGAAACCTCACACCAGCACTCCTGCTCGATTGGTCAACTAATTATATGGGTGGGAGGTAAATGGTAACCTGGGAAGGAAAGAGTTACGTAAGATGGAAAGCGGGGGTAGAAGAAGAATTATGTCAGAAATTTTTTTGGGAGGTAGATGGGGAATGAGAAAAATGTTGATGTTCTTTTTGCGTTTTGGTTCTCGTTTTCTTTTTGCAAAGCCAGACTACACTGTACAGGGTCCGGCTCTTTCGTAGAGGCGGGGTTGTTTGTGTTCAGCGTTTGTTCTTAATCTTGATGTCATAATACTAAAAATGTAAAAGACCCCAGAGTATCCATCACCCCATCATCCCCACCGCCTCACCACAGGTCGCCTACGAACGTATGCGCGCCTATCCGGAACGTCAGATTCCTTGTACCGACGCCCGTTTCGGAGACCCCATGCGTGGAGAGAACAAGTTTTTCAGACCCTCTAGCTGTTACGTCGTAGAAGACCAGTGTATGGATGATGAGTCCTGGCATGAGGAAGAATCCACGTTATACAACTGTGCGTGGTACAAGGAACATCCAGACGCTTGTTCCAGTCCGAATCCGGTGGTTCCTCCAGCGACCAATGTTAAGACTTCTGGACCTATAAGTTCCTAAATCGTCCTAATCGTAATTCTTTCTGACTTTGAGAAGCATTTACTGTAGGCATTTACTCATTAGTTCTGGAGAGGTTGTTGAGGATGAGGTTTTACACTCGTCAAGGGGTTGAGGTTTTCTCCTTTAGGCAAATGAGAATGAGAATGACTACCACGAAGATACAACCACGATAGATACAGATTGATGCTTTTCATCAGGCTGAGAAAGAACTTAGGTAAAAAGGTCTAACGATTCTGCTGGCAAAGCCGTGACCGAAGCGTGCTGTGCGTGCGGAGGAGGCGACCAGAACAGCTTTTTGACCAAATGTGCTTTGGAAGGAGATATGTGTCCTCTGAACTTGGACACTCTAACGTCAAAAGCGATTTACTATGGAATCCTAAACTATCGGACGATTGTGGACAGAATTGACAGGTCGAATCCGAT